TTTCGACCGTCCAGTGCCGAAGGCACGGGACGAGGAAAACTTAGGTAGGCAAATTTTTATAATATTTTATTTTTAAATTGAGGATATGCCCAACAGATTTTTGGGAGACAAGAATATTTTTAGTAAAATCATAACTGCTACAGCGTTCAGTTAAATTCAAATTTCAAATAGTGAACCGCAAGTTAGTTTGGTAGTGACTTTTTTCAGTGTTCTTTATATGGAAAACATTTTATATTTTACGTTTTTTACTTTTTTTGACACGTTTTTACGTGATTATGTTTTTATACGTTTCATAATTTTAAAATATTGCACCAGTGGTGAGATCATAATTATGTAGCTGAAGAGACAATGGAACCCTCTAATCGATTGGAAGATTTACAAAAGCGTGTAGTAAAACGTAAGCGACATTTTGAATACCTTTCTGATGATGCCAAACGTATGCTAAAAAATGTTTATGAAGGACTGTGTGCTGAATTGTCTAAATCAGAGACAATTGCAGAAACATGTTTTTTAACTAGAGTGCCCAAAGCAACCTGCAACAAAATTATAGGAGAAACATCTTCTTCTAGGCAGAAGAGAAAGGATTGTGGCAAATTCAGAAAAATAGAAATGCACTTAATTGAATCTATAACTAGAACAATATACCAAATGTATGCGGCTAATATTTTTCCAAGTATTGAAAGCCTTCGAAGTGAATTAGTTCGAAAGTGCATTCTCTCGTGTTCAGCAACAACACTTCGATTATTTCTTAAAGCCAATAATTTTAAGTACAAAACTATAGACAAGAGACAGACATTAATGGAAAGTACTAGAATAATTTCTTTAAGAAACAATTATATCAGACAGATAATTGAGTATCGAACAATGAAACGAAATATAGTTGATTTAGATGAGAACTGGTATGATACTCATGACACCGTGAAAAAAAGTTGGACAAATAATAACAAAAAGTGTTTTAACTCAGTACCGCCCATTAAAAGAGGATTATAATTTTACACTGCGGTGGAGAAAATGGATGGGTCGACGATGCATTATTAATATCTGCAAAACAAATTAAAAACGCGTCTCTGGATTATCATGACGATATGGAAAGTTCAATTTTTAAATCTGGTTTGAAAAATGTCTTCTTCCGAAATTACTTAAAGATAGTGGGATTATCATGGACAACGCATCATATCATTCAAGATTAATGAAAAAAACTTCAAATAATAGTTGGAATAAATTAAAAATTCAGGAATTTTAATTCACGGAAGATTTGTATTTTGAGACATCTTATATTAAAAAGCAATTGTTGGAGGTTGTTCATAGTAAACAGTACGAAAAGGAATATGTTGTTGACAACTGTGCTCATAGTAACGGGCATACTGTGTTTAGACTTCCTCCTTATTATTGTACATTGAACCCAATAGAGTTCATATGGTGTTAGTTGAAACCTTTATTTCTATTTTAATTGTAGATATTCTCATTTTGCTTATATATTTTTGAAAACAGGGTATAAACACACTTCTTGATAGGACAAAAATTATTAATGTTTTCGGGGAGGATGTCAACTGAAACTGTCACTGTCATTCTCGCTAAATAACTACTATTATTAACAAAGTCTTTGACCCCCTCTGTGGCTCAGTGGTAAGAGCGCCTACCTTTAAACCCAAAGGTCGTGAGTTCGAATCTCACCTGGGTGGAAATTTTCGTTTATTAAAAAAATTAATAAATGAAAATAATTTCTATCCTTGTGCGATCGGTACTCACCGGAGGGACCACAGACGTTCGGATACAATTAGCGTCTCTTAGCAAAGACAATGACGTCGACTTTGCTAAGTATCAAGACAATTACTCTACACACACAAACACACACACACACACACACACACACACACACACCACACACACACACACACACACACTACATTAATAAACTTATCTTGATTAAGACTGGCTGAATGACAATTGTCCAAGCCAAAACACACACACACAAAAAAACAATGTTTTATATAGATATTATTATTTTACAATAAGTTCTGTTCAGTCGAGTCGATTAGTGTTATCACTCCCAAGATATATCACAGAAGTTAAAAACACCGATTTTTTTATTTAAACTTTATAGAAAATGAAACTTTTTGGTAAATAAAATTAAATAAAAGTAAAAACTTTTATTTAATTTAAAATTAGATATCTACGCTAGTGTTCTACTACTATGTACTACAATAAAGTATTGGTACCTCTAACAGCGTTGCCATTATACTAGTATTTTGGTTGCTTTGGTCTCTGTAAATTTTCTCACGAAATTACGTGCCGACTATACAAAAAAACTTTTAATGTCTAGGAAACATTCAATAAGAAAAACTGGAAAATAACGAGTTAGCTGCGAAAAAGGATTTAACTCCCTTTTCGCTGTGGAAAACAGCGAAAAGGGAGTTAAAACAGCGGTCAGAAATTATCAACAACGGGACATTTTAACAAATTTGATGCAGCCCCTAACCACACTATGTCTCAAAAGAGACCATGGGGATTTCAACAGGTCTCTGCACCTGCGGATAAGGCCAAAACTACTCAACAAAGGCTTTAAAATCATGTACTCGAATTTATTAGTAGTGACCATCGGCCCCCAGCCAGCCAGCCTAGACCTTAATCCACTCAATTAAAAGTTGTGGTCAATTTTGGATGATATTTTCTGTACAAGACGTCACCATAATGTAGAGTCATTGAAGCAAGCGCTCTGGTAGAAGCTGTCGACAATTTCCTAAAGATGTCATCCGTACAATGATGGATGAATGGTATAACAGACTTCGGTACTGTATTCAGACAAATCATGACCATTTTAAATAATTTTTTGTGTGTAAAAAATTTTCAAATCAAACCAGTATCAACATTTATGGCAGAACTAAGTATATAGTCATCAAATAGCCAGAAAAACTGTAAACCCTGTACAATATTTTAATAAATACTCCATCTGTGCGTAAATATGGTCTACATTTATTTAAATAAATGTATATACAAAATTGTTCAATTTTTCAGATACATTGAATATCATGGTGCAGGATAAGCTTTAATTTGCTATTTTAGGAATTGATATTAAATATTAGGAAAATGAGTACATAATGGTACCTTCTTCAGTACATATTTTTTGCATTTTCCACCAAATCTTTTAGTTTTAGTCCCCAATACGTGCGGCACTAGAAAATGTCCCTCTACTAGTTAACATAATGGTTTCCATGTTATGTGGGGGTGTGCTGGACCATCGAGCAATAAGACAAAAGAGGGAATGTAAAGGTAGTGGGGTTAAACATATTGATAGACAGGAAGTGCTATTTTGAGAGGCCACTTTAAACAAGGAAAGAGAATCTCTTTCCTTGTTTAAGAAATCAAATTTAGTTATGTTATGTTCATCGAGTAAAAAGACAAAAGAGGGAATCTAATCCTTATGAAAAGGAGACCAAAAAAGTGGCCTCTGATGGCTGACATATCCGGAAATGCGAATGCGCCAGACACTTATTAACAGTAGCTGTATAATATTTTTCAGAATGTGTCTTAGGCGAGAAAGTTTTAATTAATTATTAACGATAATAGTCTAAAATGCGACACAATTGTTAAAAAACTTCAATATAAATAAGATTTCATGTGACACTTGGGACAAACAATAACATAACCCAACTAAATTTGATGTCAAACAAGCAGAGAGACTCTCTTTCCTTGTTTAACGTGGCCTCTAAAGATCGCACTTTCTGTCTAACAATATTTTTGCCCCCACTACCTTTACATTCCCTCTTTTGTCTTTTTGCTCGATGGTTATGTTATTGTTGATGTTATTGTTTGTCAAAACTGTCACATGAAAGCTTATTTATATTTTCTATTGAAGTTTTTTAACATTTTAGACTATTATCGTTATTAATTAATTAAAACTTTATTGTGTTCTAGTGTTAAAAAAAGTATTTTAATAAATAAATAGATAAATATATAATATAAAATATTATGTAATATAAAATAAACAAATAGATAAATTAGAACCCCTACACCACTGTATGATTATTGTCAAGTGTCATGAAATTTAAATTTGGCGCATTTGCATTTCCGGATATGTCCGCCATCAGAGGCCACTTTTTTGGTCTCCTTCTCATAACGATTAGATTCCCTCTTTTGTCTTATTGCTCGATGGCTGTGACACAGGCGCGAAATTGGAATTCCCTTGACACATATAAAGAAGATTGAGCAATAGGAATAGAAAAAGCAAGAAATCAAAAAACAAGAAAAACACTAACTAAAAAAAATTTTTAAGAGAAAGAGCACTATAACAAAAATGGAAAAACTTATAAAGATATATAACAATCACGTAATAATGAGATAGAACCGAACCAATTAGAAAATATTGCACTTTACTGCAAAGGTCTACTGCCTCATCGGCTTACAACTTAAACAAAAACCTGTCTCCGCTCACAGAGCGAATGGTTTTGGATCAATTGAGTTATAATACAATGTTAACGTGGCAAAATAGTGGATATAAGAAAAACCAATTTCAAAAATTTGCTTTCAAAACCGTTCTTTTAATTTTTCTAAAAAAAAAAACAGTGCTTTTGTTCAAAAATATAACATTTCTCGGTTACTAATAGACGTATGAACAAACGCAATCATGTTTAGATTTTTCGTTAAATTTCCAATCTGAAAAAGTTCTTAGTTATTTATATATAATAGCGTTTATATTTTTTACTTATATCAAACTGACAATTGTAATGACTACATAAAATTAGAATAAAATCTTAAAATATAAATATCCTTAAATTATTTCAAATATAATGATTGTAAGTCTTATTTCTTTTACCTATTTGAAATGGACTCACACAAGCAACAGATTTATGATTTTAATAAAAATTCTTTATTCTATTGAAATAATCTAAACAAGATGTTTTGATCAGTCTTAATTTCCGTATAATTTGAATATTAAAATATTTATATCCTAAAATGTTTTCCTTATTTTATTTTTATATTATATTTTCTTTAGTACAATTGTTTTAACTCTCTCTATAGTTTGGGGGGTCAAACAGAATAAGTGTCATTCTAGACTTGTATCCAATATATAATATAGAACAACAGAGTTGATATGGAAACTTCTGTTTTTATTACATATCTCGATAATCACACAGAATAGTGCGGTTAGACCACCACTCTGGAATACTAATCCACTTATTGTTTACAATTTAAAATGATATTATTCTCTTTTTACGACCTTAACACTTTTTTTATAACTTTTTTACGGTATCACAACCAACCGACTGATAAGTCTCTTGTCACAATCAGAAAAATAATAAATTTTAAATAATTAATTAACAAATTAATTGTTTTTGCATTAATATGTCTTTACACAATTTTATCTAACTTGTATTTGTTAAAAAATTAAAATACATTCACTATTCCTTTAATTTTAAGGATTAACCAAAAATAAATTTGGTCATTAGCTTTGCTCATCCAAAATATTCAGTTGAGGTTTTTTGTCCTATAACAGACTTACAGTTACAGTCAAAATAATGGCTTCGTTACTTCTTCCAACTACGAACTATGATTCTAAATCTTCGTCCCTTTGGCTTGAGAAATAAGAAACTAAACCACCGAATTCGCCGGATTCTTCACCACCACCTAAAATCATCATTTATGTTAAAACTAAGTAATAATTTTATATGGTCAATAACAACCCGAAAAGATACGAGTCTACCTATATAGAATATTCGTATGTCAAACACTAAAGAGAAGTCAGGAAATTTTTAAGTTGTCCTAGGACAATTTGGAGCGAAGTTAGTCCTTTTTTTAATTGACAGCAACTTTGTTTATATCAGTTAAAAGATCTAATTGACGACAATTAAAAAACATACTTTAAAGTTTTAATGTGCCAAATTTGAAAAAAAAATTTCCTTTTAACGCAATGGTCCAAAAAGCTTCAAAATGCGGTCTTCAAAATAGGCACTCTTCAAAAATCGAGGGAGCGATGGACGGAGAGAGGAAGGAGCTGTTAACTACATCTCTGGTTCTTGTTTTTGGATTTCGACGTTTCTTTTTTAAATCTTTATGTACTTTTTGTGTGCATTACGTATATGTATTATTTAAATAAATAAATTGTTAAATAAACCATTTAATTGGTTTCAACATTTTTTTTTCAATTTTTTTTAGTAATATTTGAGGTAATATTTAATGTAAAGCCATACAAGAACGAAGAACTAGGACAACAATAGATCAGCACAAAAAATTAAGGAGAGAGGAGAAACGCATACATCGAAAAAAGGAAACGAGAATCAGAAAACGAAATTTTAGAACAGCAACTCGAGGTATGAAATGTGTTCAGAATCATTACACTAGAAACTGTCCTCTTCCAAAGGGTATCCAAAATAAGGTAAAATGCTGCAACTGTGGGGAAGAACTAACACCAATCTACGTTATGTGCAGGAAGCACATTGAATTTATGTACAATCAAGCTCAGAAAAATACCAGAAACAGACAACCTAGATCAAACGTCACTCCACATCAATCAGCTTTTAGACAACTACAAGTGGTATGTCATACGCTCAATGGGCAAGCAGAAATCCAGAACCAACACAAACTCAGGAAAAATGCAAGAAAAATGGGAAGAAATGAACAAGATTGTCAATGTCGATGTTACAATTACTACAGGACATGAAGAAAGTTTTAATGGCAAGAAACAGCTTCGAAGATACAGCAAAAGAATTTATAAAATACGAAGCCCAGTACGAATGCAGTTCCGATCATAAACCACTAACCGTAACAACGACTTCAAGAATCGACCTATCAACAATAGATACGTTTTTATTTTCATTTTATAAAGAATCGAGTTCAAGCCGGAGTACTAATCTCGTAAGAACTTCTAACCCGGGTCTTGGAGTATTGATCTAAGGAGAAATTGTCCTAACCGTCGTACCAAGTCGTTTGATTGGTCGTTTTCCGTTCCCTGTCGGACTGAGTAGTGATCAGTTCGACCATCCGTTGGTGACCTAGTATTGATTGGTCGCTTTCTGTTCCTCATCCGTATCCAGTACTGATCGATTCGGCAACCTTTAACCTAAACTAAGTAGTGATTAGTCTTTCCCTGATGTTTGATTACTGACCTATATATCTTCCTTTTATATCCACTTTCCTAACATCGTCTGTAATTATTTTTCGCAGGTATTAACAGTGAATCGTAGCGTCATCAATTTATTCACTAGGATTGTTATTTTATTTTTATTGTATTTATTATACAAAATTTAATTTTGTTTTGTTATATATTTTGAATATATTTTTATTTAGAATAAACTTGTGTTTTACTGAGTCTGGTGTCTAACAGAGCTACTCGTTACATGCTGTCGTAAAATGTAATCATTATATTTACCATCACTTCTTCCAGAATTTTCCGGCGGTGCGGCCTCCTCCTCTTCAAAGGATTCTTCGTACGCTGGAGGCTGGCGGCTAAAAGATTGGGGCTCTTCATCAGGAGGTGGAATTGGCTCGGAGGGTGGATGATAAGGAGGATAGTAGCCAGCCGGTGGCTGTGGCGATTGAGCGGGATGGATTGGAGGGGGAGGTTGTTGTACGGGAGAGTACGTGCGTCTAGGGTGCGGCATATGGGCAGGTATGATGTGCGGTGGCCTAGGCGCAGGACCTGCAATATAAAAATCGCTTCTTAACATACAGATTGCTTATTAGTGTCGTGCCTTCTGTACAAGTGTCTTATCTCGGGATCATGCAAAAAGAAAAGAAAAAAACGTTTAAAAAAAGAACTTTTTGCTCATAGCTTAAAACAGATTCTACATGGCTCCACTCACGCTTTTCTTATTTTTAGAGATATTTTTATCCTACCGGAATGAATTAATGACTTCTTATCTTAAGATTTTCCTTTATTAAATTTTGTATTTTATGTTGTTTTTCCCAATCAGTTCGTATGAAAATATGCTGAGATATTTGAATTTATCCACTTGGTTTATATTTACGTCATCGGTAACCATAAATTGAATTCTGTATACCCAAATCTCAAAAACTGTCAAGCGTTTAAGGATAGCCTCAGTTAGAGTCCACGCTTCCACTCCATACAGCAGGACAGGAAAGATGTAGCAAGATGTCATTCGAACTCTACGGTCAATGCTAAGATCGTGACTGCAAAGTACGTTTCTCATTTTTACAAAGGCAGTTCGGGCTTGTTCTATTCGGCTTTTAATTTCTGCGGTTGGATCCCAGCTCTCGTTAATATTACTGCCGAGATATACGAGTTTCTCTACTCTGTCCAGTGTGGCACCTCCGACTTTTATACCGTTATCCTGTATATAATTTTGTTTGCTATCTATCATATATTTAGTTTTCTTAACGTTGAGTTTAAATCCATACTGATCACAAGTCTGTTTTATTTTGTTCATTAGATTTTGAAGGTCTTCTCCGCAATTAGCAAGCACCAAAGTATCGTCGGCATATCTAATATTGTTGACGGTTACTCCATTCACAATAATACTTTCGGTTGTCTCCATTAAGGCTTCCTTAAATATTTCCTCCGAATATAAGTTAAAAAGTAAAAGCTACAATATACAGCCTTGTCTCACTCCTCTTTTTATATTTATTTCATCCGACAGTTTTTCTTCTTCTTCTTCTTCAAGTTCCACTCCTATCGGAGATTGGAAATCATTCTGGCAATTATAATTTTATTGGTTACTCGCCTGAATAGTTCAATTGAACTGCATCCAAACCACTCACGGAGATTGCGTAGCCACGAGATTTTACGTCTTCCTACGCTTCTTCTACCTTTGATTTTACCCTGCATTATATTCCTTAGTAGTTCGTACTTTTCACCTCTTATGATGTGCCCCAAGTATTCCAATTTCCTGATCTTTATGGAATTTAAAACTTCGCATTGTTTTCCTAGTTGTTCGAGAACTTGTTCGTTTGTTTTGCGATCCATCCATGATATTTTCAAAATGCGTCGGTAACACCACATTTCGAATGCTTCTAGGTTTTTAATGTTGGATTTTTTAAGTGTCCAAGCTTCAACTCCATACAAAAGGGTAGAGAAAATATAACATCGAAGCATTCTTATCCGGAGCGATATATTGATATCGCGATTACAAAAAAGTTTTCTCATTCTATTAAAAGTTGACCGCGCAATTTCAATGCGGCATCTTATTTCTTTTGTCTGATCAGTATCTTCTGTGATCCATGCTCCAAGGTATTTGTACGAAGATATTTGTTCAATTTCTGTATTTTCTAGTACTAGCTTAACTTTGATGTTTTGTGCTTTTGTAAATACCATGAACTTGGTTTTCTTCAAATTGATTTTTAGTCCATAATCGTTGCAATATATATTTAGTTGTTCAGCAAGGTGTTGCAGTTCTTCTAGTGTTCCTGCCAAAAGGACGGTATCGTCAGCATATCTCATGTTATTAAGTGGCTCACCGTTTATTATAAGGCCCTCACTGATCTCGGCAAGCGCTAATTCTGAGATGGCTTCACTGTATAAATTGAATAACAAGGGTGATAAAATACACCCTTGGCGGACCCCACGGCGAATCTGGATATCCTTGGTCAGTTCGTTTTCAACTTTCGACAGTTTTTGTTCAACCTTTATTCTTGCCACTTAATGCCAGTATAGATTTGTAATTATTCGAAGATCTTTATCGTCCAATCCAGCTGTTTCCAATATTTATAGCATTTTGTTATGTCGGACTTTGTCAAAAGCTTTTTCAAAATCAATTGCACAAATGTACACATTTTGATTTAGATCTCTACATCTCTGTACTAGCACCTGTATACTAAACAACGCTTCTCTTGTACCCAAGCCACTCCTAAACCCAAATTGAGTATTGCTAATTCTGTCCTCTAACAGTGTCTAAATTCTGCTGTGTATAGTGTATTACTCGCAGGAAGATCTTCAAAACGTGACTCATCAGACTTATTGTCCGATAATCACCGCATGTCTTTGGACGAAATTTCTTAGGTATTCTGACAAATGTCGAATTTAACCAATTAGTTGGTAATATTCCAGTGTCATAAATTCTGTTAAAGAGATTACACAGAGCTTTAATTCCATTTTCTCCCAAAAACTTTAGTATTTCAGCACTTACTTCATCAGGGCCAAGTGCTTTTCCATTTTTTTTTGCCGTTTGTATTGAACGTGTAACCTCACTTTCTGTTATAGATGGACCTGATATAGCAATCGGTGTATAGTGTTCTACTCTCTGATCTTCAAATAATTCAGAAATGTAGTTTTTCCATTCTTTTAACTGTTCATTGATTTCTAATATTCTGTGTCCGTTTCTGTCTTCTAAACTTTGGAATACTTGTTTCCGTTTGTTTCCAGCGACCTCTTTTAATTTCTTGTGCAGATGAAGTGTATCGTGTTTATTTTCATGTTGTTCTATTTCATTACATTCTTTACTATGAAATTGTGTTTTCGCGTCTCTTATCTTCTGCCTGATTATTGCGTGGATCCTCTTGTATTCGTTTTTATCTTTATTTCTGACTTCTCTCCTTTGATCCATAAGTCTCAGTATTTCTTATGTCATCCACTTTTGTTTTTTCTTGCTTTTAGCGCAATCAATTTTGTTTCTTGAACAGTTTTTAAGATGTCTTTAATTCTCGTCCAGTTTTCCTCAGTACTTTCCTCTTTGCTTGATGTTAACTTCATTTTTTGTTATAATAAACTAGCTATTTCCTGTTTTACAGTATCATTTAATATCTTTTCTCTATCAATACTAACTGTTTGCTTATTCGTCCTTGCAACTCTTTTTAATTTGTCTTATTTTTCCTACTAATACTGAATTTCTGTATCTCTTATTTACACACATGAAGTCAATTTGGTTACGAACAACTCGTTCAGGTGTATTTGCTGGTGATTTCCAGGTGTAAAGACGTTTTGGAAGTTAATTGTGTGTGTTATAACTAATTGCTTTTCTACGCAAAAAGATGCCAACATATCTCCTCTTTTATTTCGTATTCCCAGACCATATTTTCCTATATCTTCCTGTTCACCTTCAACCTTTGCATTAAAATCTCCCATGATAATATTGAGATCGTGTTTTTTTGTAGGTGCTAATACTTTTTCTAAATCATGATAGAATTTTTCAATTTCTTCTTGTTCACAGTCTTGTGTGGGTACATATACTTGTAATATGTTCACATTCATTGTTGTTGATTGTATTCGTATCATCAGTATCCTGTCTGAGAATAGGACGACGTTTTTTACAGCTTTATCTGTTTCCTTTGACACAATTATTGCTACACCATTTTTGTGTTTTGAGCTGTCTTCTCCTAAATAGTATACAATGTGATCATCTAGTTACTTTTCCAGACCCTGGTCATCTCATTTCACTTATTCCAAGGATATTTATATTTAGACGCTTCATTTCTTTAATCGCGTTGTGAATTTTTCCTAGTTCTTACATGCTTCTCACAATCCATGTACCTATTTTTCTTTCTTTAGAAAATGTGTTCATGTCTCTAGCTGATCGGGAGATTCTTAGCACCCCTGCTCCATTTAAGGAGCGCCCGTACTCGGGGCCGTTGTATTTATCAGCCATTTCCATGATTGTTTGTTGGGAAAATTAGGCTCTAGGTGGTTTCCCGTTGCCTTTCTAGAGTGTGTCTATAAGGCCTACCTTGTTCTATAAGGTCCCTTAACATCCTTCCATATAAACAACTAAGTGTACTAGTTACTGAGATCTTGGTGTATTGAGAAGACGTATGCCACTTTCCATTAATTAAAAACGGAATATCCATTCATACACACATACTAATATTTTTTTGATTAAACGATCAACAGTTTTTCGGTGAAACATTGGAGGAATTCGGCATCTACTGCCCCAAGACCACTTGTTCCGTTATTTTTTAATGATATTACAGCTTTCCTATTCATTCGGTAAACAGATGGGTGAATGCCGATCTAGATCCGGATCTTAGGGTATATGTTGTTATATGTTATATCAATTGTTTCCTGTTATTACCTGCATTGATTTTTCGACATTTTCTATCTCACAATTTATTTTTCTCCGCTGTAACTGTTCTCCTGATATTGTTTTTCTTTGCAATATATTTCCGTCTGTCTTTTTTTTTTTTTTTGAGCTGAACCAAGGCAAATACAATGTCTTTTTGTTTAGACTAGCTGTTCTATATCGTATATCCACCATTCATTCTAGGTTTTTTTCATTCATCTCCTATTTTATTCGGATGGTAAATTATTTTACCATACAATTAATTACCTCATCTACTCTTTAGTATTGGCAATTAAATCAAATAATATTGGCTACTCGCGCATATGTAAACGATCTAGCAACTGTTGTTCTTATCAAGAAGGTTGTAAAGAAATTTTTTCTTTTCAAATGATACACGTGGTTCCTTTCACGATTAAATATTTATCTTAAATGTTAAGATGACCCTATTAGAACAAGGCTTCTTACGCAAGCCCTTACGTTAAAATTTGACATTCACCAAGCAAATAATATGCAATTGTGGAAAATAATACTACATTTCTAAGATAAACAAAAAAATAAAAAAAGTGCCCACCCACCAAGTCAATGGAAAAAAATATCGCGATATATACAATCGAAACTACCACCAACAGTCCAAACAATCATGAATACTTATCTACCTGGAACGTTGGTAGGCGCACTAATAGGTGGGAACCGACTAGGCGGAGGTGTTCTCGAATAGTTTTGTACCTCGCCTTTGCTTCCGGGACTGCCGGAAGGCAACGGACGCATTCCAGAAGGATTCGCTTCTGGAGGAATAATTTGACCGCCTCCCGAAGGAGAAGGATCCAAGAATCTGTGAGGCTGGTAGATTGGCGGATGAATTCCTGTAAATTTAAAAATACAGTTCATTCTATATTAGAAATTACTACATTCTGTTCTACTCTCGAATTAGCCTATTTTGATAACAGCTAAAAAATCCTAAACCCAGAAACGAAAAAAAAATGACTATATTTCGATGGCCTTCTAGCTCCCCAGATTTATCCCTAACAATATGCGGAACCTGATCGACTACCTCTGAATAATTTACCCCAACTACAAGATAACCTAGTTGAGCCCCGTCATCGTATCCACCAAGCCTAAGATGACATCTCTCATCATATGATACCATTAAACATTTAGTTTTAAGCCCGTTGCTTGAAAAATTATTTCGTTTACATTTTCAAAAATTATTGTCTATAAAAGTCACTACACTAATAATTAAAACTATAACAATTAATTAAAAAACAAACAAATTTAACTGCACTATTAAAAGTTTTGTAGTAGAAATTATTTTTGAATAGCGTGATGATTTATGTTTGTTTAATTGGTTGAGTACTTTATGTGTGTTTGCGATGTCAATCCAAGAAATTGGCAGCGTAAATCGGGGTGTCCACATTTAGGAATGTCTAAGCTTAGCCTCCTACATCAGAGTGGAGTAGGGTGAGAACATAGCATTTGAGAAGAAAGACTCATTAAGGGTCGATTAATACCGCAGTTGTCAATTAATATTGCATACAGGTCAACTGAGGAAAAGTCAGAATTTACACGTGCATAAGAACGGTACTTAAGTTTGAAACTCTGTCAGAAACATATAGTACTAAACAAAAAGTGGGGAACGTTGAAATAAAAAGCTTTACCTAAATTTATTATACACAGCCAGAAGAAGAGACGCAACAGTTCTTAAAGAGATCAACAATCTACGATGTCTCCCGGAATATGTAGTTACAAGGATATTAACCGTCATATTACCAGTGCCGATAGCATTGGGGTTAATGGTCCACAAGTAGAGGAGAAAGACGGAGAACCAACATGAAAAGAGCAAACTATACACCTGACAACATGTACAGAATATAAGAAGAACTATTACGAAAAATACAGAATACTATTACGACTCCAGGTACAGAATATTAATACACAATATTTACGAATAAGCTGAAACGATAGTGACGTTGGGTAATGGAATCGAAACAAGATCAGTAAAGTTCAACCGAGGCGTAAGGCAAGGAGACACAATATCTCCAAAATTATTTACAGCTTCCCTAGAAGATATCTTTAAGTCAATAAACTAGGAAAATAAGAGAATCCCTATTAACGGAAGATACTTGAATCACCTTAGATCGCAGATGATGTAGTACTAATAGACGACACGTGGAATGCGCTGAATACGATGATTGAAGAGCTATACACAGAATCCCTAAAAAAAAGGACCGAAAATGAATTTCAGCAAAACTAAACTAATGTCAAACAAAGATGATAAGCCTATGATAGACATCAAAAGGACAGAGATAGAACAGGTAAATGAATATACATATCTAGGTCAAAATGTCAAAGTAAGCAAGAAAATCAGACTACCGAAATAAGCAGATGTGTAAAAATGGAATGGGCAGCATTCGGAAGACTCTCATATGTACTTAAAAAAATATATACCTCAAAGACTGCGAACCAAAGTGTTTAATTCCTATATCCTACCTGTAATTACATATGGAGCTCAAACCTGGACATTCACTAAAATAAACATGGAGAAGATCAGAAAAACTCAGAGAGCTATAGAACGACAGATGCTGGGTATCTCACTCAAAGGCCATAAAACCAATGAAGACGTTAACAAAAGTAAAAGACGCTGTAGAACAGGCAGCTAAACTGAAATGGAAATGGGCTGGACATAACGAAGGTCTTAAGGATGGTCGATAGAATAAAGAAATCTGGAGCGGCGATATTAAAAGAACTGCAGGACCAATGTGGAAACGTCTTACAAACAACAGAGATGAATGGCGAGATGAATGTTAATTTTAAGATAATTCCAGTTCTAGTAAATAAACTATAGTACATATTATTAATAGGTCATAGAGTTATTAGGTCAAGGAGACCTATTTCGCGACAGGTATTTTGTAATAGTATTATTTTCGGGACTTATGCCATGTTCTGGAATGAACGATTCATATACAACTGCAGCAAGCATCATCAAAGGCGATTAGAGGTGAACGTAGATTTAATCTCATGTCGCTCCAATCGATCACTGATGATAGTCCTCGAGTATCTAGGCTATTTGTGGTTGCCTTGTGCATCCCAGGATCGATCGTTTGGTCCGAATCGGTGTTGGAATTTTCTGTGCCTTAAGAAGAGTTTTTGTATTATGCATTGTTAAGAGCCACACAATGTTTAGATGTAGAAGCTCCTCTTTACGATTACAATCAATTGAGTGTTTTTAAATTAGTCTCTTTGTCTGCCGTAGATGTAGGAAAAACATCAAAAGAAACAGAAATTTTAGATCACAGCCTGTAAACCCCGAATATAATGTATCATTACAAATTCAAAGATGATCTAAAAGTGTAAATTTTCCAAAATTTATTCTGAAAATTAATAATCCAGTTAAAAATTCTGGACATTAATTAAATGGGAAAAGTGAGAAAATATTGGTATATTCCCTATATTCTCTCTAATGATAAGTGAAGTTGACATCAAATGTATTTATAATTATTAAGCCATATTAAAAATAAAAAATTCAACATCTACCGTTCTGGATATTTACATACACTACAATAGAATTACCTGAAGTATGAGGTGGCCCCCGTATCTGATGCGGTGGAATCATTCCATGTGGATAGTGGTTCATATTTTGAGGGTAACTTAGTCTGAATGGCAAGCCCAATGGTACTCTTGGTCCACCTAATAAAAAAGTCTATGTATAAAAAAGAAGTAACTAATAAATGAATGTAACAGTATAATTTGTAAACTATATACTGATTTGATTTTCGTTACGTTCTGTTCGTTTTATTTGTTTATTAATTCTTTTATATTATTGTATATAATTCTTGTCTATTCTTAAATTTTCTTAAAAATGTAAACAAATTCCATTTTTTACATTTACCTGGAGGAAAACTTCCCGGCGGAGGTCCTCCAGTATGTGCCATTGCCGGTGATTCGTCTTTAGGTTTACTTAAAGCGTTGTCATCCTCGTCGTCGTCATCGTCCAGCATGGTAGCAAACTGTTTAGGCCTTATGGAACCTATGGGATAGGTCGTTGTTTGACCAGGTTTAGTTTGTAACATTCTGGTTATCACAGACGGCGTCGGGGCGCTTTGTGAGAATGGCTGAGGCGGAGCTGCTATCTCGATATTACATTCTGGTTCAGAAGAGGTTTTCTTATTTCCTAAATTGATTATAGCTTCTTCTAAAGACTTTTTAGGTTTAACTGGACGTCCTCGTTTCTTTTTAGGAGTCTCCTCTCCCTCTTTTTGACTTAACGCGTCCAAGAAGGGTATACTTATATTCATAGGCGGTTCCGAGAGTTCTTCGTTATCATCGTCATTATTGATTACACTAAAGTTTGAGACAATTGGTTCGTGACTAATATTGGAAACTTGCTGCCTCTTTCCTTGTACGTCATTGACCTCTTCCGATTCACCGTCGATGGATTTTCTTTTCTTCTTTTCGACTTCTATTTGTGTTAAATTCTATAAGATAAAATACATATTTTTTAAAGGATAAATTATTTTCTAAGTCACTAGTACTATTAATTGTCATGACAAGCCAGCAAATCAAGGGATCATCAATCAAATATTTGTTTATTACATCAACTAGAAAGACTATTTTATAATACAGTCAAAGATTTCATTATTTGTGACAGCTATTATTTCATTCAACATTCAATTACATTCAACAACTATTTATTGATGAAAGAGAAGAACTGTTATTAGAAATCATCGAGGATACCGGACCACCAATATTAAGAGAAGAAGTCATCTATGCCATCAAAAACACAAAAGAGGGTAAAGCTACTGGACCAGAGGAGGTGCCCATCGAATTATTAAAACTCATCGATGAATATGTTATTGATGTAATGGTTGAAATCTTTAATCTAATATATCAAACTGCCATGATCCCCAGACAATGGCTGCAAACCTTTGTAGCAATTCCCAAAAAACCAAGTTCAACAACTTGCTCAGACCACAGAACAATAGCTTTAATGAGTCACACACTTAAAACATTTTTGAAAATAATTCACAGCCGAATTGTTAAGACTCTTGAATATGACATTAGTGACAAACAATTTGGCTTTAAAAATGATATGAGTACAAGAGATGATTTGTTCGGCTTGAATGTGCTGGCTCAGAGATGCATGGACATGAATCAGGATATGTACTTATGTTTTGTAGACTTTGAAAAGTCATTTGATAAAGTTCAACATAAAAAGCTTGTAGATATATTAAAAAGCAAAAATATTGACAGTCGTGATCTGAAAATTATATCTAATTTATATTGGAATCAAACTGCCAAGGTAAGAGTTGACAGCCAGTACACCGAAAATATCAAAATACAGAGAGGAGTCCGCCAGAGTTGCGTGCTGTCCCCACTACTTTTCAATGTCTACAGTGAAGCGGTATTTCAAAAAGCGCTCTTAGACTCAATAGAAGGTATATCTATCAATGGAGAAGTTTTGAATAACTTACGTTTTTCAGACGATACAGTAATGATTACGGATAACAAAAATGATTTACAGAACGTAATGCAACGCCTTAATGAACGCTGTCATGAGTACGGACTGAAGATAAATTTGAAGAAAACTATGTTTGTCTTCCATGTTTGACAAAGAATGTCAAACATGGAAGTAACTAGAAGGATAGGAAATGAGGCGGAAATAATATTAACTATTAAAAGACGAAAACTTGAGTACTTGGGACATGTGATGAGAGGGCAAAAAGACGCATTACTACAACTTATTATGCAGGGCAAAATCCGAGGAAAGCGAAATGTGGGAAGACGAAGAATATCCTATCTTAAGAACTTAAGGGAATGGTTTGAATGCAGTAGTGCAGAACTTTTTAGAGCGGCAGTCAACAGAGTTCGCATAGCCATGATGATTTTCAACCTTCGATAGAAGATGGAACTTAAAGAAGAAGAATGCACCTAAGTAAAATGTTGCTTATGCTACTTGTAAACACATTTTGAAATAGACGTAGTTCAAGAAACAAATTGACAAAAGAGGCTTGTAAAATCATTAGAAGTATACACAAATATATAGATTGACTCTCATAGTTTACTATCTATATAATAGTTAATAAAAAAAAAACGACACATTCTATAGTGAAATCTGTCTTAACATAATCTCGAGTTTATCATCCAAAATAGTACTTTGTGTATTCAGTCTGATTCAAAAAACCGGTCATTGAGGTTATGTGTACAAAATGAAGTCATTAAACTTGGCAGGGTGGTACTAATTCCTTTTAAAAGAGACACAAGCTATTTAAACCTGTAAGATGTTGGTGGTACTTCTGACTACAGGGATCCATCAATATTGCTGGATCAACAAACCCCCTCTTAACTCTACCGTCGCTAAACAACAAACAATTACAGTTTTTCCCAGCTGTAATTTTTCTATCAGTAGATACTATAAAATTACAAGAATGTGTCACATCATAGGAACACCATTACAATCCAAAAACATACTGCTCCCTTCAAGAATCTCTAGTTGAGTTTGCACTTACCTTTCAAGTAAACAAATTGTGGACAATTTTCTGAAGGGTCACGGAGAAATTAAAATTGGAGAGAATGTTATTAAATAAAGAAGACTAATACTCCTGGCAAAAGATTACTTATATCTAATGTTTGTCAGACTATACCACTATAATTTAAGAGCTGGTATTGCAGACCCCAATATAAACATGTCTTTAGCTTACGAAGGCAGGTGTACTATACACCTAGTAAAATGGTAATAAAATATGGCGGTTTAAACTGCCACATATGTCATCAATCTGGTCACCTAGCCACAACCTGTACTTATGCGAGGTCACAACTCAATTTCGAAACAAACTAATCAAAACACCATTCCTTCATACACTCACTTTCCTGAAACTGAAATAAAAACCCATATAAATGAAACTGCAAAAGCTGACGAAACAATGAAGCCTACAGATATTTAACACTGGACAGAAAACTGAAGAAATTATATTTGTAAAACAAAAGTCAACGAAAACACACAAAGTTTACAATAAAAATCAGGAAAGTTTCCATTGCATCATTTCTTGAACCAGTGAAGAAGTTAATTAAAGAAACCGTGATTATGCCTTACAATGCAGGGATGTCCATGGTTCTTCCAATCCGATAGAAATCGCTCGAGAATACAGAACAGAAATATCCAAACTTATTAAAATGTTAACAAAAATCCATCCTATACTCAAAAAATAAGTACCCAAAGCAGAATTACAAGAATAAGTGGGAAAATACTCAAACAATTCACTGTAGAATTAATTAGCCAATCTGAACTAAACAACGATAGAAATACTTCCCAGGATATTACATATTAAAAGATCTATTAATCTACGAGGGTCATTCGTATAAAAGGGAATATGAATTTTTTTACGAATGAAAATTATTATGCTGCCGAGAAAGAATGCGACGTACTGCAACGTGCACCACTCCCGCTACGCTGATTTGCTCAGTGCTGGCCTAGCAGTCTTCGAAGATGAACCTCCCAATCGCTGTTACAGCCAAATGCGAAATTCGTGCTGATACGTTTTGAATACCGGAGCGGAAAACCTTCAGTTTCAGACAAAATTATCGAAAAACTTGAATATTGCTTGAAGATCGGAGGTTCACCACTAACAACCTTGAATTGCGTATTCCTAAGATTTTCCACAGCACAAATCGTAATATACTAATAGAAAACCAAGTAGCAATCACGTGAATGGCGTCACTCAACTTCGCCAAAGACAAGGAAGGTAAACAAACATAGTCTGCTTTGAAAGTTATAGCAACCGTCTTTTGGGACAGTAAGGGCCTACTGGTAATCGACTTTTTGCCTCCTGGAACAACAGTTAGCACCGACAGATATTGCGAGCCATTAAAATTTCTGAAATTTGCGACCCAGAACCGCCGGCGAGGACGATTGTCCAGTGGTGTGAGACTTCACAACAACGCTTGACCTCATGTCTCACATCAAACTGAACAACTGCTGAGAGATTTTGGCTGGACTGTTTTGTCCCGCTCCCCTACAGACCGGACCTAGCACCAAGTGATAATCACTTATTCCCAAAATTAAAGGAACATTTGGGTAGCTTACGCTTTGGTAACGAACATGGGGATAGAAAAGTTGGACCATCGTCTACAAAAGTATTTGGATAGAAACGGAGATTATGTAGAAAAATAGCGTAAGTTTTAAAATGATGTGTAACACTAACTATATAACAAAAATAAAGCTGTCTATATTTAAAATGCATGGGAACCTTATCCTCATATATTAGACAAGGTTTATTTACCCACACTGTACACGGTCCACTGTTCCAGGTTTAGAGACACGGGAGTAATTTATCTTAGGTGCGGTTGGATGGTGAAAGTGGCGATATACATCAATTTTGTAAATTCGACAGATTTATACAGATTCATATAAGTAAAATGTTTAGTGTCTTATGGTGCCAAGTCATTTTGTAAAGATTATTGTACATATAATATATTGTATTACTGTATTGTATTATATTTATGTATATTGTATAGTGTAAACCAGAATTGTAAAACCAATAAACTACTGTATAACCACTAGTAACGTATTATGGTTGATTTGATATATCTTAAATCATACACAAAAAAGGAGATATCTTTGAATGCTCTGACCACAGAGGAATTATTTTCCTAAACGCAGCATATAAAATATTCCCACTATTCCATGCCACCATATGCAAAACGAACAATAGGAAAATTCCAGGCTGGTTTCAAGGGTAGTGAATAGACAATTCATCAGGTCGCCCTAAGATCAATTTTAGAAAAAACACTGGAATATTATACCTTATATACTACAATTCAGCCTACTACTGTGTAAATAAAAGAGAAATGTTCAGAGCTATGAAAAACCTAGGAGTACCCAATCAGTTGGTTGAATGTATGAGTATGAAACCGGGGGAACTGTCTGAACCTTTTAAAACCATTAACGGGCTGCGCCAGGGAGACCCTCTGTATACTGTTTAATTTGGAGGATGAAATTGGAAGAAAAATTGTTGGGACTGCTAAATATTAGAAACTGGATAATACTAGGATTTGAAGAACTTTTTAGAACAGAGGAAGACATAAAGATTTGTCACCATAACACCTAACCTACAATGATGGAGATGGCACAAGGAGAGATACAAAATTGAAGTTTCACTAGGAGTTAACACGTGTTATAAACGCGTGTCGTAAGCTTAACGTTACCTTGCTTCCTTGGCTAATATGTACTTACTTTGACTAAATCTTTCACCTTGTCTATGTGTTCCGTAATCTTTTTTTTAGTTTCCTCTGTTGTAACCCCGTTACCGTTTCTTTCTTTTATGGCATTCGATACTGCTTTGTTCTCTTGTTTATTACATTCCACTTCGCTTTCAGAATCTTTAGCAACAGGAGCAGAAATAGGAACAGGAGCAGAAACTGGAACAGGAGCAGAAACTGGAACAGGAGCAGAAACTGTAACTGGAGCAGAAACTGGAACAGGAGCAGAAACTGGAACAGGGGCAGAAACTGGAACAGAAGCAGGGATTGGAACAGGAGCACAGACTGGAACAGGAGCAGAGACTGGAACAGGAATGACTTTCGCTTCCAAAGTTTCTTTCAACTTCTCAATTACTGCAGCTTTCTCCGGTTTATCTTCGGCCGCCTTTTCTGCAACTTGTTTAATTTCTACTTTCTTTTCTTCTATTTTATTATCCAGAGTTTCATCTGTTTTTTCTTTAGAAATTTCCTTTGCTAGATTTGGTTTCTCGGGTTCTTTAGAAGCAGCAGGGGCGGGTGCTGTTGTAGTTGTTGTAGGTGGTTTCTTAATATAAATCTTAGGTACAAAAGCTTTTCTTTCAGTCTCATTTTTCTCTTCATCTTCGTTGTCATTTTCTACTTCACTCTCTTTGCTGTGAATGCTATCCTTTTCTTCGTCGTCGTCGTTGGCTACGAAGTCTTCATCGTCGTAGTCGTCACTGACTAGACCAAGTCTGTCACGTCTACGCCTTTCCTAGAAATAAAAATAAATATATAAATAAAATAGTTATGCACAAAAAATAAAAATCAGATGATGGATAATCATGTAATGGAAAAAATACTATGCTAAATATGTAGCAAATTAAAGAATAGTATAAATAAGCACATAAGATTAGTGACAAATAAGTAGTGAATCTAGTTTAGGTTTCAACACAAGGTTATTTAAATATATAGTAAACCTTCTTTAATCCGACATGTTCGTGACTTAAATCATGCTAGATTATCAAATATTCAGAATTGTAGGATGATTACCGGGAACAGTACTATTTACTAGATATTTTAAGAAATCTAACTGGCTGAAAAGTGATGTCCAAATATCTCAATTTTGGTTCAACGCGCTCTTCCACATTTACCCTTAACGTCTCAAAGTCGTGCCGCGCCATAAGTATACAAGTTTAGTGTACCAGGAATACGACAAAAATAAAACTCGTCAACGCTGCAACGCTACAGAAAAAGTGTAAGTTGTCTAGATTCGGGGCAAATCGGTTATAAAAAATGCACTTTTACGTAGTCTCTTGATTTTTTTGCCTAATAATCAAGGAGAAACCAGATATTTTTGTTTTGCTAACTATTCACTAAAACATATTTAAAAAAAATTCCATATCAAACTATGAGGTCAAAGACTGCCGACTAGTAATGGAATGCCCAGTAATGCCAACTAAATGCGAAGGAGTAAATGGCACGACAGTCGCGCACGGAGCGAATATTGTAATGATGAAAAGGATTTGTGATGTAACAGTGTGAAAACTTAATATACATAAATAATTGCAAGAGTGTTTTGCATATTTAAAGTTAAAATAAAAACTTACATCTTCACTATCTGATCCTAATGTGTCAATATAGGTAGTTCTCTTTCCTCTAGTCCTACGCCCTCTTCCAAAATCATCGTCACTAGATGTTAAACCACCATATTTAATCTTTGGTCGCTTTTTATTCACCTTAATTTCTAGATCAGATAATTCGTCAAGTATACTGTCCTTCTTTTTCTTTTTTCTGCCTGGTCTGAAAAAGTTTATCTATAATTAGTTTTTTTTAATAAGTTTTTTTTAAGTAAATTTAAGATATTAAGCAACTGATCATTAATACATAATTTAATTACAAAATGCGCATAAAATGTCTTAAAATTTGATACTCTTTGATAAATACAAGTACGCCCTAATGTGGGCACCGAGCACCCAACTATGTCTCAGGACACATTTTTGTCCTAAGACCAAGAAATTGATTACAAGGCTATAGCGGGATAAGATGGTAAAATCTGCACTCGGCTGGATTCTTATTTGGGATAGGGTACTCGAAAGTACATAATTAGTAACGTCTTTATCCAAATTTTTAGCTGCATAAGTATACAGCAAAAATAAATCATGTATGTACATAGATTTTCACGCCCAAAAAAACGAATTTTTTCTTCAAATTTTTTGACCCAAATTGAGCCCAGGAAAAATATTTGAAATATAAATTAAAGATTTAGGCCGTGAAAACGCTTTTAATACAAGTACTTAAATATTTTAATATCTACATATTTCAAAGCGAAGCTTTATTTATATATTTTAAACACCACTCGATTTTCTGTAGTAGTAGGCGCAGACCTGCCGCACACGTCACGCGATGACAGCACACATCTGCGCAGCAGGCGTGATTTGAAAAACAGGGAACCGAATAAAACCTGGACCCTTTATCCATCAAGGAATCCGTGTCAACACAAATGGATAATGAAGATTCCCTCCCCGGGTGGTAAAGGCCGAGGACCCCCGGACGTTGGACGAAAAAGTCTATTCTATTCTGGCAGAACAAAGGTCCCCTGCGAATCTGTATCCAATGAGGGTGGCACGATAGCTATATCGTGCGGCACCACCCTCTCTGCAATACATATGTCGCCGTACGTACTGCTGCCCGTGATCCCTGAGAGCTAACAGTTGCACGCTGGTGAAATATCGGACCACAAAGCACGTTTAACGGGCTGCCGCCGAGGAGCATACTTCTCTAGCACTCATCTCCAATTAAAAGCACGTTTCAACGGCATACGTTCGAGCGTATATAACCTGCAAAACTTTCTGCAGAGGTTACGTGGAACAAAAGCAGAGTAGTCCTACATGAGCTCGTCTCGGATACTAGGAACACAATCCGTTGACCAGTGTGACTTGTCGACTCGTTTCGCTTCTAATAGCCCCCGACTACCGAGACCTCAAACGTCGGCCACGTTACTGTTCCTGCGTACGGGACGTAAGAGCTAGATCGCGCCCTGTGCTCGCTGCTGCGATCTCGACGCCTCAAGCGATGGCTTACTATCTCTCGTTCCATCCCATTGCACAACTTTAACGATCGGTAGGGACCAGCACCATAGCAGTATTCGGTTCGTCCTTTTCCTTCGAACAGCTATTTAGACACGGCCGCTGCTAGACAGCCGGACATACCATTTGCCGCCTTTTACGACTGGTAGAGGCCAGCACCCTAGCGGTATTCTTTTCATCCATTCGCTCGTAAAAAATCACTGAAAAATGCAGTATTTTCGAATTTAATAAAGTATGTTTCAATCTGAAAATGGCCATCATGAGCTCGCTATTAGAAAAAATGAAAAAAATAGAGGAAACATCGTTCTTCATTCACATGCAGTTGAGGTTATGTATTAAAAACATGAGCAAAATATCAAAAAAAGAGGGTTTGTTGAATTTAGAGCATGTTCTGGTCTAAAAAGAGCAAACCTGATCGCGGTATTAGAAATAATAAAAAAAAATATCTAAAATCGTTATTTATTAACATGCAATTGAGTTTATGTGCTAAAAACATGGAGGGAGGGGCGCACCAAAAAATAGGGTTTTTCGAATTTTGAGAATGTTCCTGAGAGAAAAGTGCAAATGTAACCACACCATTCAAAAGAAGGAAAAAAATACACAAAAACTACTTATTAAGTTTGCCAAAAATTACCTACATAACCTAAAAATTGTGTGAAAATTTCAAATATTTTTCCTGAGCTCGATTTTGATCCACAAATCTGAAAAAAGTCGAAAGTGCTTTTGAGCATGAAAATGTATGTTCACGAATTTTTCAAATTTTTAAAGCAAAGGATCGCTCAGGAAATTTTTCCCTGGGGATACCAAGGGAGCTAAAAATTTGGCACTCGATGTACTTTCGAGTGCCTAATCCCAAATGTAAATCCAGCTGAGTGCAGATTTTACCTTCATAATACTATCCAAGAAATGCGAAGACTCGCAATAGACATTATGAGAGTAAATGAAATGCGGTGGACAGACTCTGGTAGCTGCGAGGTTGATATTACCGGAAATATTATTCATGTAACTAAAATGGAGCAAACATAAATGGAGAAAAAAAAACGCAAATCATGTGAAAAACTTTTGCTAAATATCAGAACGAATTCTAGTAATTAAACTTTACCTAGATTCCAATTCCAAAGTTAACATCGTTTAAATATATGCACCAATCAGACGAATATTTCAACCAACAGCCGACAAATCAAATGAGACATTTGAAGAATTCTGTGGTAATTTTGTTAGAAAATTACCCACTTAACTTTGATTATAGGTGACTTCAATGTTAAAATAGCTTATGGACTAAAATAAGATAAACTAGCAAATTTTGGACTCTTATTGCCAGTTCAATCTAAAGATTGAACAGAAGAAAGAGAAGCTCTTAGAATAAGATATTTTGATGAAGGAAAATATATCTTACTTTTTCTTTTTTCTGCCCCACGTGCCGTCAGATTCTGAATTCGACTCCGTCTCTCCAAAATACTTGACTTTTTTCTTTTTCTTCTTAGGAATATCATCGTCGTCATCATTAACTGAAAATAAAAAATATCTTTAAGTTTATCTCTAGAGTAATATACAAATTAATTAAGAGTTGAAACCAGTCTGTTGATTAAGGTAGCTTAAGTTTGTTTAAATATGTTAACACCATGGACGACACATTTTTTTAAATCGACCTAATGTAAATACTGACTGACTGACTGAATTGAAATTACTTGGCATATACATGAAAAAAGGAATTGTAAACAAAAATAAAAAAAACCCGGTCTCGTTGTTTGGTCTACCAGTAGAAAAAATAAACTAGTTGTCGGTTTTAATTAACATATAGTATATATAGCTTCATATTAACATATAGTACATATACCGGGTGGTGAATCGTCAAACGGGCCATAGGAAACTCAATGAGAAATTTTAATTTGTTGAATTGCTGCTTCCCTAATTATTTTAGATCAAAAGTCATAAAAAACTATTTGTAGATGACTAAAATCTGAATTAAAAACAAATGTTAAAACCGTTCTACGAATCAAATGTACTTCAAAATTTTGCAAAAATATAATACATTTTTTAGGCCACCCCTAAAAGTTAGGCCACACGTAATGCAAGAATATATATTATGTGTGTTTTGTCCTATTGATGTTTGATATTTGACAATTTGAATTGTCAATTTTTTTATTTTATGAATAAATTATAAACAATGAATTTTACTAAATACTACTACTAATGAACATTATTACTTTGTGAACAATGTACTCAGTTGACGAAAAATCGCATAATGTTGTATTCAGGCAATAGCGAACCTTTTCCTGCCACTACCGGATCTTTATTTAACGTAAGATATTCTAATTCACTAAAATTTAATTCCATGTTAAGTTAAGTTATACAACAATTCAATGAATTCCAATATACTGTTACTGTGATCTTTATTCCTATTAATAATATATGATAATTTCTAAACATAAAACTATAACAAATGTTATAATAAAACATTTTTACTTTTTTCTCCTCAACTGAGTACATTTTTTAATCAACTTAATTTTTTTAACAATAAATCACAAAATTTTGGCCATTTAAATCATAGATAAATATAATATAATTGATTTAAATATTGTCAAATATCAGAAACAATAATATGACAAAACGCAACACGTAATACACATTTTTTCACAGAAAAATGTATTATATTATAGCAAAATTTTAGAATATGTTTTTTTTTTGGAATAAGTCGTAGAATAATGTTAACAGTTGTTTTCGATACATATTTGAGTCCTCTACAAATAGTTTCCCATGACTTTTGGTGTAAAATAATTAGGGAAGCAGGAATTCAACAATTTAGAATTTCCCATTGAGTTTCCTATGGCCCGTTTGACGATTCACCACCCTGTATATAGTACATATAGCTGAAAATATAGATAAATTTAAAGATTTACGAGATTGTAGTGAAAACAACTTACTAAAATCTGAGTCAAAGCGTGAGACTCTGGCTCTGGTTGACCTTCGAACTGGACGTAAAGACTTTCCTTTTCGACCAACCGCATAATCTTCACTATCATCACTATCTTCTTGTTCTTCTTCAGAACTGACAGAGCTAAAACAAAATATTTTTTATTAAAGATGCGTAAGCTGCGATGTAAAAAGTGGGAAAAAATAAATAAATATAGGTAAAGTAAGAAAGTGGTATATACTTTTTTCCCATTTCGTTTTCTTCTCAACTGAAAAAGGTAAAAATATACATATATAACTGAAACACGTTGTACACCACTCTAGATTAGTATATTTTTGTACGTTTCATTTGATAAGCTAAAATGTAATGACAATTTCCCACATATCGTGACAACGTGCCAAAAAATTATAAAATTGGTACAGACCGTAATCACAGTAAATATTTATTCATAATGTACGGATTACCTTATGAACCAGTATCACAAAAACTCCAATTCCATATTAAAAATAGCCTAATGACTTTCACAAAAAATGAAAAAATATGGACGTCTCACAAAACCATTAGATCTTTATTGCTTTATTGGCGTGTAACATCATCTTCTGTATAATATGATGTGATCCAAAATTGCAATTATTTTAACATTTCATTTAACATTTTTTAGAAACGATTTTTTCGATTAATGTATGGATTGTTAGGAAAAAAAATGAATTCTAACACGATTATCTCTTACATATGAAAATAAAGTCCAAATAATTATTGTATACTATCAAGTAGAGCAAAGAGTCTGCAGGGTTCAGAAAAGGCTGCAGTACATGTGTTCACCTATTGACCACAAACGTTCTAACTGAGAAACTAAATAAATATAAAACAGCAGAATTGTCTCAACAAAAGAAGGCACCCCGTAGTCTTCGACATGGAGACCTCCCCTTAAGAAAACATCGTCCGCTCCATCTACCAATCCAAATAAAGCTGTCAGGAATCTTCGCGTCAATCCCAACCAAAACAACTCGTCAGTGAACCAAGTCAGTGAACCAAGTCAATGAACCACGTCATCATCGACAGTATAAATGAACCGTCCGCCATCCCTAGCAGTAGTCGTAGGGAGTGCAGTGAGTAGGGAACAGTGTAGTGAAAAGATATGGGAGACTCAGGAAACTAAAACCCCTTATCCGATTATTGGTAAATTGCAAAGCATTCGTTTCTTTTTATGAATAAAATGAAATCTTATTTAATAGTAAAAAATATATCATCGTAACAAATAACTAATCGTTGTTTTTTGTCTTTCTAATAAACAATATGTACAACGCATCTACAGTGTCTAATTTCACTATTTATCATATTTTCACCATATTCTTCTTTTCCATTATAAAGAACACTCTCATACCTCTAACGTGAGTGAAGGCTTTCTTGTATATCTACAGAGCCTCAACGTCACCCAGTCATCCTAATCTGCCATCAAAGTGATTGCAAATTCTTTATTCATTTCAACGAACACGTATTTTTCTACTTCTCACCATTTTCACCCCTAAAAGACTCCTCTGATGACAGGGGAGGCTTTCTTATACACTTATACTTCTTGTACATCACCCCTACATCCCCAGAGGCTACTTCTACGGCCCCAACGCCACATATATAACCACCCAGCTGTCCGCCATCTTTGATCTTACATTTTCATATCCTATCTACTACCCGGACAAAGACACCAGAGAAGATGTCGAAAGCTCGGATACCTCCAAAATGTACTGTCTAATATTGACGTAGGTTTAAGTTCCAGTTTTAAGACAACATAGTTTTAAGTTGCATTAATTTGAATAAAAAAAGTTACTCATATTACTTATTGCTGTGTCCAATAAACATTCATTCCGAATAATTTATTAAATTGTCTCGGGCAATATAGATTTTATACTGGTAAAATTTGCTATCGTCTTTCACCTGATAGCTATTGCGTACATAGAATATGTATTACGGATAGCATGATGGAACTATAGCGGGTACCTCGGAATAGGTTTCAATCGTCTGTTCCACGCACCAGTGACAAAACGTCGACGGCATCGGTTTCAATTCCAACGGCGCCGCATTAGTTGAGTACACTTTGCGCATCGACCGGTCAAGACATTTATAATACAATGAAACTTGAACTGGTTTCTCGGAATAGGTTTTAGATATTAGATTAGAGAACGCATCGGCAACGTTCATTTCGATTCCAATATCGCTGCATTAGTTAGAAATATTCTGTTAAACATGATGGGTTCAAAATAATTTCAGGTAGGTACTGTTGCAACAGATTTCTAATTCACGGCAAGTAATTAATAAAGTAAAAATTAGTAAAGTTTTTTTGGGAAATATTTCGATATTAGGATGTTTCCATAATAAATGTTTTTTTAGATTAGAAACTGTAGTTTAATAGGACATTATTATTTTACAAATGTTACATTTTGCAATTTGGTTGCAACAGAAAAAAAATTCCATACAATGCTGGTACACTATTCATATTGTTGACATTTATTAAAATCTCTACGAAACTTGACATTGATTTATACTGTGTCATAGCAACTGTGAAAATAAATGTTACTTTTATCTATGAATTCTACCCAAATGCATTAAAAACCCCGAAAGGGCAACATAGTTCAAGAATCAATTGCTCGAGACACCCACGAATCCCCTCTCCTAGTTCGATCGTTAGAATTCGGTCAGTGCAACCACAGAATACTCCGTGCAACGCAACACAACAGTTGTAGCACAACTAGGAACAAGCTATTGGTGATCGATATGAAGTGTTTTCACGTCGGAATCAGAAACTCGCATTAGGTTTCTGGAATAGGTATGTGGTTGGAATAGGTTCAGTTGCAACCTATTACCGAAAAATGCTATTCTGTACCATCCCTAATATGTATATGATGTATGTGAATCTCATGAAACACAGATTGAAATGCCATGAACTACGTTATTCAAAATAAAATGCTCAGTTGCTAAACATTTCTTCTGGTATTTGGAATGAAATAGAACCCATTTATTTAATAGACCAAAGAAACTGTTTGCCGTATATTTAAAAAAATTAACAAATATTTAAAAATATACTAACCTCGATCCCTTGAAATCTTCATCTTTCTCGTCATCATCTTCACTGCTAAATTCCAGGTTCTTCAAAGTGCGTCTCTTCTTCCTTCTTTTCACCACAGGTTTAATCACTTCATTATCAGAGTCACTCTTATTCTTGTCCTCGTTGTCTTCATCTTTTTTTTCTTCGCCCTCTTTCTTTTCTTCAGGTACTTCTTCAGGGGTCTTTTCCTTTTCGGCAAGTTCTCTCTCTTTTCTTTCCTCTTCTTCGGCTCTCACTATAGTAGCGATATCTTTACCGCGGCTTTGCGTAGCTGAAAATAAAGATATTTTAAAATTATTTTCACTTTATGGAAATTAGAATTTGTCTTATTATCGATATTGCTAGATTTATTCAACGGACAGAAACTGATATGAATTGACATCAAGAATAATGCCTTTTTAAAGATGAGAAAATTTCTAACTAACCAAAGTCTAAATCTGCAAATCCAATATCGTATGGTAAAATGTCATATCCACTCTATTATTTATAGTGTCGAAGCTTGGGCTGTTAATGTTGACTGATAAAAAAATCTGAAAGCTTTTGAAATATAGCTGTTTAGAAGAATTTTGAAAATACCATGGACCGATCATATTACGAGGGAGATAAATGGATAGAATGTGAAAACATTAAGATGATTCCAGTTTACTCCACTTAGCCTCTTCTACTCAAATCTAATTCTCACCTTCACGCTGGTGTCCTCTATAAACCGAGCAACCCAACAGGAGATCCGATATCCAATCCGGGTGGAAAGTTGGGTCGGGAACTGACGAGAGTGGGTGAAATGGCACTCGTAAAAGGGGGTTTGGCGTTGGGTTAACATACTAACCCTGTAAAAACCTTCTGTTATGAGAGCTACAAAGAAAGAAACCGGACTGTCTAACCTACAAAGAACACGCAAACGAAATAAGGATAATAATTTAAAAATGTCCATGTGCAACGTAAGAAGCCTTTATCATCCTGGAGCCACGGCTCTGCTCATACAAGAAATGGATAAAGCTAAAATAGATATCATTGCTTTACAGGAAATGAGATGGACTAGCTTAGGTATCCTGGAAAGAAATAACTGCAATATTTACTATAGTGGACATCCTACCCAACACGGATTTGGTGCCGGATTTATTGTAAGCAACAAGGTCAAAGATAGTGTAATTGTAATTGATAAAAAGCTATTCTTCTTCTTCTTCACGTGCCATCTCCGCTACAAAGGTTGGCTATCATCATGGCAATTTTGACCCTGGAGGCTGCCGCTCGGAACAATTGTATGGAAGTGCAAGCAAACCACTCCCTGAGGTTTCTCAACCATGACATTCTTCTCCTACCTATGCTGCGCCTACCTTCAATCTTTCCTTGCATAATTAGTTGCAACAGTTGATATTTATTCCCACGTGTAATATGTCCCAGGTACTGTAGTTTCCTCAAAAAAGCTATTGATAATTGGATATGTCGAAGAGAAGTTCGCTAATATTACAAATTAGCATCCATGCTCCAACGCATGAAAAAGAGTATGATGAAAAAGACATGTTCTATGAGGCACTACACCGAGAGTACGGTGAATGCCCAAAAAATTATATCAAAATAATAGCAGGAGACTTAACGCCAAAGTCGGAAGAAAAAATATATTTTCGCTCACCATCGTAAAAGAGAGCCAACATGTAGACTCTAATGATAACTCTCTCAGAATTATAAACTTTGGGATGTCTAACAACATAGTAATAGCTGGGACACGATTTCCCCATAAAGGTATACATAAGGGAACTTGGAAATCTCCCGATAATGAAAAGATTAACCAAATGGATCATATAATCATCTATGCAAGACACTAACTCATTAGATGTTAGGTCTTTTAGAGGAGTCATCATTATTTAGTTAAAGCACGATTTAAAGAGAGAATATCCAATTTAAAAATGGAGATCGAGAAAAAATCGACATTAATAAACTAAAAGATACCGACATTGCAAATGTATACAGACAGCAAATAGAAGATCGAATAAGGACAGAAAACTCGGAAGAAGAAGAAGACATTAACCAACTATGGGCAAATATACGAGATATTGTGTTACAGAAATCGGTTGAAATATTGGGCAAAACCAAAACCAAGTCAGAAAAAAGAAATCATTGGTTTGATCATGAGTGCGAAATGGCCACAAATAGAAAGAACGCAGCATATCAGAAAACCATCGATGCAGGTTATACACGGAGAAAAAAACAAGAGTATAGACGTCTTAGAAGACAGACGATCAGAACACTCTAATGAGATAAAAAGTTTATTCGATAAAAATGAAACGAGGAAATAGTACAAATTTTTAAATAATAGCCGTCGAGAATTTAAACAACGATTAAAAATTTGTAAAGACACTGACGGTGAAATTCTACATGATAAAAACTCAGATCTTAACAGATGGGCCCAACATTTCAGCGAACATCTAAATATAAACGATATTGAAGGTTACAACATAGACAATCAACAAAATCTACAACGTCAACCACACAGACAACAAGAGAAGTGTGAAATTCATCCTAAAGCTCAAAAGACAATAAATTCCCAGGAATCAATGAAATCTGTTCGGAAAGGTATAAAAAGTGGTGATCAACTTTTTGCAGCAATTCATAAACTAATAGTACTTATATGGCAGAATGAATTGGTACTATAAGAGTGGCTAAAGGGAATAATATGTCCGTTGCATAAAAAGGGTGATCAACTGGAGTGTAAGAACTACAGAGGCATTACTCTGTTAACAGCTGCGTATAAAATTTTCGGCAATGTATTGTTTGAAAGACAAACATTTTACAAAGGATATTGTTGGTCAATATCAATGCGGATTTACTTCGGGAAAGTCAACTACACATCAAATTCAAGCAGATAGACAGATTCTAAAAAAGTCACTATAATATAACATAGATACACACCTTTTCTTCGTCGACTTCGAAGCAATCTATGATAGTGTGAAAAGAACTGCGTTATATAATGCAATGATAGACCTTGGGATCCCACCTAAGTTAGTTAAGTTGAACCAACTAACAATGCAAAATGTAAGCTCATGCGTTAGAATTGAAGGAGAAAAACTCTTATGTTCTTTGACATTAATAATGGTCTAAGACAGGGGGACGCGCTGGCGTTGCTCCTCTTTAATATTACCTTGGAAAAGGCAATCAGTGAGCGAGTGAGTGATATATACGGATATCTTGGGTTTAGTAGTCAACACTGGCCTTCAAGTAAAACTCTTTTAGGTTTGTTGACTACTAAACCCAAGATATCCGTATATATATATATATATATATATATATATATATATATATATATAAGACCGGTTTAGATATATAGGACTGAAACGTGGACCTTATCTCAAAATGATAAAAGACTTCTTGGTATTTTTGAGAGAAAAATTCTTTGAAAGATTTTTGGGGACGTAAATGAAAATGGGCTATGGCTTCGAAGATACTACTTTGAACTATATCTGTTGAACACCTATCCAGATATTGTGAAATTCGTTAAATTGCAGAGACTTAAATGGGCTCGACACATTGTTAGGATGTCAGATGGCGAATACACGAAGATATTAACATTTTCAAAACCAGATGGCACAAGAAGTAGATGACGACCACAAAGAAGATATATTGATGATGTAGAAGATCTTCAGATTGTAAGGGTCAGAAGATAGAGGAAAGTTGCCAGGAATCGGCAGGAGTGACGACTTCTTTGTGAGCAGGCCAAAATCCACAACGGATTGTCGAGCCACTTATGATGATGATGATGATCATATTACGAACGAAATGGTGTTTGATAGAGAACAGAGAGAGAGAACTTTTGACCACCATTAAAACAAGAAAGACGGCATATTTGGGACAAAAGTAGTCCTGATAGACGACAAATATGCTGGCTGAAAAACATTCACCACTGGACCGGGTTAAACACACAGACACTTTTAAGAAAAGCCGAAGATAAAACAAATTTGCAATGGTTGTAGTCAATCTTCATTAGTGGAGTCGACACTAGAAGAAGAATAGACATTAAATAAATGAAAGTCAATATGGACATAATAATTCGCCACAAAACCTTAAAATTATGTTATAAGGAAAAAATACTAAAAAACGATAATATATGATTTGGTATAAAAATAGTGCGATAAATGCAAAAAATCAGGCACTTATCTGAATTTATTATCAACTCTATACATACCTTTATCGTGCGCCTTCTCCTCAATTTCATCCTGTATCGCAGATTTGATAAGCTCATCATATTCATTAAACTTATAACTCTTCGCTTGTCTACGTTGCCTAAGCTGGTATATCGGTTCATCACTATCGCTACTATCACTCTCTTCTGACTCTGATGATTCTGATTGTTCGCTACTACTCGGAGTACCATCGTAGGAATGCCTTCGTCTCTTTTTGCGGTGTTCTTTTTCTTTAGCGGGTAGTACGTTGTTAAGACTAATGCCGACGTAGGCGAGACGTTCTTTTCGTCTATCTTCTACTTCCTTTTTGGTAAGCTTTTTGTCATATTCTACTAGTTTGGCGTGAAGATTCTCAACAAGTTTTAGCTGAAATATATATCGGTATTAGGTTGTTAGTTAGTATATGTATATACAGATGTACTTACATGTTGACAAGGCGGACAAAACCAATCACCTTCGGGAATGCTTAATAGAGGTGGGCGAAGACATGAACAGTGCCAACCGTTATCACATTTATCACAGAGCAATACCATTTCCGGATGATCAGATTTGCCGCACTTCTGACATGGAAAGTCTTCTTCTTCCTCCCGTGCATCAGAATCGACTAAAATAAATATGAGATTAAAACTTGTAAGTAATTGAACAAAATGTATAAAAATATGAACATTATTGTTGAGAAAACTGTTGTTCAGGCAGACTATGTCAATATTCTGTAAACTTCTTTTGAGTACCGTGCCCAGATTTAGTCGTGAACAGCCTCCAGTAGATAATTTTCTCCAACTTGTGTGAGATGTAACAATTGATCTACTAATAAGGCAGCACATTGACGAAGGTTTAAGAGTCATGAATATTTCTTCCTACCAATTCTTCACTTTCCCTTTATCCTTCCATTGATTATTAACAGCGGTATGCAGTATCTTCTACCCTGATGATATGCCCCAAATATTCAACTTTTCTAGAAATACTTATGAATGTTATAGGTAAACCATCAAATAATAATCATAAAGATTTACTAATTGAGAATAATAATAAAAATACTAAAAACAATATTCATTAAATAAAACAAAACATACAACAAATTTGATCAAATATCTATATGAATATAAGTGAAGTTAAACGTCTGTTTTCTTTCTACACGTAATTTGACAGGTTACGTCAAAATAAGGGATCTTTAAATAAAAGTTCTCTGGTCTGTATTTAATTTAAATACAGGCGGCGTTTACTTTATTATCGCACAGTAATAAAAGACGCACAACTGCACATGCCTATAAGATGACATAAAATACGTCTTTAATAATTCTCTATTTATTTTGTTAATCACAGCTTCCTTTGTTAGTCATAGTGTGGCACCATCTATTAGTTATATCATCATTATCACCATCAGTGGCATTACAGATCGTTATGAGCCAAAGCCTTCTTCAGAACAATCATCCATTCACCTCTGTCTATGACAACTCTTCTCCATGCTTTAACTCCGATGGATTTTAGATCATCCTCTATGTAATCTTGATACCTAAGTTTTGGTCTTCCTCTGGCTCGTCTTCCCACTGGTCCTCTTCGGTCGATTTTTTTTTCTGATTGTTGCATCTTCATCTCGCCTAATTACATGTCCTGTCCATCGAAAGCCTGCTAATTTAATACATTTTACAACGTCAGGTTCCCCAAAACTTCTGTATAACTCTAAGTTGTAACGCCTACGCCACCAACCCTGTTCTTGGACTCCTCCATATATTTTCCTTAGAATTTTTCTCTCGAAACGTTTAAGCACTTCTTGATCGTTCTGTGTAAGTGACCACGTTTCTGACCTGTATGTTAACACTGGCCTTATTAGTGTTTTAATATGGTAATTTTAATTTTTCTGTGTAGTTTTGGGGTTATCTGTTTCCTCAAGACATAATAGCACTTATTGGAAAGCACTATTCTTCTTTTAATTTCTTCGCTGACATTGTTGTCTTTGGTCAGCAGCGAACCCAGGTAGACGAATAAGTCCACACCTTCCACTTCTAAATCATCAATTAATAGTCTGGGTATCTGGTTGCCTGATATAGTACAATACATATACTTGGTTTTCTGTGCGTTTATTTTTAATCCCATTCTCAGTGCATACGCCCTTAATGATCGAAATTGTTCGATCAGACATTCTGTGGACCTAGCAATAATATCTATGTCATCTGCATATCCGACCACTTATACAGGTTTATTAAAGGTGGTGCCATTCATATTAATATGGCACTCTCGAATTACTTTTTCTAGTGCAACGTTAAATAAGAGACACGAAAGTCCATCTCTTTGTCTCAGTCCATTTTTACAATGGAAGGGTCTTGAAAAGTCGTTTTGGATTCTGACTTCACTCTCTACGCCTGTGAGTGTAAGTTCCGTTAGTTGAACAAGATGAAGCGGCATTTGAAATTCCACCATAGCCTGTAGAAGATTTTGTCCATTGACTGAGTCGTATGCGGCTTTGAAATCCACGAATATGTGGTGGGTGTCGACTCCGAACTCAAGCGTTTTCTCAAGAATCTGCCTGAGTGTGAAGATTTGGTCCGTTGTTGATTCCCAACTATTTTTGTTCAGCATAGGGGATCAATCTTCTGTATAATACGTTAGACAATACTTTATATGCCACGTTAAGGAGGGTGATGTCTCTATAATTATCACACACCATCATATCTCCCTTTTTGTGAATATGGTGCATTACACCTAATTTCCACTCTGCGCGCGTTTCCTTCCGTTGCCAGATTTCGGTTAGTAATTTATGAATGTGTTTAAAAAGGGTGTCATTACCAAGTTCGGCAGGAAGATTGTCCAAACCAGGGGCTTTGACATTTTTCAGTTTTGAAATGGCTTCTCTAATTTCTTTCTGTCGCCAAAGAGTTCTTCAAAATGATTCGCCCACCTCTTTAGTGTCTGTTCTTTGTCGTTAATTATGGAACCATCTCTGTCTTTACATGCTGTTATTCTGGGTTTGAATTCTTTTCTGCAGCTGTTATCTCCCGGTAGAATTTTCGCGAGTCTTTTCTATTGTGGTGGTTAACAATCTCGTTTATAGCGCTTTCATATGGATCTTTCTTTTTCCTTCTAAACGTCCGTTTTTCTTCTTGTCTAAGATTTTCATAGTCTTCCAGGTTTGATCTCGTTCTGCGCTGCTGAAGTCTCTTATATGCTTCATTTTTCTGTTGGTTAATGAATCTACATTCTTCGTCAAACCAATCTTAGTTTATTTTAGAATGGTTAGGTTTTAAAAAGCCTTTAGCCGCTGTGTGGATAGCTTCCTTGCATTTGGTCCAGTTATTATTAATATTAGTTATTCCTAGCGTCTTCAGATTTCAGCACATCAGTATTATATTTCGTAGATTTTGTGCTCTGGCCCTTCTTAGCGTTTGATACACGAGCCCTGAGTTTTGTTCTTACAAGGTAATAGTCAGAGTCTATATTAGAACCTCTACATGCTCTTGTAACATTTTTTTTACTATTAATATATTAAATTATTTTTAATTCCTTTTACCCCCGTGATGATACGCCGATGATCGTGTTTACGATAATAAAATATTATTGGACCTACCAAACTATCATGGATTTCCCTAATTAAGAAAGGTTGTTAATCCTTTCTTTCTTAATCCCGAGTATGAAAGGAACTAATGCTTTTCGGTATGCGGGTTCTTTTTCATAAATTGGTAATTTTCGTCGAAGGCACTTATAGTAATCTTTTGACAATAACATAATCCAAAGGATTGTATGTTTCTCAGGTCCAATTGTTGGTACCGTAAATACCTCAAACTTTTCGATGTCCATTAGAATATTTTTACCTTCTCTAAACTACATACAACTGGCCTATGATCTTTGAGTGGGAGATTTCTTCTTTTTTTTTGTGAGTTTGGTAAATTTTGGCAAAGAAAGATTTACTTATCGGTGGGCCGTTGCGGAGAAAGGTTGATTTCTCGTGAGACTTCGCTCACATCGTATTTGTTATCTTACCGTTTGTGAATTGTTTTCTAAGTGTGTATACACTTTATATTTGAGTTTTCTTTTCTCATACTATATTAAATTATATATAGTTTTAAAGTACCCTTAATGGTAATTAAATTCAGTGTTTGATACATGTAAAGTATTAAGTACAGTATATAACTTCTGTGAAGTACCTAGTGAACCAGTCGTCAAGACTTACTGTAAGTAATCATTATCTTCAAATTATCTGAGCCAGTAATATGGTATGGTAACATATCATCCTCCATTATCTGGACGTATCTAAAGTTCTTCCATTTACAGACCTTTAGATTGCTGATTTTTGTATTCAATTTAAAGAACATTTCAATAAATTCAAGAAATTTCAATAAATAATAATTATGAACATTACTCTCAGTTTATCATTAAATAATAGTGCGAGATAGTTAATCCACTTAGCCAAGTGCGGTTTCGTTAAATTTTTATGTTTTCATTTCTGTAACCTTGTTGTATTTTTGTAATTTTAGATTTAATTAATTTTTGTTATCTTTTGTGTTTGTTATATTTTTTATTCATTTTTTTTACTGTAATATCTCGAGGTACGCCCATAACACTTTATTTGTAAATGATTGTCTTATATATCTTTGTAAAGGTATTTGCTGTCTTACAGATTTTAATTAAAGATATCTCATTTACAAATTTAACTGAGAGCTAACGGCAACAATGCTAAATATCAGGAGTAAAATTTTACCGGGGTCGTTTTTATTGTGTATGCTTCGACAATGTAAATAAGTAAAATATACGAAATTATATCATAACATTTTGCCCACGTAACAATATAAATTTTGCATACCGGTTCGTTTTTCGAGCGTATAGTTGGACCAGTTCAGTTAAATATTTTAAAACATCGGTAAACTTATCAATATTTCGCTTGGCTATATATTTACGTCCTGTGAAAAAATAGTAATGAGATGATATATTTGATTCATTTCACATTCTTATATGTCCAGAGGCGGGTGTGTTGTGTTTCTTGTGCATGTGACTTTCTTTTTATATTTGTTAAATAGACTTTATTATTATTTATTAATTTTAAAATAGTTTTTGTGGTAAGTAAACAACAAATACATAGCAGAATATTATGATTGGTGTTTATTCTTTTTAGAGCATTAAGATGGATGACGTAGCGGGTCCAAGTAATGTACAAAGAAAACGGAAGTTTATGTCGGTAGAAGAAAAGCAGATTGTCTGTAGAGTGTATGAAAATTTAAAAAATACACTTCGTACAGTAGAAGCATTAGCTCAGTGTTCATTTTTAACGGGAGTATCCGTGTCGACAATAGAACGCATTGTACGTGAAAAAAGGCGACTGGGATTGTGCAAGCTCCAAAAGTACATTGTCGTGGTAGAAAAAAAATTAAATTGGATCAGTACCAGAAAAATTTTGTACGCTCCACTATTCATTCTTTCTTTTTTGAGAATAAAGCGCCAACCCTCGAATCCATTAGGACAAAGGTAATGGAGAATGGTCTGATTCCAAAAATGAGCAAAGAGACGTTAAGGATAATAATAAAAGAAGATTTAAAATTTATATATGCCAAAAGATCCCGTAAATCTGTCTTAATAGAAAGAGAAGATATAGTCGCATGGCGACGAAGATATCTTCGTTCTATTAGAGAGGTTCGTTCTGCTCACAAAAAGATTTATTATCTGGACGAAACGTGGGTAAATGCTGGTCACACAGTATCTAAGATCTGGCAAGATACTACTATAACGAGTTATCGTCAAGCATTTGTGAATGGTTTATCAACAGGGTTACGAGGACCAACGGGTAAAGGGCAACGACTGATTGTCGCCCATATAGGTAGTGAGAGTGGATTTTTAGAAGATAGTGCACTAATTTTTTTATCTAAAAAAACGGGGGATTACCATGAAGACATGGACGCCCAACGTTTTGAACAATGGTTTCAATCCCTTCTTTCACGAGTCGAGCCTAATTCCGTAATAGTGATGGATAACGCTTCTTACCATAGTCGATTAATAGAAAATCTGCCAACTATGGCCACCAGAAAAGCAAATATGCAGAGTTGGTTAAGACAAAAAGGAATTCCATTTTCCGAGGACATGGTTAAGGCTGAGCTTATAAATGTAATTAGACAGCATCGTGACAGATATCGCCAGCATGTTGTAGATACAATGGCACGTGCTAAAGGCATTACTATTTTGAGACTTCCCCCTTACCATTGCGAGTTGAACCCGATAGAATTAATCTGGGCTCAAATAAAGGGTTACGTAGCTCGTGAAAACGTGACATATAAAATTTCTGATGTCCAACGTTTGTTGGAACTCGCAATGGAACGGATACGAAAAGAAGATTGGGCTAATGCCGTAGCTCATGTAATCAAGGAAGAAGACAAAATGTGGATATTAGACGGGATGGTAGACAATGTTTCCGACAAAATAATAATAAACTTAAGTGAGACTGGAGATGACTCATCGAACGAGTCGCTGGATTCCGAAACTTCATCAGCATAAATAAGGTAATTATTTCTTTGCTTTGTAGTTATCCTTTTATATAAATGGAATATAATAATTATTTTGCAGTTTTCGGATTTTTGAAGTATTGTATTAGGCACCCTATAATAACAATAAAATTTTACTTTATTTTGTAAGACAACTATAAGATAAAGTTAAAGCGACGTAAAAAGACCGCATTGACATTTAATGGTGATAACTTTATTGCTAGTCGACCAAGAAAGCGAAGATACCTTTTACAACATCTTTATGTATAACATTTTACTGCTCTGTTGTGTCAATCGGCCCTACTTAACAAGTTATCGATTCATTTTATTGAAATAGGACTTACGGAATATAATATGTATTCATACGAATTTATTATTTATTTATATTTATTTTTATTTTAATGATTTTTGTTTAATTTTTGTGACGTTTAATGTAGGTTTACCAACTAAACAAAGTTATGCATTTGCAAGAACATATTGTTATTAGAAATATAAAGTTCCATTCACATATGTCATTGAAAAATGATTTATGTTATCTAAATTACTGTTATGGAGAAAGAAATATGTGCTACAGCCGCGATATCTGTCATCATGTATTACATTTTTGTTGATGGTTAAACATTTAATGATCTTATATTATTTAATATCTTAGTGAGAATTACATTTAGGCAAATGCACAATCCTCAAAAGTGTTATTTAAAGTTTTTGCAAAGTTTTGCACAAAAAAATTTGCAATATCAGTGTTTAACTTATTGCCTAAATATAATTCTCACTAAGATATTAAATAATACAAGATCATTTAATGTTTAACCATCAGCAAAAATGTAATATATGATGACAAATATGAATTTTATGGTAATACGATATTCACATATATCGCGGCTGTAGCATATTTCTTTGTCCATAACCGTAATTTAAATAACATAAATAACTTTTTAAATGACATCTGTGAATGGAACTTTATTTTTCTAATAACAATATGTTCTTCCAAATGCATAACTTTGTTTAGTTGGTAAACCTAAAATAAAAATAAATAATAAATTCACTGTATGAATCCGATATATTATATTCCGTAGTATATTCGAGTTTATTTAACTCTTTTTCAAAACATACTAAAAATTAACATAACAAACTACATTAGGACAATGAAGTTATTGTATCTTCAACAGGCTTACCCTTGTGAGAATTGTATTGTAAAATTAGCAAAATTACTTAACATATTGACATTATTAATTTGATTTTCTTTTTCTTTCTGTCAAAGCTTATTACTACGGTTTCCATGTCTCTTCTATTTTTTTATATTTATTTTAGGTTAGTTTGACAGAGAAAGTGTCTATGTTTATGAAAACATAGTTTCATAAACATCAAGTATCTTTGATATATTCCCTAGTAGTTACTCTTTCCCTCTTATTTTGGGCTTTTGGATAATAATAGATCACCTAGTAGGAGCTTAGAACGCTTAGTGGAACTATGATGGGACGTCGGTCAGTATAACATCCAAGGAAGCGGTGGATAGACGAAGTAAGTACCGATGCTAAAGAGATAATGAGGGTGGATAACTGGAGGAGAGTAGCCAAGGAAAGGGAAGCTTGGAGGAGGATGCTGGGAGAGAACAGGGCCTAACGTGGGCTGGAGCGCCATAGGAGAGAGATTATATTATATGCAGAGTTATAGTATAGCACAGTAAACTGAATGATTTCTATATTAAAAATGTCATTAATAAAATAAATTTTATTGTGTGTAATAAATTACATATAAATATTATATTTATTTCATTTGCTTTTAACGGAACAAAATCAAATTTTCTTACGGAATATAAAATATATGTAATTACTATTTAAATGGGAATAAGCCACAATTAAAGGTTAAAGTACGTTTATTGACGTTTTAATTTCCACTTCGGAAAATACAAACAGTAGTAAATTAAACAAATTTTGTTTCTTTATTAAGAAAGAAATTAACAAAGAAACAAAATTTGTTTAAAATACTCCTTTTTGTATTTTAAAAACGATTCCCGAAGTGGAAATTGAGACCTCAATAAACTTACTTTAACCTTAAATTGTGGCTTATGCTCATTTAAATAGTAATTACTTAAAATGCCACAAGAAAATAGCTTCAGAACAATAAAAAAATATATGAAATTACAAAATTTAATTTTTAAGTGATTGAAATTAAATTTAAAAAATTGTTTGATGCCCATTGATCATTGCTTAATTACTAACCTTTCTTCTTATATAGCTTTTACTTTATCCGTCAAGACACATATAATAATTTAATAATTATATCCGTCTTAGATTTAATTTTTAGGTAATTACGTATGTATTTAAATAAATAATTAAAATCTTATTTTGGTACGCCTCTGCAAAGTTGATAAGGGAAATATCCTTTCGTCGCTTTAAATGCGATGTTGCTAAAAAATCGTCTTCAGGTAAAAACTGTATTAGTATAATTACATTACTGCTTATTTTTACGTGTATACCACCATTTTATAGTTGTTGGTGTATTTTATTACTTGTGTTGCATTCAGCAGCGTCATAATTTTGTTGTTGATATATTGTTATTGTTTTATGTATGTATTTTATTTGTCGGCTCCTAACAAGTTCCCTGATAAAATAGTAACTCTCTGAATATTTGCTTTATATCTTTAAATATTACTATACTTTTGACCAGTAGAAAGATCAGGCTGATTAAGTTTCGTAGGTAAGTAATATATTTATTATTTATTTATATATTGTGTTGACCAAATTTATTTGATAATTAACTGTTGGTATCTTTCCTTGGGTTTGATCTCTGAACCTAAATATATTTCCTTATCTCTTTTCTTTTCTAAGGTTTCTTAATTTTCTCCTTAACCCCAAAAAATTGAGTGGCGCCCTGTTTCTATCTTATCGTATTCGTATATCGTAGTTTTAACCATCTATCTTTTTGTTTATTTCTGTATCTTTTCTAATATCTCTTATCCTATCTTTACTTATTTCGTCCGTTGGACCCATTCCCGATTCTAAAAGCTAGTTTCGAACCCACGACTCGCTCTCCACCAACCATCTGGCTGCCGTCCGCAGTGTCTCCATTGGTTATCTTTCTAGCACCATCCAAAAAAGATTTCCGAGGTTACACTCTTACATCTATTCCGTCCGAGAAATGTCGACTATCAATTAGGACATGGTCAATTTGGTTTTTTGTTTGACGGTCTGGTGATTGCCATGTGGCTTTGTGGATATTTTTGTGAGGAAAACATGTACTTACTACCACCATTCCCAATGATGCTCTGACTTCAATCAGGCGTAAACCATGTTGGTTGCTGACAGCATGAAGACTCTTATATATATATATATATATATCAATATATATATATATATATAATATATATATATATATATATATATATATATATATATATATATATATATATATATATATACTCAATAGTCTCTTGGCCGACTTTAGCGTTAAAATCACCAATAAATATCTATTAGTTAGTCTATTAGTATTAAAAAATCTATTAGTTACATTGAGATTTAAAATGACAAAAAAACTGTTTTTGAGGTCGTTCCGTACAATTTTTTGAAAATTATCTTTTACACAAACCTCCTAATAATAACAAACACAACAAAAAAATAATTATCTAATTTGGTGCAGTCGTTCTGAAGAGATGTTCTTTCAAACATTTCGGCGATTCATTTTTATTGATATAGATTTATAAAGCAAGAAACAATATTGAAGATTGCATCGTAATATGTCAAAAAATGCACTACTTACCTTCTACTTTTTTCCTGGCAGTTCTAGCCCTCTTGGGTGGTTGGTATCCATCAGCAGTTTCGAGATCACTTTCTGGCGAAAACTCGTGATCAGACTTAAAATCTAGAGGAGGTTCGTCTTCCTCAATAACTTCTTCTTCCTCTTCGAGCTCTTCATGTTCCTCCTCACTTGACCCGCTGCTTGACAGCCATGGACGATGTTCGTCGAAGTTAGGCGCTTTCTTGCCTTTACGTCTCTTCTTCTTGGTCGATTCTTCGACGGGTTCAGGTACGGGAATTACTTCTTTAATCTGTTCTTTATTCTTTTTCTTCTTTTTGGTTTCTACTACGACAGGTTCCGGTAACTTCTACAAGATAAAAAATATGATGAAAAACAAACGACTAAAAAGTAATCTAGACAATTCATTTGAAATCGACTAAATCACCAAATCTACTAAGTTACGAGGTTTATTATATACCAATCATCCATGCTTCAGCGTGAATCACTAAAGCAGAGATTGGTACTCACCTTGTCTCCCTTCTTTTTGCTTTTGAATTTATCCTCTTTGAACTTCGGTTCCGGTTTCTTGGGCTCAACTTGTTCTTTAATTTTTATTTGAGCCAATCTTCTAGATTGCCTTACATTCGATGCTAGATTCAGACTCTCGCTAGATATATCAAGACCTGCCAATACTCGCTCTGAAAAATTAAAAATTTTATGAACGAAATTGTTCGTATTATGATACTAGACTAACATGAGTGGACAAGTAAGCATATATCTTATTATTCTAAACTTTAAAAATGTTTACAAAATTTCATTCCGAGGAAATAATTCGACAACTTTAATAAAAATATTAAATATATAATATTAATATCACACTTATGAGAAATAAATTCAAAAATACATGCAAGTTAATTATTCAGAGGCTTCAGAGCAGAATAATATCCAAGATATATATGAAGGTGCTATAAACTTGAGGCCAACTAAGGGGTGCCCTCTAATATGGGTCTAGGTTTTCGCAGACGATAATGTAATAGTGTGCTAGGGTTTTAATTCCTAAGTATTTAAACGCAAAATAGTCTTAAAATATACTTTCTAATAGACGAGACAATCCAAAAATTGTAACTGGCGCGAACCTAAGAAAAGGACAGTATATACATGGAGAAGACAAGACCGTGTTTATGTATCAAAATGGAAGGATAAGAGAGATGTCTGTAGTATATCCACTCGTTACCATCCGACAATGATAGAAACAACAAACAGATTTAACCAGCTCAAAGTAAAATCAAAAGATATAACTGAATATAATCACAATATGTATGGTGATGATAGAACTGATCAACTAATTTCATATTACTCATGTCCACGAAGGACCATTCGCGGGTATAACAAAGCGTTGGTTCATTTATGTCCACAATTGCCAATGCCTACTTTATTTATCAAAAGGATAAAGAAGACTGCCAAGAACGATGTATGAGTAGCTTAGATTTTAGAAATTATCTTGTAAAAAGTTTCATTGATGTACCTCTTGACCAGACGGACGACAGGAGTTATGTAAAAGTGGGTCCTATACATGGAGGTAAAAATGTAAGGAAATGACTCGGAGGAATGATGAACAAATTAGGCATCCGCATTATCAGGAAATGATTCCTGTACCTGAAGGATATAGACGCAAGAATTATTAATTACGAAGTATCACCATTATGACATGGATTATGTTTTCAAAAGTGGCATCAGGACTTAGACTAGCAAATAAGTTTTTTTTATTTTGTTTTTTACAATTGCTTATCGTATGGGTTGTTTGTATTCGTTATATTACTGAAATACCGTATTTCATTCATTTATTATTCATAGTTTATGTTCAATAAAAGCATTTTCATAACATATAATGCGACGGTCATGACCGTCTTGTACAATAAGACCATTTATATAACTCTAATCGGACAAGACAGTTATGACCGTCATGTATTTTTTGTCTTAAATATGAGGTATTTTGTACCATTTTGTCCCAATAGGTTAATTTTTAACCAATGTTAACAAAGTACTAATAAATTTGCAAGTGTGTTTTGAGTATTGTGCAAAATTTTTACGATGTCCGTTAATAGTCAGATGACATCTGATCTCCGTTAGAAGGTGAAACTTGAAGAAGGAGAATATTACTAATCCAAACATTCAAATATGATGTACACTTGTAATCCCACAAGACCTTATATAAATAGTATAAAAGTTTAAACTTACTATTTTTATTTTCTGGATGCCTATTTATCGGTTTCCTTGGTGTAACCACTTTTACTTTGACAGGTTTGGGCGCAGGCGCAGGAGTTGGAGTACTTGTAGAATCATCATCAGTGATGGTAATTGTTGGAGGTTTTTTACTTTTTGGAGCCGGTTTTTTCTTCTTTGACGCGGATTTTTTGCTTTTAAGTTCATTCTCTGATATTTCTATGACTTCATCGCTACTACTTATTTGCTGCTCTTTTTTCTGTTCAATGCTTTTTCTTAATTCTATATCGACCTGTCTCTTTCCCTGAAATGTTCGTAAAATATAAAAAACAATTTTACATCCCCTAATATTCAAGATAAAATTACTTTCCACAAACATACCGAAACACTACATAGGCAAGAAATCATTAACGTAGTTACCTTTACTTTCATCCTCTTGCCACCTTTAGCTGGAACTTCTTTTTCTTTTGGACTATCATCCCTCCTCCGTTTCCCTCGTAATGTCCGCGTTGATGGAATGACAGGAATAGGCGGCGGAGTAGAGGAATCGTTGTAGTCAAGAGAAAAAGACTGCAAATTCACTGGTTTTGCGGGCACAACATTGGATTCATCTTCTGACGCAGCGAGGGGATCTTTAGTTGCAACCGGTATCTCTGTACTGTCTATTGAATCCGGCATTGTAATAATAGAATCAGCTACAGATATTGGCGATGATACCCGAGAAGAGTTTGTACTGGCTACGCTTCTTGTATTTTTTCCCTTTTTATGAGTGGTATCAACATCCGAGTCTGAAAACAAACAGAAATTAACGTGATTAAAGAATATGTTACACTAAATAAGAATAGTCAGTCCATGTCATCAATAAATAATCAAATAAAGTTTAGTAGCATGTTTTTTAGACTGAACCTTTGAAGACTAAACCATAATAATGAACTCATCAGGAAATATGCCTCGGTATGATATTTTCAAAGATTTTCACACGAGCTTAGACGTGATTTTATTGTTTATTAAGGTGTCAGTTAGTGTGGCTTTATATTGAATTAACAGCAGTTCCCAGACGACATTACAAACCTTTTCTGACTGTAGGCTGTTTGAATATCTAGAAATAATTGGAATAGATGATAAAGATCTGAGACTTTTACAACTATATTGGAATCAAGAAGCTTCTATTCTGTTAGACGGCAAAGAAGCAGACAAAATTTGTATTCAAAGAGGTGTTAGACAGGGTTGCGTGTTGTCCCCAACTTTGTGTAACATTTACTCAGAAATAATTTTTAACGAAGCCTTGGAAGGGCAATGTGGAGTTCGAATCGGGGGAGAAACTATTAACAACATCAGATATGCAGATGACACTGCGATCATGGCTGAAAGAAGAGAAGTTTATAACAGAGTAGGTCAAGGTAAAGGTGACTTAATAAAGATGATAAAAAAGAGAAAACTCGAATATCTGAGAGGAAGCAGATACAGGATAATGCAGTTGATACTCAACAGAAAGATTGATGGAAAAAGAAGTATTGGTAGGAAGAAATACTCATGGCTCCGAAACCTTCGTCTATGGACTGGCTTATTAGCAGATGAATTATTATTACATGCCACGCAAAATCGAGAACGATATCGGCAAATCGTCATGGAAGCTACCCACGCCTAAAACTTGGGCACAGTACTCAAAGAAGAAGAAGATGGACAACATACAGAAGGATTTGAGAGATCTCGAAACTAGAAACTGGAGAATGAATGAAGAGGATTAATAAAATAATCCATTGCTCAATTTGGGTTGTAAAGCCAATTATAATGACAGCTGCATGTTTTTTCTTAGACTCATTAGGTTGATAGACTGTTGACTAGTAATTGCAGCAGTAAGCAAAATATAGACAGCACTATAAAAGATAAGTTTAATAAAAAAAAACTTCAATGCTGTGAATAATGAAAACAAAAAAAAAAACATAAATAAAACAAAAAATTGATAATACGTGATTCAAAAATAAGTATAGTTAAGAAATATTAACCTTACCTGTCCCATTATTTTCTTTGGTTAGTTTGGGTTTTTTATTAACGGCAGGTGTTACTTCATTTTCTTTTTTCTTTTGCCTAGTTCTCCTTCCTTTTATATATACTACTTCAGTGGAAACATCCTTTACTACAGAAGGCTCTGGTTGTGACTCATAACTCTCATTTGTAGCATTTGCTACCTTTTTACTTCTCACTGATCGCAAAGACTTTTTTGGTAATTCCTCAACTTTTTCTGATGGAGGTACTTCATCTTCTTTATCAACCTCTTTTTTTTCTGGGTTTTTATTTTCATTATTATTATCAACAGGACTATCTTCCTTTTTAGAAGATTGGTCCTTTACTAATTTAGAAACTTTCACGGGTTTAGATATTTCTTCTTTTTCAGTTTGCTTATTGTCTGTATTCTCTTTTTTATTTTTTTCTTCTTCGTCATCTTTTTCATCTTTTCCACAGATGTAAGCTACTTTCTTTACACAAAGTTCCTCTTTAACAGGTACTGAATTGTTATCATTTTCCGTATTTACATTTATTTCTTCTTCTTTATCTGATATTTTGCTATCTTCATTTTTGTTATGATTTATTTCAAATTTTTCCTTCTTAACCTCTTCGTTTTTTATGTTTTCCTCTACATTAGTACAATTTTTCTCTTTTTCTTGGCAATTCGTCCCAAATCCTACAGTTAAGGATTGAGAAATGGTGTTTTTTGCAGGTGAACCAAAAAAGAAAGAACTTTTCTTAGAATTTTCTTTCGGTGATTTAGCTGCTTCATCATTTGATGCGTTATCTTCAGAATTTACAGAATCATTAGTACTATTATTGTCAGTCTTACTATTTATTCCTACATCATCCAATTTACAAGGAACTTCTTTATGTATTTCTATATTGTCTTTATTTATAACTAAATTAGATTTAATACTGTCATCAGTTTTACTATCATTGCTTTTTTCCACTACTATTTCATCATTACCAGTCTCACAGTCAGCTCCGTTACTTTCACCATAAAAATAAACAACCTCTTCTTCTATTTCCTCTCCTACTATTGGAGAAAGAAAAGCCTCATTGTCAGCACCTGAACCTTCACCTTTCACGATTACCACTGGATCGATTACTTCTTGTGTTAATACTACCTTACATTCCATCCCTAATCTCATATCTTCATTATCTAGCCTTGGTCTTTTTGCATCACCTTCTAATAATTCATTGAGATTTTTAATTCTTAAAAGGGGTTTAGATTTTTCTTCAACTTTTTCAGGCTCTTTTGTTTCCTTATTTGTATCAGTATCTTTAATAACTTTTTTACTATCTTCTTGGGATTCTTTCTTATCATCGTTCTTATTTTCTACCTCACTTTTATCTTTGATTTCTTTAGTTTCTTTTTGCTCTTCTTTTGTAGTATCTTTCTGTTGTTCCTTAAGCTCCTTAGAGCTGTCTTCTTTCTTTTCTTCAACACTTTCTTTATTACCATTCACTTTTGTAGAGTCCTCATCAGTCTGACCAGTATCTATGATTGGTTTTTCTGACAATGAGTTGCTATCTTCATTTACTGCAGAATCTGAACTAATTTTATAGTCGCCATCACTTAATTTTGATATAAGAGTCACCAAACTCTCTCTATCTCTGCAAAAAATATCAAATTAATTAAAATACTCAGTATGAGAAAATAACAAGTCAATTACTTTGCTATTAGACTCCAGGTTTCATCATCAATATCTTCTTTGTACACTCTGATTTGGTAATTATCATCAGATTGAAACCAATAGTTATGTCCAGCTTTATCTCTGCCCAATGGCTGTGATCTCAATTCGTCTGCAGATAGTTTGTTGATGTCATTTTTAAATTTAACATGATAATCAAACTGCATTTCCAGCAACTCCTAAAAAACAATTATCGTATTTGGATATTAAAAAAACACATTTATTTCAATAAGCGATAAAGTAGGAAATTAAACATCACATTTTTATTGAAACAATATAGAGATAGAGGCAGGCACTAGAAAATATTAATGAAATCCGAACTCCAGCAAGAAAACTATGAATGTCCAAAGTACATATTAGTGGAGAAACCTATGTTTAGGAGTGGGTGGTGATAGGTTGAAAGCGAAGATTGCCTTAAGTTAAACCTAAAATAAGCCTTAGAAAAAATGAATATATTAAAAATATGAAACGGGGAGACCTGCCATTTTTTTATATCTAAAAGTATTAATTACTATTTAACTGGGAATAAGCCACAATTAAAGGTAAAAATACGTTTATTGACGTTTCATTTTCCACTTCGGAAATTTTGAGAATGGATTTCTGAAGTGGAAATTGAAACGTCAATAAACGTATTTTTACCTTTAATTGTGGCTTGTTCCCAGTTAAATAGTAATTAATTTAAAATGTCACAAGAAAATAGCTTCAGAACAGTATTAAAAATATCACTTTTATTATTAATAAATAGCAGAAAGAAACTGAAAAGGCAATAAAATGTTAAAATGAAAACTAAACCTAATTTGACTTTTGAGGTTGTATTTGACCAAATTGGAAGTTATTTGCTTTCGAGTAAAAAAAGTTTATTTGGATAGGAAGTGCTGCCAAGAATAGTGATTAATCTCTGAGCAAACTTTTTCATTTTATTAAAATTCGAAGGCAAACTATCATATACTAATTTTTAATGAAACTTTGTTTTATATGTGAGATTATAATTGCATTTAAGAGTAATTTGTAAATTACTAGGCACATCTTCAACATCACACTAAAATGGGTTTGCAAAAATCTTTAATTTGACAAAAACCTTTTTGCAATAATAAAAACTGTCAATAAATGTATTCCATAGCTCTATTATAAAGTGTTTCATCTTATCATTACTCTAATTAAAATTTAGACAGACTTTCTGGAAACTTTTCTTTTAATTTGAGAAAATATTATCTTTTACTCATAAATATGTTTCTCATCAAGAGTTTTTTTTTTAGCAAAATAGGTAAAATCAATAATAATCCAAGTACATGGAATACAGCTAGAACCAACAATATCATCTTTGTAAGTTTTTTTACTATACAGGTCTTTGAGACTTCAGCAGATCAGCTGTATACAAGCTCTCCACCAATGCCTAACACCTCTTATGCCCTCTAAGTGGGGCACCTTCCCACTCACACTTCTCATAGCAACAGTAAGTTCTGCTGCAGCTGTCTTAATATGCTGAAAGACTCTAAGAGCCATTTGGGGCTCTGGGTTTTAACAGACCTTATTGATCATGTGTGTGTTCTCTAGCTTGAGTATATTATTGGGATCAACTAGATATAGGTCTGGTCTCTGCCACAGATTACTCCCCAGCAGCTCAAGTGTCCATTTTTTTTTACATACTTGTTTACACAGTTTACAGTACAGTTTAACCAAATAATTTCTGCACTAAATGATGTTTTATGGGTTTAACCAAAGAATCCCTGCACTAAATAATGTTTTATGGAACTGCAGAAGTTGATTCTGACTTCCAACAGAAGCCTCATCCAGCACTTGTTACAGTTTGTTGATGATCAGGTCTGTTCTGATCTAGATGAATATCAGGATGATGTCTGTGTTCCACCTGCTGGTAGGATTGTGTTTGAAGTTTTTTGCATTTAGAAAATTGTTTTATGGTTGTAAGCTGTTACCTAAGACAGTGAAATAACTCTTTTTGAGCATTTCATTTGACACAAAAAATGTTGAATCTTAATTCTAGTGGTTGAAATTAAATGATGATAGAAGTGGAAGTAAATACCTTAAGAACACGAACTTTTGATGTCAGCTTAGCTTTCTTATATCCAAACCTTTCAATTTCCCATGCATCCTGGATGTTGAAATTATGACATATCATCGCTAGGTTCTTTTCCCACTTATCATTCTTCACAGCTTTCTTCACCCTTCTCAGAAGCTTCAGAAAAAGATTGACAAGTTCAGGATGAACTGAAAAAAATATTCATTGATATGAGAAAATTTATAATTAAAAAATTTGTTCATTTTCACTTTGGTGCGAAAGATTTATAAATGTTTCAGAACATTTAATTTACCATTATTAATAGAGCAATATGTGTTATAAGCGAGCAAACGCTCAAAAGTTGCTAAAGTTTCAAATTTCCAAATAGCATGATCAAAAAGTTACAGCAATTTTTATCAGTGTAGAGAGTAGGCTGCAACCTTACTTAGCAATAGTACATGTTATATGCACAAGGAAAATGATTTCATTTTAGTGAGAAACTTGTAACCCTTTGAGAGTCAACTTTTGTTTATCATTATAACAGTTTAACAATTTTTTGACAATACCATATTTGATAAGAGTATTAGTAATACAATTTTATTATTAATTATCCTCAGCAAATACCACCATTATTATCATCATGGTGCTACAGCCTTCAAAGGTCCTCGATCGTCTCAAACTTTCTGCGTCATATTATTCTATCCCTTGGTTTTCCAGTTGGCAACACAGGTCTTCTCAGCCTCCTGTGTTATGCTGTTTATCCACTATAGTTTTGGCCTGCCAGTCTTTTTGTTCCCACCGTCTTTGCTGTTTAAATTCTCTTTAACATGGTTGAAGCAAAAGACTGAGGCATTGGAAGCATGAGAGAAATTGTATAACATCAGAAGTTAAAAACACAAAATTTACAAAGGGTGAATGTATCACAATGTTTTGAAAGGAACAAATGATTTTAAAATGGAGAGATAAGAAAGACATAGTAATGGTTAGCTCCACCTGTGATGACAGTAAACAAGCAGTAAATGTTAAAAGGGGGCATGTGATAGAAAATCCGAAAGTTATTGTGGATTATAACAAGAATATGGGGGGCTGTTTGAGTTTTTATTCATCTGCTATTCACAGACCTTCCTGACCAATTTTCCTGATGTCATACCTCCAAACCTCCAACAACCAAACAAAAACCAACAAATTTTTACACACTGTGTTATGCTAAAGCATTTGTAAAGCTTCCTGTTACTGCTGCCCTTACTTCAAGTCGTATCATTCCAAGGAATGAAATTCCTTCACAAATTCACATAAACATGTTCAAATGTTCTTCATTAAAAATGAGGTTTTATCAAAATCAGCATTTTTACTTTTTTCTTCTTTATCTACATGTTCCCCTAACCCCATAAAAAATTTTTATTTAGAAATGTACCTATAGACTTTTATAATGAACATTTTGGTAACAAATTTGCTAGGTTGCCAATGAGTTATATAAGTAATGGTCATCTTTTGAAGGGTTCACTGCTCATCTATTATGAATCACTGATGATGGTTAATAAATATGATCAAAATGTGATATATTCAGTTAGAGAAAATGACTTTACTCCAATAATCATAATATTTCAATGTATTTACAGTGGTAAGTAAATGAAATATTACTGAAACATAAACAACACATCCTCACCAAAACAATATTAACTGTGGAATTAAACAGAGCAGAAATATCTGCTCTGCCACAGAACAAATACACTTAAACCATTAAAATTAAATTGAGTTTAGCTTACCATCTACAAGGAAATAAACTTCATTGATAATATGTACCAAAAGGCTATAGACCAAAATTCATAAATATTTTTTTACTATCTATATAAATTTTTTTTTTTTTTTAAATTTGACATATAACTCCTTATAAGGTAAGATAAACTATAGTATTTAAGTGTACAAGTTTGTTTTATCTCAATATAAATACATTACTCTTATAAAAGAGTATCAAATACTGTAAAAAATAAGAGTAATACAACATTGTAGAAGAACAGGCAGTATAACTTGTATTCTTTGTTCAAGTACAATTTAAAAGATTTATAATACTTATTTGTATATTTATAATAACCAGCTTTGAAGATACTCTTACATGCTATAAATTGCTTTACACTTGAAGTTATTTGATTGTATTCTTGATTTCCACATATTGGTAGCTTATTAAATAATTTCTGTATTATGCTTATACATATATCCATGCCTTAGCAACTAAATTGAAGCAAGTATATTCAATTTGTTAAAACCTTGATTATTTTTACCAAAATGCCATGTGATATAGTTGAATGAAACAAGCCATAATAAGCATTAAGCACAGTGGTTTAAGATACTCAGTCATATAGAATTCTAAATATGAATACATAACTCTTTAGCAAACTGGATATCTTGTCTGAGGGAAAATTCCATTTAAATTTTTAGTTAAGATATATATGGTTACGCAATTCAACTGTTATCAGCTTCACATTGATATATCTGGCAAATCGATAATGACAACCATATTATAATGGAAAATCACAACCAGCTATTGTTCTTCAGCTCAAACACCTCAAAGTGAATAAAATGTTTGTGTATCGCACCAAAACTCGTTATAATGATACTGGTAGCACTGCCAAACTTTATGGTGGTGGACAAAAAAACAGCAACATCACCTGAAATGGTTCGGAAAGTGAAGGTTCAACTTGTGTGAAATCCATGTCATAGTGGTAATCAAATTGCCAAAGAACTGAAAATATCCCAGCAAAGCATGCAACGAATATTGAAAAAGGAGCTCAAGGTCAAGCCTTACAAGTTCCAAAAAGCACACAATGTTACACCAAAGCAAAAAAAAAGGTTGGCTTGAAAGAGCAAAGGAGTTGTTACACCTGCATGAACAAGGCGATTTTCTGAACATAGTGTTCTCTAATGAGAAAAATTTCCCTATTGAGCAGTTAATAAACTCTCAAAATGATCGTGTTTACTTGACCGACCGCACCTACGAAAGTTTGAGCTTACCAACAGCCACCTGAAGTAATTTACCATCTCAAGTAATAGTATGGACAGCTGTAACCGCCGATGGACGCTCTCCAATCGTTTTCATTGAATCTGGTGTCAAAGTCAATGCAACTTATTATTGGGAAAATGTTTTAGAAGCTGCTTTAGAGCCATGGGCACGCAACCATTTAGGTTGTAGACCATGGACATTCCAACAAGACTCGGCACCGTCTCCTAAAGCTAGTGTGAACCAAGAATGACTAAAAAAACATGTTCCACACTACATTTCATCCACACAATGGCTTTCAAATTCGCCAGACGCAAATCTGATGGACTATTCCATCAAAATACCGGAAGATCACATTCATGCAGCATCCAACTCGTTTTTTGATTGTTTGAAGGCCATAGTCAAGGCAAAAGGTGGCCACATCAAGCTAAAGTGAGTGGATTCTGAAATTTTGATTATTTTCACACATTTTTGTCATTTAAATCAATAAAAAATAATTTCACATAAAAAAATTATAGTCGTTTGAATAGGTAACAGTTCAATTGCGTAACCCTGTACTACCAGAGATTTCACCTTTAGGTGGACTTTACTGAAATTTACAAACTCTCTGGTATCTCATATAGAAAATGGCAGTTCCTAGGTTTAGTTTTTGCTGAGCATCACATTTTTGTGCCCAACTGTTCTTTATAATATGTACCCTTCCCTAGATTTTCTATATCTTGAATGACAGTACCATTAGCAAAAAGTATGAATCTGACCAGCTAACCCATTGGTAGGTCATCTATAAAGATAACAAAGAGATAACACCTTTAATTAAGCCTTTAAGTGTCAGTGATAGCTATATTGACCAGTGCTGCTTTAGATTATTTTTCTAACTTACAAACAATGAGGAGTAGACCTTAAATATGAACAATACTGTTGCAAAAAATTTTTTATAAACAAAACCCTAGTGGCATATGCCTGCACCGAGGTGACGGTTATTGACCAGTAAACATAGCTACTAGTGATCATTTGTGCAGTGTACTTTACCTATGTTAATGTTACAGTAATTTAATACAATTTTCATTGATTTATTCATTGAAATATTGGATAATAACAAGTGTACTAGTGTAAAATATAGCGTGAAGAACTTTTGCCATAATAACAAGTATTATTAATTTTTAAAAATTATTAGAAACTATTCAACATTGCCAACAAATCTAACCTAATTTTTTTACAAACTTTACAATTATTTTCCATGAATACTTAATAAAAGGAGAGATTGCTATAAAGTCAGAATTCAAAAACGTCCAAAAAGATAGATCCAATTTTAAACTAGGATTTATTTCATTTTAGTGAAAATTCAAAATTTAACATTAACTTTTGCACTGACATTGACTAGCATTAGACAAAGAATGTTTTTGTATGTGTCATGTGAAATGAAGTTTGAAATAAATGTTTTTCTCTTTTACAACTTTTGTTTTAGTGTGTAGATGTAGAGGTATAAATCTTTAACAGTGATTAGAAGGTAAAGGTAACTACTCAAATGATCACTTGTAGCAATATTTACCACCCCACAAAATAAAAAATTGAAGATTATTTCAGTTTTTTTCTATCAGACAACTTATTACCTTCTATTTGATTTCACAATTTAAAAAAATATTTGTCTTAAGAAGAAAAAATTAGTTCTGCACCTTACATGGTTAACTAACCTAACATAATTGTTTTTTTTTTTTCATACAGAGTAGTGTCATTAATTATTTTACATATTAAACACATTACATCAGTCAAAAATAAAGTTTTTCATAGAAGAAATATGGTATTATCATGAAAAATAGAAACTAGATTCTGAAAGCACAAAAAAGAAAACCTAATAAAATAAGTTTATGATGGGCCTAAATTTTATAGCTGAAATACTTAACTGCCAGAACACAGAGCACTATGGAAAGATGCATCAACAATACGGAAAGAGACAAGTTAAACACATGAAAAGAAGAATTGTTAAAGAAACAGACTTCATTGTATTTAATAAAGAAAAATGTGTAGCAAACCCATCAGTAGAATATAGCAGGCTTTGGTTGACAATACTAAAAGACGAAGTCAATAACATAATATAGAAGTCAAGAAGAATATACCAACAATAGCAGAGTAACAGGAGATCGAAAAACATCACCTACAATCCTACACACAATACATAATATGCAACCCACAATATACAATACACAATCACAATTAAGTAATATACAGTTTATACAAAGATATAACACAAAAACACATTTACATGCTGCTGTCTACAATATTGAGGACAAGTATGTCCATTTTAAAATTATATAACCTAACAAAAAACACTTTGGTTATACATTTTTGCAGATTATTACTTCAACAGTATTCAAATCAGATACTTCTGAAAATATTACATGAACATAGAAGGACTAGATTGAGAACACAACTCAATCAGCTATGCTTTCTAATAAAACTCAATACCTAGGTGTGATCATTCCAAAATTTTTTACCTAATATAAAAACATAACCAGAAACTATTTAAATACAAACTGTATTGGCATCAACTTAAATGAGGATACTGGAAATAATAAGAATTATCCACAACAGTGCATTTACAAGAGTATATTTTAAAAACCAAACATATTTAGGAACAAAAATATATATTCAATAGCTTATGTCTCAGAACCAAACCTTAGGTCTATAATGAAGGCACAAAACAATAAGAATAAAACCAATATTTTAAATATTGTAAAAAGGCCATTTGTTAAAAATGGATATCTCTTAACTGCTGAATAATAAATGTTTATCAATAATACTATATTCTTAACAGTTACTGCTACAATATAAGGGGGTGTATAAGCTGTGGACTAAGACTTAAGTGGTAAGAAGGATAATCACTGTATCACCTGTGGAATTTAAAATATGATAGACTAAAGATCAAGGTGCCAGTTTAACCAATCAGAACATCCCTAGAGCTACTGAGTCAGGATGATAATGATGATTTAATCCAGATTACGGCATTGGATGAGTATTCAAACAAGTATAAGGTATAAGATTATTCAGGTATTATTTTTGTAACCTCATTATTTAACTGGTGTTAAAACCATAGCAATATTATTTAGGCAAAGCATATGGGAAAAGCAGAATAAATATGGAATAAATATTTCCAGAGTCATTTGCAAATTATTAAGTGTTGGAAAATACAGTATCATATCAATGATGAAAACATATAAACATAACATTTTATCACAATAAAAATGGCCATCTTATATGAATAGTGATAACAGTAACCATAAAATAAATAAAACTGTTCATGTTCTTATTGCCAAATAAATATAACTCAAATTAAGTTTATAAATCTTCATATGACAAAACCTGCATTTATAGACTACATATTATACATTTTGAAAATCCTCTTACATATTTGTTTACAATTAAAAACAAACACTACTCTTTTTAAACTGGCATTGAATTAATTAAAAATGTTGCAATCAAAATTTTTGCTTCAAGTTTATTCTACAGTCAATCTGACTTCTGAACTACAATATATAGAATGTTAATAAAGTATTGATTTGCTTACATACAATACTAGATATTGGAATAATTGGAAAATCATAAAACTAAACATTAAAACAATGTTGCACAGAGCGAGATAAAAACAATAAAACGGCACAACAATTTATATACCTTCGTCTGTGTTTTCGAGCATCCCTTGCAACTCGAGGAAGTCTAAATTTGGTAGACCACATTGAGAACCGAATTTCTCTAAAAATGCACAAATAACTGCGAAATTCGGATCATTTTCACAAGAAGCCTCAATGTCCGACGCCATTTGTAGCGGTTCACCTTTGACAACTAATAATTAAGTTAATCCAACACCACATATTTTAACTGATTACACTATTAGATTATCATATAGACACTATTTAGGTAAATAAATACCAGAAATTCTGGGCAAATATATTTTTAAATATTCATTTTTTCACTAAAAAGTAGGGACTGTATACACAAACCATTTGCTGTCATTACTTTCACGTCACGTTGATTATGTCAATTGTCTGTTCCTGTCACTCTGATTCTGTTTTGATTCAACTGTCAATTAAATTTTGATTCATGTTTTTTGAATGATTTCGAAATTGTCAATAATCATATTACAAGCAAATGTTTTCTAGAGAAATGTGTACAATTACAATTGTATTTCTTTAGAACTCAAAATCATAAACATTTTTTTTGTACTATTTTCTGTTTTTGTTTGATAGATCTACATCTACATACATATTTTGAACAAACTCAAGATAGCAGAAGAAGAAAAATGAAGAAATACGCACAGAACGCAAGGATTACATTCATTTTCCCGCTTTTTGTAAATCCATTTAACTCCTTTAACCTCTAAAATAAATGAAAACAAATTTGGTCGTTTTCTTGCAATAGAAATACTTGTGACCGGTTTGTTTTATTAATGTAAATAAGTCTAGACTATCTTTTTCCAATTGCATAGAGAAAAGTTTCAATTGCGTGTAGGAGAATACTGTAAACTTCACAATGACAGATAAATCTTTCAAAGCTTTAAATTTAGGTAAATATATTTACTAATTATTACTAAATTTGTGAATTCATTCATAATCCGCTCTAGCACAATTATTTATTTGATGGGAAAACTTTGTTGTTGCCCAATATTATGCATTGTTATATTATTATTATAGTACAAAAGTAATAATACAAGTAAATAACTAAAAAGAATAAAACAAACAGAATTTGACAATAATAATAACTTCACTACCAGTAATCAGTCAATTATTGACACACATTGTATCTCTTTTCAACTTTACTTTTTACAATAATTTACATTATGAAAACTGTTACAAAATATATTTGTCTCCTAAGCTGCCTGGAAGGAGCACACAGATTCAGATGATAATAAATGTCACTAGACAAATTGGCAACTGATTTTTTTCTTCATTATACAAGCTATCACACTATTTAGCTTTCTCAGTTAAGTTTTCAGACCACCAACATTCTGATAACACCACTATAATAAGGTCAATTCATGTTTTGTAATGCGTGAGAATTTTAGAATATCAATATAACGAATAGTGTATGCATTGTTTTGCCCCAGTTCCACTTTTTGCTTAATAGTCCAGTACTTAAATGAACATAAAATATGGCCATAGACTGTGTTACCATTGAATTAATTACATTACCCTCCAAACTTCATTTTTGGACTTATGCCATTGGTTGCTTTTTATTTTTTAGTGGGGAAAGCTACCCGTATTAGAAAAATATCATCGAATTGTAAATTAAATTGGGTAATTGATTAAAATCATTTTACTTATTTTTCTTTTACTTTAAATCCATATTTTTTTAGAAATAAGTACTTTAAACTGGTTAAACTTTAATATTATATAAACAATACATAAAAAAATAAAATTTAAAGCAGTAACAACTAATTTTATTTGGGGTGCTAATTAGGGGGTAATTTTCATGATGTTTTTATAAAAAAAGCAACCAACTTAATTTATTTTGAACTTACTTAGTTTTGATGCTAGAAATATTTGATTTGAAATTTTAAAAATAAGAACCTATTTTTGTGATCTACAACTCTGCTTCTACTGTGTGTACACACTTCATAAGTGCACATTTTTTTTAGCTAGGATTTTGACATGAATACTTTTTCGATAAATACTTTTGGATCAGAGAGTTGACCCCTAAAAAACATACGAATAAGCTGAATTTTGCAGTGAATATTAAATTTTTGACACCAAAAAAGGTGCAATAAAGTTTACCACTTTTACCCCGGGCTTCTCCCTAGAAAACCCCCATGCAGGGGGGTAAAAAAACAAAAGTGTTTATAAGCATTTTTTGTTTATCATGAACCATTCTCTTAAAAATAACGCTTGAAGCGACCGTCGTTTTGGCATGTCAGTTACACACGTGAAATCAATGTTCAATAAAATTGGTATCAGAGGGATGGTAAAACTTCGATTTTTTCGGCTTCTTTTTTTACTATTTTGCCGAGAAAAACTTTCATTTTTAATTGACCAGTTGTAGTAAAATTTCTATTTTTAGAGGTCAATCTTTAAAATCTATGACATGAAATTTCAATTTTGGGTTGTGGTAACAAATATGAGGCATTTGAAATACAAAAACTGTATACCAAAGCTGAACTTTTTAAAACGCATCTTGATTTTTGTCAATAGATCACTTGAATGAAAAGATATTGAATTTTTACTCTCGAGCTGATACAAATTTTATTGAACATTGATTTCGAGTGTGTAACTGACCTGCAAAAGCGACGGTCACTTCAAGCGTTGTTTCTAATAGAACAGTTCATTCTACATAACAAATCCTTATTAACAGTTTTGTTTAAAATCATCTCAGCTTAATTTTTTGTTTGAAACATTTTTTTCTACATTGTCAGACTCTTGGTTAATCCATTTTTTGCGTTTTTACCTTCCTGTGAGGAGGGTTTTACAGGAAGCCCAGGAGTGAAAGTAGTAAACTTTTTTGTGGGCACAAGATTAATATTATCGGCTAAATTCAGCTTGTTTGTAGGATTTTTAGAAGTTCAGTAGAATTTTCGTCATTGACGACTGGAGTAATATTACTTATTATATTTTATGTTATATTAATTTATAATAGTAGTGTATGTGTTTTTAAATTATGTTTGGTTGTATTTATATTTTATAACATTATATTGATTGGAGAAATGCTTGGCTGGTCGTATAAACATGTGTAAAGGGCTGCATGTTGCCTATCCCTGAGTTAGTCTATGTCTAGATTTTATGGCAGATTGTCCACTGTACTTTAATACAACAATGTATCTTAATTGGATGTGACTTATTAGGATTAGATCTTTCAACTACTTTTGAAATCCTTTCTGAAGTATTATTAATTCCAATTGACTCCAAACTTTAAATTGATAGTTTCCTATCTTCATCTATTCTGATTTTCTATTCCTCAGATTTAGACTGCATCACATTGTAAAGCATTAAATTTGAAGTTCATTCTCAGACATACTGGAATACTCTAAAATACAAGATGGTATCCAGTACAGAAGAAAACTAGTGATTGATTTTGAATCACCACTGCTCTAAACTCAGCATGACCACTATTGTCTCTGATAATCTTTAACTGTCTTACATGATTCACATAACTTACTAAACATTAGTTAAATTATGTACTTATAAAATATATTTTCAGATATTACTCAACAGCAAGAGTTTGTCAGATATTTTAGAAATCTACCAGAGGTAAGTACTTCCTATTTTACTATAATCCCATACTTAGGGATTATTTTTAACAAGTTGTTTAAATCGTTGACTAATAATTGATTGGTCGCTGGTTAATCGTGGTGGTAAATTATTGATCGATAGTGTGAAGAAATAACTTAATTTAATTCTTTATTAAAACTTATGGTTAAGAATTTACATAGAATATAGTTACAAACTGCTATGTATGATAAAAAAGATTTTTGGAATTATGTAAGTAATAAAAGAAAAATGTTTTGATTTGCTAAACACAATGAAATATGAGAATATAACTTCCGATAATTCCCAAAATATAGCAAATTTGTTTAGTAAATTTTTTAATTCAACCTATGTTACTAGTAATACAGATTATCCAGCTGTAAACTCTAATAATAGTATTTGTGTTGAAATTTGTGATATTACTGTATTAGATGTATTTAAATTTATATCTAAAATTGATCTAAAAGGAAGTTGTGGACCTGATAATATATCCCCTTTGTTCATATTTAATTGTAGATTTATTCTGAGTTATCTTCTTCTTCTTAACATGCCATACACCAAAGTGCGTAGGCGACTATCTCATTACTAGAATTCTGTTCTTGGCGGCGTGACACAGCTCACCTGTATTGTGTATTCCTGTCCATTCTGAGTTATATTTTACAAAAAATATTTAGTTTATCATTGAGCTCAGGCGTTTTTTCAGAGATATGATAGAAAAGTTATATAACCCCAGTTCATAAAGGTGGTAATTGAGAAAATATTGAAAACTACCGAGCTATATCTAAAATTTCAGTATTCACTAAATATTTTGAAGGGATTGTAGCTGCAAAACTTGGTCCATTATTGAATTATACTTTAATGCCCGACCAACATGGTTTTATTAAAGGACATTCTACTGTTACCAATCCTTTAGTTTTACAAGAATTTTTGTTGGATGCTCTTGAAGGGTATGACCAGGTCAATGTCATTTACACTGATAGAGTTAATCATACTGTCATAATCTCTAAACTTTATAATGCTGGTTTACATGGAAGATTATTAAGCTGGATGAAGAGCTATCTCATAGATAGAACTCAAGTCATAAAAATTAAGCAATTTTTGTCATTTATTAATGTAACCTATGGTGTTCCACAGGGTGTACAGTTATATCCTCTGCTTTTTAATTGTTTTGTAAATGATTTAAAAAATTGTTTTTATCATAGTAATATTCTTCTCTATGCTGATGATCTAAAAATTTATAGTCATAAAATTCCAATGACTGTACTTTATTACAGAATTATTTACGTAGTTTATTGGATAGGTGTAACTTAAATGCTTTGAATTTAAACATAAATAAATGTAAGGTAATGCGTTTTTTTAGAAACAAACATCCGGTTTTATTTGAATACCATATCGGACTGAATACTTTAGAGGTAATCACAACATATAAGGATCTTGGGGTAATTTTTGACCCTACAGTAAGCTTCAGGGACCACTTTTCTTGCGTTTCTAATAGATCCATGAAACTTTTAGGTTTCATGAAACATCCTCTCTAAATTTGGTAATATTTATTGTCTCAAAAATATCTACTGTTCCCTTATTAGATCGGTTTTGGAATATGGTAGCAATATGTGGTCTCCTCGTTATAAATGCTACAAAGATCTATTAGAAAGAGTGCAGAAAAAGTTTTTAAGATTTATTACTTTTAAATTGAGAATACCTTTAAATGAAATTGAAGACATTGTTTTGCAGTCTTTACTTACATTGCCTACTCTTGAAGAAAGGTGAATATTGCTAGATGTAGCATTTATATATAAATTAATACGAGGTGGCATTGATGCTAGTGCTCTTTTGGAAAAGGTTTATTTCCGTATTCCCTGTAGAGACACCAGATCCCAAGACTTATTTTATTTAGAATTTCATAACAAACTGTAAATAAACCCTTAGAGAATGTGTAGGAATGGAAATAAATTTAATAGTAATGATTTTTTTCATTTATCACTAAGTACTATTAAGAATAAGATCGAAAGACCCTTGCTTTTGATCCAAACTCAAAGGTTTGATTTTTCTGAGTAGGTCACTTAATGCTTTAGCTATCGTAGCATATGACTGTTATCGTAGCATATGACTAGAAAAATTACTGAATCTGCTTAAAGTTTTTTGGTTCCTGGAACATTAGGCATCCTAATATTTGGGTTTTTTATATGTTCCAGTTGTAGATGACCATTGTGTATCGCCTCGTCAACTGCGATTCTCATTACCATATTATCTACTTCTTTTTTGCATACCATAATTCCATCTTCGGTTATGGTAACCTCTACTTGTTTTAGTATATTGTTTACAAGAACAACCTTAACGTCTAGTATTCCGTTTGGGATTACATGAAATAAAATATGAAAATCTTCGCCTTGAATTTCCACTATTTTTTTAAAAGAACTTAAAATTTTAACCTTAATACCTCCTAATCCATATAACTCTACTATATTCTTTATAAAAAGGATGTCGTCAAAGTCCTTCCATAACGTCAATGTATGGCGGATACATCATTTATGTTTTTTAAATAACAAACATATAAAATCAGAATTTGGTGTTTATTGAAAGTAAACTAAATGCACGACCAAATACTTACCATGTCGGGATAGTATTATGAGGTTTTTTTCCTGGTTTTTCCCTCATAATTTACTATGGAATCACCAACAGGAGAATTTTACTGTCATCATGGCATGTGTTTGTCTTTTTAAAGACGAATTACATGCTATGATTTTTTCTGACGGATATTCTCAAATTAAAGTTGATGTCATGTAATCGAATGAACTATGTTATAAGTAAAGTCGTCCCAGGAGAGTAATTCAACAATATTGGCAATGTAATTTTAAAGTCGTCTACTTTAAAATGTATAATGTATGTCTGATTTGTCAATATAAATGAGTCAGATAAAATTAAATTGTTAGAAGAATTTTTCATTTGGAAAAAAAAAACAAAATTTGTTTAATTTACTAATTTTGTATTTTGAGAACTGAATTTCCGAGGTAGAAATTGAAGCGTCAATAAACGTATTTTAACCTTTAATTGTGGCGTATTCCCATTTAAATAGTAATTACGTCAATGACATTTACCTGACCAGAAGTCGAAGGCCTATCTTCTTTAGCCTTGCATTGAGAAGAAACTTATCCAAATTGGTTGCATTTTAAACATTTTATTCCCGTGGCTTTATCAGGGCAATCTCCAGATTAACCTTGATTTCCACAATTATAACATTGTTTGTCTTTCTTAATCCTATTTTCCGGCATTCTTCTGTCATTTCCTCTAGTTTAGTTGTTTATATAATCTCGTCTTGCTTCATAGTTTCTGCCATCTCGTCGTACTTCATTGAATTTGTCATTTGCGTGTCGTCTGCGTTTTAATGAGCTCATACAATTTAATTTTCTCCTTGAAATCTCTAAAGTTGTTTGCACCGTAAAGCATTTTGTTAACTATACCATACTTATATTAAGAATGACTTTCTACATTGAATACTTATATAGCAGATATTTATGAGTCTTTCTCCATTACTGTTTTTTGTAATCTCTCCATATATTCCTCGTATACTCTACTACGTATTTGTTTGAAAAGCTTTTTCTCTTGGAGTAGCGGTCATTCACAACATATACCTCCAAAATTCTTTCCATTTTTCTTAATTAATATAATCATTATATAGGAAACCAGTATTAAATAATAAGAAAAATTATTAACGGACATATATTTTTTATTTAATTCTAGTTAAAATAAGTTAATACCAAAAATACTATTTTTATATCTAACATTTAACATCCAATAACTTTCTCTTTTAATTTCTTCGCCCCTTCTTTCACTTTATGAGCTCCACTCCGTATTTTTAAAGCAGCCTTTTTCCACCAAGGCAATTCTTCAGTTGCTTCTGGAGGACCAGAATTATCTTGATCTACTTGAACCTCGTGTATGTGAATTACATCATGATGGTGTGATTCTTCAACATCTTGATCTGGAATAACGCTGGGGACAGCGTTTACTTCTTCATAATGATCAGGTCTTATGACTTCTATTTCTTGTTGTTCTTGAGATGAAGATTGTAGTTGTTGGTTTGGTATGGGAATTGCTTCTTCTTCTTGGAACTGATCGTCATATCCTGATTCTTGGCCTATTATTTCTTGTTCTTGTTGATAACTATGTGAGTGAGTGTGATGTGGTACTTCTTGAACATGTACTTCATGTCTCGTATAGTGATGGGTGTGGGGATCTTCTATTTCTAAGTATTCTTGATGACCGTAACCGTTATGATGATGATCTAGCACGTGACTGTCAGTAATATCATGATAACTAAGCGGTTCGTCAAAGCTGGTGTGGTGGCTTCCTCTATGTATGACTTCAATATCATGGTTATCATATCCAGAATGTAAAATATCATGATTGTGATTGTGATGATCATATCCGGAATGCGAAGAACTTGAATGACCATGTCCGCCATATCCAGTTATTTCCTGTTCTTGAATATCATAACCAGAAATGTGGTGGTTATCATGAGTGCCATATCCTGTTTGGATTTCTTGTTCTTGATAATTATGGCCTGAAACACGATGACCACTACGACCTCCATATCCAGATTGAATTTCTTGTTCTTGATTATCATAGCCAGAAACACGATGACTATTGCGACCTCCATATCCAACTTGAACTTCTTGTTCTTGATTATCATATATTGAAGAATGATGACTACCGCGGCCACCATATCCACTTTGAATCTCTTGTTCTTGTTCTTGATAACCATTATTGCTACTGCCACCTTCATAAACTGTTGTGTGTGAATAACTGTCAACATGATTATCTGTTGGTTTTTGCTCTACTACTTTCGTGTGTTTAAAGGTGCCTAAGTTTTTAAGAGCTGTTATTAAAGTATCAGCTTCATTTTCTGCCTCTTGTCTAGATTTTGGCTGTGATATAAATTCACCTTGGTCTGTAATTCCAAAGGAGGATCCCCCTGTTGTAGTATGGGTCGTTATAACTGTCCTATTTCTTACAATTGTCCTATGTCCACTTTGGAATATCGATGCTTCTGGTTGGATGTTATGAAGTATACTGGTGTCAACATCAGGTTGCTGTGATGTCTTAGTTGTCTTTGTTTTCCTTGTTTCATGTTCTTTTTTCGCTCTTTCAACACCTTCTTCAATTTTCGCTAAAAGTTTATCCAATATTATGGCTTGAATTTTAGCTATTTGTTTATCATTTAAACCAAGATCAGTTTGTAGATAATATCTGGAGTATCCTCTGTTGAATTCTTCAGTAACGTTCTTTTTAACATCGTTAATGAGTTGTTGTCGCATTTCGGGTACATTCAGTCTATCTGTACCACAAAATCCTATGATGGCAGCTTCTAATTTATTTGATAACTTATCCTCAATAAATTTAACCTTTGTGGAAATGTCCTTTGGTAGATGATCATCTTTACCCTAAAAAGGAGACATTAAAAACTTAATCAAATTTCTGTAGATACTAATAATGGTATATATGATCAGAGCTTTGTTGATGAGCTATTAATTTGCTCTATGTCAAGTAAACTTTTTAAAGCTATAATACTGAAAAGACCGTATTGAAAATGCACACAATTATATTGAACTCAATTTGAAGCAAGAAAACGTGGTAATGGTCAAATAGAGTTCAAGAAAATATAAAAGAAAAGAGAAAACTAGATAGTCAATAAAAAAAGAAATATGCTTGATAAAAGTTTTGAAAATGATACGGTTACCAAAAATGAAACCAAATCAGCTACATCACCTGTTAAACAGAAGCGTGCAAATGTCTGAACGATGACACAGAGATTGAAAGGAATGTATGAAGATATAATTTATTAAACGGACATTTGGACACAATCATAAAGACTAGAGTGGAAACAAGTGTTAAAATATATTGGTATAATTAAGAGACAAATAGGAAAAACAGACCCACATAGGAATGAAAGTAAAGAAAATGATAATGATCAAGAATTAAGACAAAAACTTTACCTTTACTGAATTCACATCAAAAATTTCAACTTGCTGTGTGAGGGGAATCTGCTCTTGGCTTTGATCTAACGGCCTTTGTTGAATTCTTGGTTTGTCGTGCCAATCGCTGACATGTTGTTCTACTTGTTGAGTTTCCACTTCCTGTTCTTGATCCTGTGAACTACCAATTTGAATTTTTCCTTGGTTTCCACGAGGAAAGTCCGTTTCAACTTGTTGACCTATTTTAAGAGGAGATTCCGTTTCAACTTCTTGCTGTTGACCAAGATCTTCTTGTTGTTGAGATTGATCTAAAGGTTTCAAATGTAATTTGCCCTGATCTAAGTGAGTTTCTTCTATTTGTTGACCCAAATCAATCTGTTGTTGTTGGTCGATGTCTTCGACTTTATGAACGTCTATAGGTCTTAACTGCAGTTTTCCTCCACCGATTGTCGATACAGTCTCTTCAATTTGCTGGCTAAAATCTACCTGTTTTTGTTGACCAAGATCTTCGATTTGTTGATTTTGGTCAAGGTTTTTTTGCTGTATTTTTCCTCCACTTATTTGGGAAAAACCCTCTTCAATTTGTTGACCAAAATCTACCTGTTGCTGTTGACTCAGATCTTCTACTTGCTGACTTTGATCTAAAGGTTTTAAATGTAGTTTTCCTCCAGTTACTTTGCTTACATCTTCAACTTTCTGACCAAAATCTAAATGTTCTACTTGTTGTTGATCTAAGTCTGATTGTTTCTGTTGATTAAGGTCTTCTACTTGCTGTCCCTGATTTAAAGGTTTTAAATGTAGCTTTCCTCCAGTTACTTTATGTAGAACATTTTCAATTTTTTGACCAATATCTAAATGCTCTATTTGTTGTTCATCTAAATCTGTCTGTTGCTGTTGACTAAGGTCTTCTACATTCTGCCCTTGATCTAAAGGTTTTAAATGCAGCTTTCCTCCAGTTACTTTATGTAGAACATTTTCAATTTTTTGACCAATATCTAAATTCTCTATTTGTTGTTCATTTAAATCTTTCTGTTGCTGTTGACTAAGGTCTTCTACTTTCTGCCCTTGATCTAAAGGTTTTAAATGTAGTTTTCCTCCAGTTACCTTGCTTAGTACATTTTCAATTTTTTGTCCAAAATCTAAATGATCTACTTGCTGTTGGTCGGAATCTGTCTCTTGCTGTTGATTAAGGTCTTCTACTTGCTGTACCTGATCTACAGGTTTTAAATGCAGCTTTCCTCCCGTTACTCTGTGTAGAACGTTTTCAATTTTTTGACCAATATCTTCTACTTGTTGCTGTTGTTGGTCTTCTTGTTGCTGTGATTGAATTTGGCCATTAACAATCTTTGTAATTTTAGTATATGTATGTCCGTTGATACGCTGTTGTCCGATATCTTCGTCGTCTTCTACTTGCTGACCTAGATCTTCTACCTGCTGGCCATCTACCAAATGTGTGCTTCCACGAATAATCTTTGTAATTTTACTATATCCAGTTCCGTGAATTTGATGTTGATTAAGATCTTCGTCAGTGTCTAATAATTGGCCGAGGTCTTCGACTTGCTTTTGACCGAGATTTTGAGTGTGTTGACCTACATGTGTGATTTTGGTAATTTTACTATATCTGGTTCCTTGGTGACCAAGGTCATCATCATTTTCTAATTGTTGACCAAGGTCCTCAGTTTGTTGACCAATTTCTGACTGTGATTTGCCTCTAATAATTTTTGTAACTGTACGGTATTTGTTTCTTTGAATTTGATGTTGACTAAAGTCGTCATTGTCTTCTAATTGTTGACCAAGGTCGACTTGGCTTTGTCCTAATTCTACTTGTCGCTGACCAAGATCCTCTACTTGTTCTTGCCCGAGTTCTGCATGCTGACCTATATGTGTTATTTTGGTAATTTTACTATATCTGGTTCCTTGGCGACCAAGGTCTTCTCCACCTTCTAATTGTTGACCGAGGTCTTCAGTTTGTTGACCGAGGTCCTCAGTTTGTTGACCAAGGTCCTCAGTTTGTTGACCAATTTCTGACTGTGGTTTGCCTCTAATAATTTTTGTAACTGTACGGTATTTGTTTCTTTGAATTTGATGTTGACTAAAGTCTTCATTGTCTTCTAATTGTTGACCAAGATCTACTTGGCTTTGTCCTAATTCTACTTGTTGCTGACCAAGATCCTCTATTTGTTTTTGACCGAGTTCTGCATGCTGACCTACATGTGTTATTTTGGTAATTTTACTATATCTGGTTCCTTGGCGACCAAGGTCTTCTCCACCTTCTAATTGTTGACCGAGGTCTTCAGTTTGTTGACCGAGGTCCTCAGTTTGTTGACCAAGGTCCTCAGTTTGTTGACCAATTTCTGACTGTGATTTGCCTCTAATAATTTTTGTAACTGTACGGTATTTGTTTCTTTGAATTTGATGTTGACTAAAGTCCTCATTGTCTTCTAATTGTTGACCAAGATCTACTTGGCTTTGTCCTAATTCTACTTGTTGCTGACCAAGATCCTCTATTTGTTTTTGACCGAGTTCTGCATGCTGACCTATATGTGTGATTTTGGTAATTTTACTATATCTGGTTCCTTGGTGACCAAGGTCTTCTCCACCTTCTAATTGTTGACCGAGGTCCTCAGTTTGTTGACCGAGGTCCTCAGTTTGTTGACCAAGGTCCTCAGTTTGTTGACCAATTTCTGACTGTGATTTGCCTCTAATAATTTTTGTAACTGTACGGTATTTGTTTCTTTGAATTTGATGTTGTCTAAAGTCTTCATTCTCTTCTAATTGTTGACCAAGATCGACTTGGCTTTGTCCTAATTCTACTTGCTGTTGGCCAAGATCCTCAACTTGTTCTTGATCGAGATTCTCGGCGTGCTGACCAATATGTGTGATTTTAGTAATTTTACTATATCTACTTCCTTGTTCTTGATGCTGACCCAAGTCTTCATCAGTTTCCTGCTGTTGACCAATTTGTACCTGTTGTCCTATATCTTCTATTTGTTGTTGATCCCCATTATCAGGTCTGCGGTTCCACGGCCTTCTTCCATTATCATGTAAATTACGAAAACGACCGTTGTTTTCAAATGGTTTCCAGCCGAACACCTTGTGACTTATATCTGCAATTCCTTCACCTACTTGTTCAGCTTTTTTAGTTAAATCTTTGTGTCCCTGTTCTAGATCTGCCTTCACTTTTAAAAAACCATCGCCGAATCCAAATCCACGTTTACTTCTTGACTTAGATGGTGCAGGTTTTGGTAGAGGTGGAACTTGGCTACCCTGTGGTTTCCAGCCGATATCTTGTGGTTGTTGTTGCTGTTGTGGGGATCGTTTAAATCTCCGGTCATCTTGACAACATGTTCCATCTGAACTAAAAACAGAAAGAACACGTTTATATGTATTTTTATGACAATATATAACATTTTAAATATCCAGTTAACAAAATAACGTCAGCGAAGTTAACAAAAGAATATCAGCATAGTTAAGAAAATAAAATCAGCATACAAAATTTGGAATAATTTGATTAAGCAATATTTGTGGTAAACTTGTTACTAACCTATCCAAGGTTTCCTATATCAAATCCCTGCAGTTCGTCATTTCGTAGTCATATCTGCTTTATATTTCTTCAGAATAATGTGTTAAGTGAAATGTGTTAAGTGTTAAAGAATGTTTTAAAATCTAAACACTGCTTTTTGTTTTCTTTAGTATCTTTTGAGGGCTCATTTATACCTATGTCGAGCCTCCGTTAAAATCTAATTATTAAAATATTTTTGCATCGAATACCACATAATCTATCGATCTAAAGAGTCGATGGAAAAACAATAAACTGTAACTCCGTGAAATATTTTAAGAATGTCATGACTGACAAATTTTTTATAAATAGTTGGACAATGATTAGTCAAAGGCAATCATTATAAGTATATGCGTATATGAAAATGTTTAAGGGACAAAAATGTTGAGACAGTAAGCGTGTCGAATACCTCTGAAATATTAATTTCCCGACCAATTTTTAGTTGAGATCACTAGAGTATAATAGACCAGCATTTATGTGTCTGATTGACCTAAAGGCAGGGTTTGACAGAGTAAGACTCAATACTAATATAAATATTATAAAAACTATCGAAAACATCTACCAAAACAACAAAATGGAAGTCAGAATTGCTGGACAACTATAAAATCTATAGAAATAGGCAGTAGAATAAGACAAGGGGATTAAGCCCCATACTCTTCAATTTGATCATGGATGAAATCATCAAAACCGTTAAAACAGGAAGAGGATACAGAATGGGAAACAAAGAAATCAAAATACTCGCAGACGACGCAATATTGATAACCCAAGATGAAGACAGTCTACAAAGACTGGTCAACAGATTTAACATAAGAGCAAAAGAATTTAATATGACAATTTCATCTCAACTAAAACAATAGTAGTCAGCAAAGAACCAACTAGATGTAAAATAGAAATTGATGGCATCAGTATTTAACAAGTAATGGAAATAAAATACCTGGGAATGACACTGTCTAGCTATGGAGCCTGGACAAAGAAGTGAGAGATCAAGTACAAAAAGCAAATAGACTGGCAGGATGCCTTAATAACACTATATGGCGAAACAGACACATTAACACTGAGTTGATGTCAAAAATTTATAAAGCCAGTGTAAGACCAATAATGACATATGCCTCAGAAACAAGACCCGACACAGCCACAACTCAAAGGCTACTGGAAACGGCAGAGATGAGACTACTGAGAAAAATTACAGGAAATACGCTGAGAGATCAAAAGAGAAGTAAAGACATTAGAAGAAAATGTAACGTACACTGTATAAACGAATGGACACAATAGAAAAAAAGAATGGAATAACCACTTAAGCAGAATGGAGGAGACCTGTGTCGTCAAAATAGCAAGAGATAAGTCACCAATCGGCAGAAGTATCGGACGACCGTGCAAAAGATGGAGTGACAACCTTCCATGGAGGTATTAATCCGCCAATCTTCTTCTTAGGGTACCTGTCCGTTCCGAACGTTGGCGATAATTCTGGCTATGATGATTTTGTTGGTTGCTATACGAAATAGCTGTGTTGAGGTCTTTCTATACCATGCTCTCAGGTTAGTAAGCCAGGATATTCTTCGTCCTGGGGCTCTTTTTCCTTCAATTTTACCCTGCAAAATGCATTGGAATAGCTCGTATCTGCCTTGATTTCTCATAACATGTCCAAAGTACTCCAGCTTACGGCTCTTCACAATGTTGACCAAATCCGCGGTTGTGTTCATCCTCCGCAGTACTTCTTCATTGGTGACTTTGTCCATGGTATCTTCAGGATTCTTCTGTATAACCATAATTCAAACGCCTGAAGTTTTGATAGAGTTTCCGCCTTCAATGACCACGTTTCTACTCCATACAGAAGCACTGAGTATACGTAAAATTTAAGGAGCCTTATTTTTGTTTTCAGGGCGAGGTCATGGCTTTTGAACACAGAGCTCATAGCCAAGAATGCCCTTTTGGCCTTTCCGATGCGACATTTAATCTCTTGCCAATGAACAAGCAGAATTGCTTAAAAAGAGGAAGAAGAAGAATTTTTGGTTATTAATAGCTCTCTAATTTTTTTACAAATGCTGCATAACCGGCAATAAAACGCGATAGTATGGTTGGCAGGCAAAATGCAGTGAGGTTCTTGAAATCAGACACTGCAAAGTTGCAGTTCGTATTGTAAATACACAACTTTACAGTGCTCGATCACAGAAACGTCCTTTAAATTTTGCCGTGAAGCATACTATAAGATATAAATGCCTTTTATGAAGTATTGGAAAAAAATCAGACTGTTAAGAATTCAAAATTGATCAGGAAATCAACATTACGATTAATATTGTTCTGAAGCTATTTTCTTGTGGCATTGTAAATTAATTACTATTAAACTCGGAATAAGCCACAATTAAAGATAATTTAATAATAATTTAATTGTGGCTTATTCCCAGTTTAATAGTAATTAACATTACGATTGTCTGACACCATAAATATCCCAATATTTTCCCCACGTTTTCTACTAATTTATTCTTTAAGTCAGAAGTAAAAATATGATGATGTTCATATATTTATAATCATTGTCAAATTGAACTGATTTTCACATCGTCTCAAAGGAAAACGGCCCAATTTCCAGAGTTCCCTACCATAAAAAATTTCTCTTTTTTGTTAAGTAATTCACGAAGTTACAGCTTGTTGTTATTCCTTCGATTCCTTATAGCGGCTTCCCACGGTCGGCGATATTGCGGACTTAAGCGGACCAGCACACACCACGCACCGTGGGAAGGGTCTCGTCCGTGGTAGCACAGGCACGTCCGTGCTGGTGCGTCCTATCCATCTAGAGTCGGTAACATCAAAGTTGCGGTATATGCTCGTGCTCGCGATCCTAGCGCGTCTGTGTTTTAACAGACGACAAGTGCAAGTCAGAAGTTTTTCATTCGCTGACACGAGTAGTTGTCTGTAGTGTTGTCAAAGTTGTTTTGCAGTTTTTTGCTGAAAATGGAATGGACAAACGAAGTTGTTTTTGATTTTTTAAATTTGTATCATGATGAACGAAGTTTATGGAATTCCACGGTGCCAGAACATAAGAACCGGAACGATGCATGGAACCGAATAAAAAATCAATTGAAGAATATTACTATTTCGATTAAAGAATTAAAAAAGAAGAGAGATAATTTAATGTCGACATACAGAAGGCAAAAAACAAAAGTTAGAGAATCGATGGGAACTAGTAGTGGGGCTGATGATGTTTACAAGCCTGAGTGGCCTTTTTATGATATAATCAAACACTACTGTCACGGACTTACACAGACTGTCACGGACCGTAGGAAGAGCTCTGTCTGCGGACGTTGCCGTCCGTGCTGATCGGCTGTCCGCGATGATCTGTAGAATTGCCGATCGTGGGAAGCCACTACTAGATTGACGATTCCTTAAATTGACATTTTATATCGAACCTGTCAGGTTTTACGATACGATTTTTGAAGAACAATGATTGTTTCAGATGTATAAATGAAGTCGATGTTAAAATCTTTTTTAATATGCGTTTACTTTTTTACACAATTTCTGAAAATAAGCTTTCAGCAGTTTCAACAATAAATTAAAAAACAATTTTCAAGTCATCAAGCAAATTAATTGGAAGGTATTAACTACGTTAAATATTAAGAATATGAAATTTCTCTAAGAAAATATGAATATGGGATTTGGGATCTATAAATCTGAATTAGACATCAAAATGGAACCATTATACTGTCCTTTTCACGTTAATACTCAAACACAAACATTGGAACTTTACTGGTAATCAAAAATTGAATAATTCTGAAACGGTTCTGTCCATATTTTGTTTGCTTATGTTGAGTTGCTGATTTTTGATCAATGTGTAGTAGCTTTATTGTAGCAGCAAATTTTGCAAAGCAAAGACGTTGCTGTTGCCGTTGATATTAGGAGAGAATATTGCATCAACCGTCACACAAACCTTCGTCAAGATGTACGTCAGCTCTAGATTATAGTAGATATAGTTTTAATGTAATCCTTTGACTTTGATTATGGGGAACGTAGTGTAGAAACATTGGAACAGTTCAATATAAGACCTAAGTATATGATTGTTTTAAATTGATTAGTTTAAAACAATCATAAAAGTCAGATGTTGTAACTCTCACCAGAAACTTAGCAGAAAGGGCATTACAGAAAAACGTTAAATATATTTTTTTATATATTTATACTTATTGTAACAGATTACATTTTAAATTAAATAAGGTCTGTAATTGTTGCTATTTTTTATCGATAGTTGTGACCGTCGTAGCTATCTCTACCTGATTGGTAGCCATTGCTGTAAAAACAAATACACAATCAATATATGGACTACTTAGAAGAACGTCAAAAGCTATTTTGTAACGAAATATTGTGTAAAAAAATCAATACAAAATTATCCGGTCATTTTGAAATTAAACGTTTTCTGTTTTGCTATAGTTTCCTGAACAAATGTACAGGGTTACACAATTGAACTGTTACCTATTCAAACGACTATAATTTTTTTGTGTGAAATTATTTTTTATTGATTCAAATGACAAAAATGTGTGAAAATAATTAAAATTTCAGAATCCACTCACTTTAGCTTGATGTAGTCACCTTTTGCCTTGACTATGGCCTTCAAACGATCAAAAAACGAGTTGCATGCTGCACGAATGTGATCTTCCGGTATTTTGGCCCATTCACGTATAATTGCTTTCTTCAGCGCATCCATACTGGCATATTTTTTAGTCCTCACGTTGCTCTCCAAAATGGACCAGATGGAATAATCCATCGGATTTGCGTCTGGCGAATTCGAAAGCCATTGTGTGGATGAAATGAAGCGTGGAACATGGTTTTAACCATTCTTGATTCACACTAGCTTTATGAGACGGTGCCGAGTCTTGTTGGAACGTCCATGGTCTACAACCAAAATGGGCGTGCCCACGGCTTTAAAGCAGCTTCTAAAACATTTTCCCGATAATAAGTTACATTGACTTTGACACCAGATTCAATAAAACAGATTGGAGAGCGTCCATCGGCGGTTACAACTGCCCACACCATTACTTGAGGTGGGAAATTACTTAGGGTGGCCGTTCGTAAGCTAAAACTTTCATAGGTGCGTTCGGTCAAGTAAACACGATCATTTTGAGAGTTTATGAACTGCTCAATAGGGAAATTTTTCTCGTCAGAGAACACTATGTTCGGAAATTCGCCACATTCGCGCAGGCGTAACAACTTCTTTGCTCTTTCAAGCCGAACTTTTTTTTGCTTTGGTGTAAGATTGTGTGCTTTTCGGAACTTGTAAGGCTTGACCTTGAGCTCCTTTTTCAATATTAGTTGCATGTTTCGCTATGATATTTTAAGTTCTTTGGACATTTGATTTTACCACTACGACGTGGGTTTCGCTCAAGTCGAGCCTTCACTTTCCGAATCATTTCAGGGGATGTTGCTTTTTTTCGTCCACCACCATAGCATTTGGCAATGCTACCACGGCAGTATAACGAGTTATGGTGCGATACACAAACATTTTATTCATATTTTATTCACAATTACACCATTACGTTTAAATTCCTTTGCGAACAACTGTTGTATGTATAAAACTTAAACGCAAATGCTTTTGACGGCTTATAAACAATATACTGAAGTGGTTCTTTTCAGGCCAACTTTGACGTAGCTCTCATTATCGATGTGCTAGATATATTGATGTGAAATTGGTAACAGTTAAATTGCATAATCCTGTATTAATAATTATAACAAACATATATCTGAGGCGTAAAAATATGGTTATTGTACCAAAATATTTAATTTCATTCCCAAAATATATCCAAACGTTCTTCGTTTAAATTTTCCCCTCTGAACTTACCCGTAACTTCCCATCTGGTAATTCGATCCTCTTACTGGTCTGTAGCCACCGGAGTTGCTACTACTGCTACTACTGCTGCTACTTGAACTGTACGAACTGTGAGTCTGGAATGATTGTTGTAGTCCTTGTCGCAATTGGTTCATCAGAGATTCTTCCAGTTTAGCTCTAAGATCTGCCATTTGGGATCTGTCGAAGTTTCCGTAGGCTGCATAGGATCCACTGGCACTGTGAAAAAAAAAAATAGGAAATAAGAATAAAATCGAGAAGAATATTAGACTGCTAGTGTAGGAGCAAATATGTCTACTATTATGTACTCACTTTAGAAATCATTGTAATAAGGTTTTGAAAATGTGGAAAGTTATATTTATAATATATTATAGTTCGCTAGATAAATATCTATCTTTTACTAATGAAAGTAATAGACCAACCATTACAATTATCTGGAACGAATCTAAAAGAAGAAGCGAAGTTAGAGAAGTACAGGAAAGGTCAGAGAATAAATTAAAAATTAAATTAAATTAAAAAAACCAATTATCTAACAAATCATTGAATAAGAGGGAAGTATCCCTGCCGACAAGAGGCACTTGTAAGTTAAGGGAAACAAAATCTTAAGAAATTTTAATAAATCTTAATAAACTAAAAGCAAATTGTTTTACATGTGTTCGAATTAAAATTAGTTAAATACCGAATGTGATATTGGTAAAACAATTAATTAACAAATAAATGAGAAATGGTATTTATATAATCAAATCTTTAGTATAACGGCTCCTGTAAACCGCATATTTAAAAGCGACAAATGTAAACACAAAGCGTTCATATTTCAACCCAATGAGTACTACTGCTAAACATCAACAGAAAAGAATTTAAACTATGTATCAATAAAAGAATTAGCTACAAAAATGGGTTTAATAATAAACACCAACAAAACGAAGTATATATAAAAATAAGCGCTCAGGTGTACGAATTAATTCAGAAAATAATAGTACCGCAGAGATAAACCGTAGAATTTACACGGCCAACAGATGCTATTTTGGGCTCAATCTCCTCCTTAAATCCACAATTATATCGAGATGTTACGATGTTTCGAAACAAAAGTACTAAGGCGAATTTCTTGATAGATCCATTGGTCAGAGAAGAAGAGAAAGATCTAGAACAAGGTTCCTTGATAACACCGATGAAGACACGAGAAATATGGGAATACGTGGTTGGCGGAGAAAGGCGATGGATAGAGACGACTGGAGAGAAATTCTTGAGGAGGCTAGGACCCACGTAGGGTTGTAAAGCCAGAATGATGATGATGAGTACTGCTGATGATGACTACGGCGACTTATGTCAATTGTAAACACGTTGAGGTTTGTAATAAAGTAGAAAAGTATATGGTCTTTCTTTAGGGGAAAATGTCAACCTAGCCCCCAGTTGGGCTAGTGTAGTGGAAACATAACGCCACATGGCGATCCTTTCAGGATGAGTAGTAGTACAATCACCCAACAAAATATATAATTAAATAAAATTGTGAAAGAATATATTCCGCAGTAGCCTTGGTTCTTACAAAAAATATATATAAAAAAATGAATTACCTATATTCTTGTAAATGCTTTGTAAGGTTCCTATTCAATTGATCAGAGAGATCTTGGAGGGAAGACTGGTAATTTTGAGGAGTATAGCTGTATGAACTGTGCGATTCTTGGTTTAACGCTTGATTAAGCTGTCTCGACAGATCAGCTTGAAGTTGTCTCTGCAAGTCCGCCATGTTTCCGCTGCTGTAGGTGGTGCCACCTGAATTATATCCGCTGGCTGAATTATGTTGACTTGCTGTGTTATATGCGCTGCCTGAGTTGTATCTACTGGCTGAATTGTATCCGCTGCCTGAGTTATATCCGGTCTTGACTCCTGGTTCGTAATAAGCCGGTTGAGCTGAACCGTAGCTGTTACCGTAGCTGGACTGGCTGTTGTAAGAGGAAGAGGAAGACCAGCTAAAAGAGAAAATTCATAAATTATATTCTATTATAATGAGATATTTTCATTGGATTTATAATGGTCTTTATTGGTTTATATTACAATTTGAGTCTAGAAGAATGGAAGTTTGCCATATTTCTAAGTAATCTTGAATATACTGTCTATTATCAGTTAGTGCATGCAAGTATTACATTAACTGTTTCTTACCTCTTTCTGTAAGATTCAAAGTCCCTTTCCAATTTATTAATCAAATTTCTTTGTATCTGTTCCTTCAAATTTTCCATATCTCTCAAACCGTAATTGTAATCTGTGGATATCGCTCCGTTGGATGCGACAGAGTACAAATATCCGTCTTTTTGTGTCTGCGATCCGTAGTTCTTACTGATCATGTCATCTAATTGATAGGTGATGTTGTTCCTCAGTTCGTTCCTTAATCTTTCAAGAAGAACATCAGGGTTAGTCAACGAGTACTGTTGACTTGATGAAAAGTGGGTTCTACGTGTTTCGTCAAGTACGTTGTTGAGATTTGCGTCCAATTGACTTTGGACTCTTGAAGCAATCGTTGTTAGACTTTCAGGATTAGAAATTGGAGTGTATCGTGTCTTAACAGCGTTATATTGTTGACTGTGGGTGTCGACGTATCTTTCAGATGTCAAGGTTGGATAAATTGGCCTGTAGGTTGTGGTGTAGTATACTGGTCTCTGTGTTACGGGGTAAACGTAAGCACCTCCATTGTGTTGGTAAGCGCTTGAACTACCGTAGCTGTGTTGGCTGTATTGGCTATATTGGGTGCGCAATTGATTGAGCAACGAGTTTTCTATCTGGCTCTTCAGGTCTACAAGTTCTTGGTTGTCGTAGTTAGCAGTTGGTTGTAACCTGAAAAGGAAAAAAAATACTATTTAAATACTATTTTGACCAAAATAAATTGAGCAGTAATACATTTCCTATATCATAATTTATGTGAAGGACTTGGTTTATCGGTCTGGTATTTAAAAAAACATAATGAGTGTTAAATGGCGTTAATTTACATTTCTTACAATATACTCTATAAACTATCCGATTAACTGTCTTGATTGCTAATGTAGGAAAGATTTTTGACATCAGCTTGGAAATACCATTAATGCATGGTCATGATATTCAGTTTTTATTGGCATTGGTGTAATTTTAATCCACCATTTCACATAAAATTACGTATCATTGCCATACATTTATGGATTTTACGAAATAGATTTTTAAAATGCTTTTTAGATATAACATCAATGATGGGCAAAATTATGATACCCAAAAATATCTACCTACATATGTTTTCAAAATTTAAATATAGTATCAATAAAGGTATACAAAAAGGTATACAAGTCTTGGATACAAGGTGTTATGGAAACCATGAAAGACAAAGCCATTGATGAAGACACCTGGGGAGATAGAAAAAGATGGCGATCGAAATGCGGGAAGCGGCAGAAGCTGTAGGATCCCCGCTTATGTATCAATAAAGGTATTCATGCGAATACTAAGAACACTGTTAGATAAGGCAAATGAGTACCAACTACTTGTATTTCTTGCCTTCCAAAAGACAACCAAAGTGTGGAAATCACTAGAAGATCAAGACTGGCATGTGCAGGATTTGGAAAACTTAGTTGGATACTGAAGAACCGCAAAATACCTCAATACTTGAGGAGCAAAGTGTTCAACCAGTGCACCCTTCCTATCAGGACATATGGATGTCAAACCTGGATCTTAACCAAATATGAATAATTGCCAAAATCAAATGGAGCTTTGCAGGTCACACTTCTAGACAACGGTGGAATGCCACAATACAACATTCGAGACTTTACAACGGTAGACGACCAAGAGGAAGGCCACAGATGGTTAGATGACATAAACAGAATAGCCGGAACAAATTGGAAGTATGTTGCTCAGGATAGAGATCGATGAAAGGATTTGGGAGAGGCATATGTCCAAAAATGGACGGTAGAAGGCTAAGAAGAAAAGGCATTCAATCAGATGCTGTTGTAAAGTATTAACAATTAACGAAAGGAAAACAAAATATCTAATCTGCTCTAAAAGAGAAGTTACTAAGAGGAGAGAAATCAAAATAAAACACTACAGTGTTAAAAGCGTTCAGCCATTTAAATACTTGGGAGTAATTGTGAATGGTAAAAATAATAGAAGTGGAGAAGTAACGGAGCGAATACTAACAGACAACAAAACATATTGGAAATACCATAGGTTAATGAAGGACAAGAACTTATCCAGAAATACAAAACTGAAAATATACATAGTTACAATGAGACCAGCAGCAACGTATACAGCTGAGACAATGTGCCCTACAGACAAAGATAAAGAAAGATTAAGAATATTCGAAAGAAAAATTATTACAAGAATTATGGGCTCGATAAGAATGAAAAACGAAGAAATGAGAAGAAGAATGAGCCACAAAATAAGATACATAATGAAGGGAAAAGTATATAGTTAGATTTATTAAAACACAAAGACTAAGATGTTACATAAAGAAAGTAGAAACGACATACTGATTGAGATGGTCGCCAGATGGAAACCAGAGACTGACTGATTCAGGGAAAGATCTAAGGAGAGATAGGAGGATCAAGTCATGAGAGATATCAAAATCCTGAATCTAAGGGACCCTATACAGATGGAAATAAGCAGAAGAAAAATGTAACGAATTCCAAGGCATACAACTAACTTTGACGATATATCAGAAGAATGCGGACGGATTTGCAGCGATAAATAAATTAAAGAACTCTAATTAAGAGCAGCAAACATTCCATCAAGAGTGAAAGGTATCGATGATGGTGATAAACAGATATTTTCTATGGTGCTTGTACCAAACGAAGTATAATATCGTCTATTTTCAGAGTTTTTTTGCTGTTGATGTTTTCGGCGCTTATTTAATAGTTTCACGCTTTTGCAATTTCAAAAGTCTATAAATGGTTGCTTGTCGGCTGCTTTTTTATTAGACGAGCTCACATAATATTGCTTTTTGTTGCTATTCGTACAAAACTAATAACTTTCCCCCTTTTTTTTTAATTTTATTTTACCCTAGATGGACAGTTGAGTTTATATTTCTGTTTTCTAACACCTGAAAAACAAAAACAAAACCGGAACATACCCAAAACTATTATTTCCACCAAGAGGGCTATATTTTGTTCGACTTTTGCTTTTGTTTTCGGTCATTTGCTACTTCTTCAATAACCAACCAACATGTTTAGCGAAGAAGATTTTTTATTTTGAATTGTGGCTGGTTGATACTGAAGTCCTTGGAAAAATGGTTATTTCTGCCATGCATAAACTCATTGCATTGTAATCAAACCACTTGGGTGTAAAATGCTGTCGGGCGCCAGATTTTTTCATTTTTTTATAATTTCTTGTCAGTTGATGTCAAAACATTGGGCAATTTCTTTGTGTAAATCCATTTTATTAATTCTATTTTTATGGTTGCCATCCTTTAGGTACAAGAAATTTCTATTTTCCCGGAAGGCGTCTATTACGGTACATATTTCTTCAGCAATTCATTGCTTTTAACCCCTTAAACTTGCGCTTAGTTTTTGTTTACTCCGTTAATTCCACGGTTCAACAGAACTGAATCACTTTGAATGAAGCAGAAATGCAAGCAATGCTATTTACACAGTATCTGGAAAGTGAACTGTTCAACAAACATTCTTCAAAAAATGTCGTCGAATGAAGTTGTGCATTTAGGAGTTGCATTAATATGTAACCATTTAATAAAAGAATCATCGAAAAAAGCTAAAGAAACGCCGTCGTTGGTCTTAAGAAGAAGCGATCATGGGTATTAAGAAGACAAGCCTTAGGAGCTTCAAATCGTCGATTGAGAAAATTGGCAGAACAGGATCTAGATGCATACCTTAATCATCTTCGCATGAATGAAGCAAAATTTGATAAACTTCTTACAATGAGTACACCGTTAATTCAGAAAGAAAATACTATGATGAGGGATGCCTTGCCCGCGAGATAAGTTTAAACCAAAACAACTTTGGAACATAAATATATGCAGAACAGCCGCTTTTGGTCGATCGTTTGATCTTTGTTAACTCACAATAGACCTAAATATCATAGCTAACCTGTATTGGAATCAATCAGCTGTGCTCCGAATAGATGGAGAATATACAGATTAGGTCAAAATCTTAAGGGGAGTTAGACAGGGTTACATAATTTCACCACTGATATTCAATCTGTACTCGGAGTACATATAGACTGGATATAAACACCAGCAAAATTAAGCTAATGATCATCAGCAAGGAAAAAATAACTGGAGCAAATATGTATGTGAACCAAATGAGAATTGAGCGTGTCTCACAGTACAACTACTTGGGAACTGTCATCAATGAGTCGTGGGGCAATACCCAAGAGATTAAATGTATCGAAAAGGCAAAAATTGCATTCTTGACTATGAGATCTGTGTTCAAGAGCCTTGATCTCACCCTAGAAATAAAAGTAAGGTTCCTTAAATGTTATGTGTACTCAATGCTTCTGTACGGAATATAAACGTGGATATTGAAGGCGGAAACTCTATCACAACTTCAGGTTTTTGAACTATGGTTATACAGAAGGATCCTGAAGATACCATGGACAGTCAAAGTCACCAATGAAGAAGTACTACGGAGGATGAACACAACCGCGGATTTGGCGGACATCGTGAAGGACCGTAATCTGCAGTAATTGGGACATATAATGAGAAATCAGGGCCTATATAATCTACTCCAATGCATTTTGTAAGGTAAAATTGAAGGAAAAAGGGTCCCAGGATGAAGAAGAATATCCTGGTTTGCTAACCTGAGAACATGGTATAGAAAGACCTCAACACAGCTATTCCGTAAAGCAACCAACAAAGTCATCATAGCCAGAATGATCGCCAACGTTCAGAATGGATAGGCACCCTAAGAAGAAGAATTCACAAGTATATGGAGTAGTTACGGATACTTTTAATTATAAATTTTATGCCTTTCAGCAGATTTAGTAGCATTTTCACGACAATCTCGGTTTTTATAACCCTCCGTTTTATAATGCCATAGACACGATTACTGTTTGAAATGTTCTAAGCACAGAGGTGTGTACTCTTCCTTTCATTACTTAGGTATGTATCGACCAAATACGCCCTTCTTCGACACTGGCGTGCACAACTGACTCTAAAAGTGAACTTTTTAATTCTTATGTGTATAAATTCATTTGTCGTTCAATCGCATTGAATATCGAACGCTACAAGTGAAAGTATTAAGCCTGTTCACTTCTTTCAACGCCATTGAACGACAACATTTAATGACATGGAATGATTCACTTTTATGTTTACATGAATCAAATTGGTTGCTTTATCCAAATTGAAAGGTAAATCGTGTAATTTGGCCTTTAGTGGCAAACTGTTATAATCAATGAATTGGTTGTTCTACGACGACAAATGTTTGTTGTTGATGACGTGAAATAACGGCCTTATGAAAACAGACAATATTTAAGTAATCTATAAAATAATGTGCTCCGTAATGTTATGGTGTTTCACCCTTTATCTTCCATATTTTTTGTGTGAATATGGAATTTTAATTACACCATTAATAACATTAAAGGAACTGCCATGTAATAAATTCTGTTAATAATTTTCTATATTTCTTTTTTGTAATAGAGAAAAATATTAAACACACATTACACAATACTTCGCTATAACTTACCTTCCTCCACTCATGGAATAGGACATGCCACTGCGGACAATTTGTTGACCATATTTAAGATTCAGTTCGTTGTTTAACCTCTCCGTTAAATTCCGCCTTAGCTCTCTTTCAAGTTCAGACATATCTATCCTAGTTTGGGAATAGGCGCTGTTTTGACGAACAGCTTCTCGCAAATCCCTCTCCAATTCTTGTTGAAGACGAGACGTCAACATTCTAAGGTTGGAGTTTGTGTTGTAGCTGTGACTGTTGCTGCTTCCATAGCTGGTACCGTAACCTTAAAAATGGTAAATTTTATATCAGATACTTAAAAAGGATTAATATAGTGGATTTAAGCGTTTCACTAATTATTTTAGTTTGAAACTTACCAGTAGAATATCCAGCTTGACTGCCATAGATCCTATCGGATCTGGCGAGACCTTCGACACCCATGCTGTTTTGGTTGCCATATCCGTAGGTTCCGTCAGCTCTCATGTTACCATAGGAGTTTGTGTCCAATCCATACTGGCCGTTTTGCAGTTTTGGGTTTATATATTCTGAATGCTCACTGTTTGAATCTTCGATAGGCTTATATCTGTTTTCTAAATCACCGTCTTTTTTGTAATAACCTACAATGAGATATTCCTTGATTGTGTTACGAAAACTGTGTTTATATAGACTAGGTGGGATCTGTAAAAATTCAGACCATAATGGACATTTTCCATAGGAAGCTATTTTTATGCTGGAATCCCTTCAGGATGGGCCCAATATCGATAATCACGATATGCGCCAGTCGCAAACCCTGTGCCAAATTTTTTATTTAACAAAATCTGGAAACAATTGAAAATTTCTCATTTTTTTGCTACAATTTTCGTTTATAATTCGGAAAATATTGATCCTAGAGAAAAAATTATAAAAAGTTAAAAGTTTCGTTATTCAATTTTACACAATATGTCGTTAGTTAGAAGTAGTTAGTTAGAAAATTTAATGTTTATTGTTGAAAAAATAGCAATAATTGGAAAAAAAAGTACAAAAAAATTAAGTTAATCCTTTAAATGTTTTCGACTTTTTAAACTTGACTTACAAGCTCCATATTCCGCCTAGAAAAACTTTTTAATATGTTTAAAACGTGTACTAAATTTTTTTAAGATCGGTCGGATAGGTTTTGCATAATAATTTTGCAATCCAGCCTACTGGAAAAAAATCGCAAATTTTCAAATTTATAGTAGGCCCAAAATAAGGCCATCAAATAGTTGCAATTTTTTTACATATAAAGGAAGGCTCAAACTTCCAAACGTTTTGTGTAAAATTCAAATCGATTCACTAGGAGAGCCTAGAAATTTTTTTTTAAACTTTTTTAAACATTTTTTAGGCTTATAAACAAATTGAATAACTTTACGAGCTTTAAACATATCATTTTCGATTCAAAATATATTATCAAATCAAATAATGTCATTATTATGATAAAACTGCAGAAATTAATTATTCTAAAAAGTTTGATTTTTACAAAAAAAAAAAGAAAAATTTGTTCGCCTTTGTTTTAACAATTTAAATTATTACTGTTATTATATATTGTTACTTTTAGTAAACAAATATGTATTTATAAATTTTTAATAAATAATTTGAATTGTTAAAACAAAGGCGAACGAATTTTTTTTTTGTAAAAATCAAACTTTTTAAGATAATTAATTTCTGCAGTTTTATCATAATAATGACAATATTTGATTTGAGAATATATTTTAATTCGAAAATGATATGTTTAAAGCTCGTAAAGTTATTCAATTTGTTTATAAGTCTAAAAAATGTTTAAAACTTTAAAAAATTTTCTAGGCTCTCCTAGTGAACCGATTTAAATTTTACAAAAAGCGTTTGAAAGTTTGAGCCTTTCTTTATACGTAAAAAAATTTTCAACTATATGAGGGCCTTATTTAGGGCCTACTATAAATTTGAAAATTTGCGATTTTTTTCCAGTAGGCTGGATTGCACAATTATTATGCAAAACCTATCAGGCCGATCTTAACAAAATTTAGCACACGTTTTAAGCATATTAAAAGTTTTTCTAGGCGGAATATGGAGCTTGTTAGGGTGGCCGCACACAGAAAAAGCAAAACTGTTTTAGTCAAAAACGTTTTTGTTTGAAACGAAAACGTTTTTGTTTCCAAAAGAAACATTTTGTTTTCAAGAGAAACAAAATTTTTGCACAAACCATACTGAAATCAGTTTTATTAAAGATGTCGACAGATAACGACGAAATTGCACTAGTTTTCTGGCAGTGGTTCCTCCTACAGGACGAAAAAACGCAAAATAAAAGACAATTTTGGGTGAATCCTATAAATAAGAAAAGAACTGCTAAAAAAAACTCTCCAGTCTTTGTGATTTAAATTTTGATTGTGATGATCTTTTAATTGATAGTTATATAAGGGGTCTGGCCTCAATCAGTAAAATTCATTTTTCTGCGTCCACTTCCATGATACACACAATATAAACAAGCAAAATATCGTTGTTTCCACATGTGCTTCTTGTTGACTACGCGAGCGGTTTCAAGAAGAGGATTCCAAAAACATGTTGTGTCTGCGTACATTGAAATGTTTCGACACAAAACGACGATCCGGTAATCAACATCAAACAGACTGACTAAAACTAAATGAGCCTAAACATGATTTAGACACACGACTAATCAGTGTGCGTCAGCTCATTTCATTTATATGGAAACATCAGCATCAGACTCGTTTAGTCAAAAACGTTTTTGAATAAAACAGTTTTGCTCTTTCTGCTCTTAATTAATAGAGTTCTGTGGCCAAAGAAAATTGTCTGTAATGAATACCTACTTCCAACACCACCCACGAAGGCTCTACACTTGGAAATCACCGGGCGACCGAACAAGAAATCAGATAGATTTCATAATGATAAATTCAAGGTGGAAGTCCTCAGTCACTAACGCAAAAACTTATCCAGGTGCAGATTGTGGAAGCGACCACCAACTTCTTGTAGCTGTATTCCGAATACGTTTTAGAAACAAACACAAGCCCACTCCTAGAACTCCCATGCTTACAGAGACTGAACTTTTAACTTTCAAAGAAAGAATAAACCCAGTGTTAACTGAGACAAGTACTACCCCCATAGATAATATCGAGACTTTCTGGGGAGTTTTTAAAAAAGATATATTAGATACAGCTAAGCAAAGTCGCCAACCCATAAAAAACAACAGTCGTAAACCATGGATCAGTGACCAAACATGGAAAATTATAGAACAAAGAAGGCAACTTAAAGTTGGCAGTTTTGATTTAAACGACTATCGAAGCTTATCAAGAGAAATCCAAAGAAATTGCCGGAAAGATAAAGACAAATATGTGTCTAACATTTGCCAGGAAGTAGAAATCCACTTACATCGAAATGAAACAAGAGATCTCTTTCAGAAAGTAAAGTTACTGGCTCGGGAATTCAAACCCAGAAATTACGCTATAGAGGATGAGACAGGCAATATGGTAAGCGATATGGATGCAGTTCTGGAGACTTGGAAGAAATACTGCACAGAACTCTATAAAGCTGAAACCTCTAACATTAAGCATACAACAGCACTGCAAGTCTCAGCAACAACACTAGAACCAGATATTCTAAGGTCTGAAGTCGAGGAAGCCATAAAACACCTTAAAAGAAATAAATCACCTGGTTGCGATAATATCACGGCAGAACTTTTACAGAACATGGGTGAACATGGTATCCAATTAATGTGGAGACTGTGCAATCATGTATGGAGAATCGGTAAATGGCCCAGCGATTGGTGTACCGCACTATTTATCCCCATTCATAAGAAAGGCGTAACCACAAAATGTAGTAACTACCGAACAATTTCACTAATTTCACACCCAAGTAAAATTCTGTTGAGAATTATCAAGTGTCGCATGCAGACATACCTGGATAGACAAATACCACAAGAACAGGCAGGCTTCGTTAAGGGTAAAGGCACAAGGGAGCAAATTCTTAATATGCGACAACTCATTGAGAAAGCACGAGAATTCAAAATTCCGATGATCATCTGCTTTCTGGATTATCAGAAGGCATTTGACTGTGTAAACTGGACAGTTTTGTGGAAAGTTCTACATGAGATGGGGGTTCCTGATCATCTGTCAGCTCTGGTGAAAAGTCTATATGAGAACAGTGAAACCAGAATAAGAATTGAAAATCATAAGTCCGATCCTTTAAAATAGGCAGAGGAGTCCGACAAGGATGTATTCTATCTCCAAGTCTTTTTAATTTCTATGGGGAATATATAATGAGAAAAGCACTCGACAAATGGAATGGCGGTATTTCTATAGCAGGAAAAAAGATCTCAAATCTCAGATATGCAGATGATACAACATTAATAACTGCATCCGAAGAAGAAATGTCCAGCCTGCTGCAGCTAGTGGAAGTCGAAAGCAATAGATGTGGTCTCAAGATCAATAAACAAAAAACAAAAATTATGATAGTAGACTATTCAAATTCACTTCAGACAACAGGAGCCTTGGACCAGTTTGAAGTGGTTAACGAGTTCAATTATCTAGGATCCTACATCAATAATACAGGATCTTGTGAAACAGAAATACGTAGGAGAATAGGCATGGCTAAAAACGCTATGAGTCGATTATCAAAAATCTGGAAAGATCGCGCCTTGTCGAAGAACACCAAAATAAGATTAGTACGTGCATTAATTTTTCCCATATTTAGTTACGGATCCGAAACATGGACAATCAAATCGGACGACAGAAGAAGGATTGACGCTTTTGAAATGTGGTGCTGGAGAAGAATGCTTCGGATCTCATGGACGGAACACAGAACAAATCACTCAATCCTCCAAGAGCTTAATATTCAGACTCGACTTTCGTCTATTTGCCTCTCCACCGTCTTAAAATTTTTCGGCCATATTGCAAGAAGAAGTGATGATAATCTTGAGAGACTTATAATTTCGGGAAACGTTGAAGGGCGCAGAAGTAGAGGTCGCTCACCTATTCGATGGACGGATCAGGTACAGAAAGCCAGTGGAAAAACATTTTCAGAATCCATGAGGGAAGCTCAGGACAGAAGCCGATGGAAAGAGATAGTGGCTCGTATTATAGGGAATCACGACACTCAGCAATGAGGAAACGACTGAGGAGGAGCTCTTTCTGTGTGCGGCCACCCTAAGGGGTAGCCTACCTAAGGAGTCTGATGCTGATGTTTCCATGTAAATGAAATGAGCTGACGCACACTGATTAGTCGTGTGTCTAAAGCATGTTTAGGTTAATTTAGTTTCAGTCAGTCTGTTTGATGTTGATTACCAGATCGTCGTTTTGTGTTGAAACATTTCAATGTACGCAGGCGCAACGTGTTTTTGGAATTCCCTTCTTGAAACTGCTCGAGTAGTCAACAAGAAGCACATGTGGAAACAGCGATATTTTGCTTATTTATATTGTGTGTATCATGAAAGTGGGCGCAGAAAAATTAATTGTACTGATTGAGGCCATTATAGGCCCTTTATATAACTATCAATTAAAAGACCCTTAATTCTTGGAGCAAAGATTGGAGAGTTTTTTTAGCAGTTCTTTTCTCATTTATAGGATGCAGCCAAAATTGTCTTTTATTTTTCGTTTATTCGTCCTGTAGGAGGAACCACTGCCAGAAAACTAGTGCAATTTCGTCGTTATCTGTCGACATCTTTAATAAAACTGATTGCATTATGGTTTGTGCAAACATTTCGTTTCTCTTGAAAACGAAATGTTTCTTGTGGAAACAAAAACGTTTTCGTTTCAAACAAAAACGTTTTCGTTTCAAACAAAAACGTTTTTGACTAAAACAGTGTTGCTCTTTCTGTGTGCGGCTACCCTAAGTCAAGTTTAGAAAGTCAAAAACATTTAAAGGATTAACTTCATTTTTTTGTACTTTTTTTCCAATTATTGCTATTTTTTCAACAATAAACATTAAATTTTTTATTTCTAGCTAACGGAATATTATGTAAAACTGAATAACGAAACTTTTAACTTCTTATAATTTTTTCTCTAGGATCAATATTTTTCGAATTATAAACGAAAATAGGAGAAAAAAATGAGAAATTTTCAATTGTTTTCAGATTTTATTAAATAAAAAAATTAGCACAGGGTTTGCGACTGGCGCATATCGTGATTATCGATATTGGACACATCCTGAAGGGATTCCAGCAAAAAAATAGCTTCCTATGGAAAATGTCCAATTCAAAACAGATCCCGTCTAGACTAATAGTAATTATTAAACTAATAGGAATTTATAGTATAACAGGCAAAAAAATGTTTCTGCTAGTAAAAAACCTTTCGTAGATTATACAAACCTTGATCATCAGTCTTATGTTGCAGTTCATTGTTTTTGTACGATGATTGTGATGTCTTATAGTTGTACTCCTGATGGTAGTAACCGTTAGGAACAGCCAGCGAACATCCCAGTACTGTTACAAACAGAAAGGGAATCTTCATGTTTACCTGGAATATTAAGTAACACAGTCAATTTAAAAAAATAACTTTCACTAATAATTACGTAAAAAACAAAATATTTAAAGCATTTATTTGTTTGTTTATATTATTTATGCTTTTCTATACAAACTTTCTACTACCAAGGTAACACAGTGTTGGTCACTCAAAGGAGTCCAACTCTTGTATTTGGCAATATTCATTGGATTTTGTGAACAGACTAAATCAGATCGATTTTTATTTCCAAGTTGTCATCTTTTAAAGATGTAGACATCTGTAATTTGTCAACGCTCTGCCTTACAGTAAAAAAAATCCCTTAATTTTAAAATGAGAGGCAGATACCTGGCTGTGTATCTGTAAACATAACTGCTGCCGACGAAGAAAGTTTTGATAACGCGGAAATATCTGAACGTTAGTCTGAAAGGAATGAATTGACTGCACAATGGAATATACCAAATACAAAATTTTGCCTGGAAAAAGAAATTCCTACCCAGAGAAATGGGATAACAATACTAAGTGTTCATAAAAATTCTCGTCTTGTTGATATTTTCCTAAAATAATTTTCAAGTAGTTTATTTATGCATGATAGTGATTGGTGGTACTATGGTTATGTGTTACAATAAAGTACCACCCATCTCACACTACTGGTCACAAAATGAAGCTCTTTCAAATTCCCTTATAAAAAAAAAACAATTTAAAGAGATCGCTGTTTATTCCTGCTATCAAAGTTCTACTATAAAAATCCTGAAAGAAATGGTAATACATCAAAACATACTACCTCGATGAAGTGGTTTCTTGTTTGAAACTTTCGCAAAGGCGAGGATTTAGAGTTTCCATCAGTCCATCGACGAATCAATGATTAAGTTCCGAAGAAGCTCTGCCCCGAACGAGTATATTCATATGATGCCAGTAAAAAGAGGTATAAAAATGTGGCAACGAAGTGATTGTTTCACAGGATATACATATATACGATTTCAATATTTACTCGGGAAAAGAATCCACACTAACTACTGGAACTCTAGGAGAATGAGTTGTTGAAACTCTCGCCAACACCTAACGGTGTGTCACCAGATATGGAGTTTTTAGTTTCATCCCTTCCGAAGGAATTTTAGCGACTAAATGGAAAGATACGAAAGAAGTACCTAATCTTCTTCTTTGGGTGCCGTGTCCGTATTCAGACGTTGGTCGTCATCATGTTTACAATTTCCTAAAACCTTTCTCTGTCGGCTGCTGCGCGAAATAATTCTTCTACTATGAAACCATACCATTGTCTAATATTACGCAGCCATGAAAGTTTCTTTCGACCAATCCATCTCTTTCCTTCCACTTTTCCTTGTATTATAAGGCGAAGTAAATGGTATTTGGGTCCTCTAATTATATGACCGAAGTATTCTGTTTTTCTCCTCTTTATGGTGTTTATGAGCAGACGTTCTGAGTTGATCATTTGAAGAACATCTTCATTGGAAGTGTGCGAAACCCACGATATCTTTAGGATTCGTCTATAGCACCACATTTCGAATGCTTCTAACTTGTTTAGCATTGTGGTTTTTAACGTCCATGTCTCACAACCATACAATAGGATCGACCACACATAACATTTCAGGACCTTCTTACGAATGTTCATTGACAGGTTTTTGTTGCATAAAACTGATTTCCAGGTCATAAAAGCCTTACGTGATATTTCGATCCTGGATATTATCTCTTCATCAGAGTCACAATTTACATTTAACCAGCTGCCAAGGTATTTGAAATGATTTACCCTTTCTATCTCTTCTCCATTAAGAGAAAGCAGACCTTGATCTATATGGATCTTTCCAACTGCCATCCACTTTGTCTTTGAAATGTTGATTTTTAGGCCTCTCCGATAACTTGCTTCACTGACTAGATTTAGTAATGTTTGAAGATCTTGTAAACTTTCTGCAAGAATGGCTGTATCGTCAGCGTATCTAATATTGTTGATTACTTCTCCACCTAGTCTTACTCCCTCTTGTCTGTCATCCAAAGCCTTCCTAAAGATTTCTTCAGAGTACAGATTAAAAAGAGTGGGTGACAAAACACAACCCTGCCGTACTCCACGTTTGATGGGTATTTTTTCAGTGGGACTGTCTCCAATTTGGATAGAGGATACTTGATTGTAATATAAGTATTTCAGCAGTCTTATATCATAGTGGTCAAGTCCTGCTGCCCGTAGGCAGTCGAAAAGTGTATTGTGTTGGACTCTGTCGAACGCCTTCTCGAAGTCGATGAAACAAACATAAACATTCTTTCGGAATTCACAACTTTTTTGTAATAGAACGCGCATACAGAATAGTGCCTCTCTAGTTCCTAGACCGTTTCTAAATCCAAATTGCTTATCACCCATCTTACTTTCGCATAGAAGGAATACTCGGTTTTGTATAATTCGTAAGAGTATCTTCAGTGTGTGACTCATCAAACTGATTAGTCTAAAATCGCTGCATTTGGTGGGCCTGCTTTTCTTTGGTAATGTTATAAACAGTGACTCTAACCAATCATCTGGTATTTTTCCTTCGTTGTAAATTTTGTTAAAGAAAGTGGTTAAGCAGGCAATGCTTTCCTCATCCAAAAGTTTAAGTAGTTCGGCAGGGATTTGATCTGGTCCAGGTGCTTTATTGTTTTTGGCTTGCTGTATTGCCTTTTCGACTTCCGAATTCAGTATATTGGGACCTAATGCTGATGTCTAATTGTCACAGTACAACTGTTGGAATTATCAGAAAGCTGAAAACTGGAGAAAAAGCTGAGAAGCTGAGATTATTGTTAAAAAAAACTGGACAATCATTTTATGGGAGGAGTAGATCTCGCCGATCAAAACGCTAGCACATATTATGATGTAGACCGAAAGTCTGCTAAATGGCGAAGAAAAGTTTTTTATAGATTAGTTATGATGACAGAAACTACAGAAACCGATGATCTACCTTGGAGATCATTTGGCACAACAAATATCTACTAGGAGAAGGTGCTTTAGATGTTCACAAAATATATCAGAAACTCGAATTACGACTATTTGCACAGCGTGCAATGTGCCTCTATGCAAAAATTGCTTTTTACCACATCATTCATAAGAAGTAATGTTTTTCTTGTGTACTATTTTTTTTATTTTGAATATAAGTTTGTTTCTTTACTGATGGGATTTATTTATTCCACCATTCAACATTAATGGGACATATATGTCCCATGTCCTTTCTAAGGATACCAGGACACACAACAATGTACAAAGAATCAATCGCTTTGTTAGATCTCTAGGTGTCATTAAAGTCATTTTAAACTGTCCTATTTAGCTACAATGAAATCAATAATGAAAGGGTTAAGACAAACAGTTCTCCCTTTCTCAACTTATTCAGTTAAACACTGTAAAGTGTAAACGAATACTCAAATATTTTAGAAACGAATATACTGACTGTCACCAGATTTCGCAATTTACGTTTTAGGAGATGGCACATGGGAGAGAACTAGCGGTGGAGCATCTAAATTGGATATAAACTCTTAATACATTTCCATTATCGCCACCTTATTTTTTCACCTAATTCCCTCAATATTTAACTAATCAAATGAGACTAAAGTCGTTAACCGATGACATTGACCCAAACCGATATTCGAAGGGGACATGTTTAATTAATGTGTTCAAAATTGCTTTATCTCCAGAAATAAAAATATAAGTTCCATGACGCAATAAAAAATATCTCTTTACAGTTCATATGTCAATGTAAATATATTTAGAAGTAAATACTTTATGTAATCTTTAAGAGTAAATTTATGTTTATCAATTTGTTTCTCATTTGAGGTAAACATAATCTGCAATTTTATTAAAAGAACCACAAGGACAAGAGTGTTGTCTTATCCATTTGAGAGCAAAAGTTAAAGCACGTTTAGTGTACACAAAAGTCTACTTAAACATGTAAGACGATAAATAGAGGAGTTTGGAATTTTCATAAAGGATTTATGAAAAAAGGATTTAAAGTTTGTTAAAGCCATAGCTATGTAACAAGTTAAAAAGAAAGCTAAGACATAAAAAAATGAACACAATATACAACTCACAAAAATGAAAGTAATCATCGAAAAAAAATAAAGGAGATAATAAATTAAAATAAATAGAAGGACTACAAGTGATTAACACATCCTAACATGGAAAAATCCTTCTTCTAAATGTGCCTATCTTCTAGAGATATTGGCGACCACATGGACCCATCTGATTCTATTCACAGCAGCTCGAAATACCACGTTAGACCAGTCCATTTCCTAATATTGGCCAGCCAGGATACACGTCTACGTCTTACCCTCAATCTTGCCCTATAGAATCAACTGTAGAAGTCGGTATTTATCATTACGAATGATGTGGCCGAAGTAACCCAATTTTCTGTTTTTTATGGTGTTACTAATTTCTTTGTCTTTTCTTAGCCTCTGGAGAATAGTTGTTACTTGTGTGGTGTATATATGAGACCCTCAAGATACGTCGGTAGCACCACATTTCAAATACCTCCAATCGTTTTAGGGCATCATCTGTAAGGCTCCAGCTTTCTACTCCATAGAAGAGGATATTAAAGAAAGAGCTTCTGGCGTTTTCAATACGGTGTATATTTCTTTCTAACGGTGTATCGTTAATTGTAATTTGGGCGTTTATGCCGGTGTTCTTACTAATGATCATTATTTTTGTCTTCTTGCAATTAAGTTTTAGGCCGCATTTGTTACATGCTTCTACAACGTTATCCATCATCCTTTGGAGCCCCTGCGCACTATCGGCCAGCAACACTGTATCGTCTGCATATCTAATGTTTATAAGGTGGCCATTTACAGCAATTCCATCTTCTGATTTGTCCAAGGACTCTCTAAAGATGTTTTCAGAGTATATGTTAAATAATGCCGGTGACAATATGCCTATCTAACTCCTTTTTCGACTGTGAAGATCTCGGACAGTTCATTTTCTAATCGTACTGTTGCTTTTTGTTGGAGATATAAGTTTGAGATCAGTCTTATATCCTTACCATCGAGTCCTGATGTTTTTAGGATATCGATTAGTTTCCCATGTGGGAGTTTATCAAATGCCTTCTCGAAATCAATGAAACATGTATACAAATCGCAGTTGATATCCCTGGATCTCTGTATTAGAACTTGAAAACTAAAAAGTGCTTCCCTCGTTCCGAGTCCTGCTGTGAATCCAAATTGAACTTCACTCAGGTGTTCTTCTAATTAGTAATATGATGCGCATCATATAATTAATCTATGTTCTTTACATTTTCTAGCGTTGGCAAAATCCTTAGATGATATTAATGTGTGACTCAAATCCATTTTTTGAATTTTTTAAACAATGTCTATATCTGAACAATTACTGAACATCCTCGGCATAAAGCGGCCTTGATATAACCTACAAGTCCTAGCGTTATATTATTTTATTTTTCTGTTAATTTCTTGTTATTTCTATCTTCTTCTTTTGGTGCCTATCCTCTATGGATGTTGGCAATCACGTTGGTCCGTTGGCCAACTTTGTTGACAGCTGCTCTAAATAGATGTATGGTAGTCATTCCTGCCCACTGTCTGATGTTCTTCAACCACGATGTCCTTCTGCGTCCTTAATATCTTTTGCCTTGTAAAATTAGTTGAATTAGTAGATACTTCTCATTGCGCATCACATGCCCTAAGTATGTCATCTTTCTGATTTTCACGATAGGCATAATTCTTCGATCTTTATTCATACTTTGGATCACGGTGTTGTTTGTAACATGATATATATAGAAAATTCTGAGCATGCAGCGGTAGCACCACATTTCGAAGGCTTCAATTGTTTGGATGTTGCCTCTGTCAAGGTCCAGCCTTCGACTCCATATAAGAGGGTAGAAAATTAAAAAGAATAAGAATAACAAGGTTATTTCTATAAGAGCTTATTTAAACCAGCGACGTTGTACTCTAAAATCATGTTTTATTCTTTTCATAACATTCAGTCAATCTTGAAGACTTTTGTCCTTCTAGGGCAGTATTGCCCTACTCAGTCTTATTGACCAAGTAGATGATACCTTTGTAAGCTACTACAATTGTGGGAAGAATAGAAAGATATGGTATGCTTGAGTTGAAGGTTACAATATCTGACTAGTGGCAGATACCACGAATTTTCAATCATATACTGATCATTAGATAGACTTCCTAACATTACTTCTGCCACATAACTAGAAGGGGGACCGTGGAACTATTGTTAGTAGAAGGCCGAAGACCAAGAGGAAGATCTCCAACACGATGGGTTGAAGCAAGCAATTTATTTAAACCTAGTCTGTGAGACATGTTCACTCCTAGGAATTACGTTCGGGTATTACAATTCATTGGAGCATGGTGTATTCACTCGAGTTAAAAATAGAAGTCACTCCACGGCGCTCCAATGCTCCAGACCATCCTTTCCCCCGTATCGCACTCTGAAGAGCGATAGGTGCACAACTATCAGCCAAATGCTCTTCATGTCGGAGTCCTGAGTAATAGGACTCCAACATGGTACCCTATCCAATTCAAATTCAGGCTATCGTTAGTTGCTTTATTCCTGTTATCTTCATTATTGCAATCCACTAAAGAAGGTATTGCTTTCATAACAATAAATTTAATACTAACCATCGTATTACACAAAGAAAAGAAAAGTATTTTGAATTTAGTGGATTATATAGGTAGGTAGGATACACTCACACGTAGGATACACGTATAGAGTGTAGTCAGAATCCAAAACGACTTTTCAAGACCTTTCCATTGTAAAAATGGACTGAGACAGGGAGATGGACTGTCGTGTCTCTTATTAACCTTGCACTAGAAAAAGTAATTCGAGAGTGCCATATTAATACGAATGGCACCATCTTTAATAAATCTGTACAAGTGGTCGGATATGCAAATGACATATACATTATTGCTAGGTCCACAGAATCTCTGATCCAAGCATTTCGATCATTAAGGGCGTCTGCACTGAGAATGGGATTAAAAATAAAGGCACAGAAAACCAAGTATATGTATTGTACTAGATCAGGCAACCAGATACCTAGACTATTAATTGATGATCTGGAACTGGAAGGTGTGGACACCTTCGTCTAGCTGGGCTCGCTGCTGACCAAAGACAACAATGTCAGCGAAGAATCTAAAAGAAGAATAGTGCTTGCCAATAAGTGCTATTATGGCTTGAGGAAACAGATGGCCCCAAAACTACCCAGAAAAATTAAAGTTACCATATATAAAACACTAATAAAGCCAGTGTTAACATACGGGTCAAAAACGTGGTCACTTACACTGAACGACCAAGAATTGCTTAAACGTTTCGAGAGAAAAATTCTAAGGAAAATATATGGAGGAGTCCAAGAACAGGGTTTGTGGCGTAGGCGCTACAACTTTGAGTTATACAGAAGTTTTGGGGAACCTGACGTTGTAAAATGTATTAAATTAGCACGCTTTCGATAGATAGGACATGTAATTAGCGAGATGAAGATGCAACGATCAGAAAAATTTTCGACCAAAGAGGACCAGTGGGAAGACGAGCCAGAGGAAGACCAAAACTTAGGTATCAAGATAACATAGAGGATTATCTAAAATCCATCGGAGTTAAAGCATGGAGAAGAGTTGCCAGAGACAGGGGCGAATGGAAGATTGTTCTGAAGAAGGATTTGGCTCATAACGAGCTGTAATGCCACTGATGATGATGATATAGGTAGGTACGGGTTATAAATTTTGATAGACTCCTATATGGGACGTAGTCTTCTAATATGTGAACCTTCGTTAATATGTTAGTAATCGCTGTTTGAAATTTCGTTTAAGTGTATTTGAACATTTAAATAACAGACAAAGAGCATTTAAATTATACAAAACTTGTACAAACAATGCAAAAATTTCAAAATAAGTTCTAAGAATTGTTACTATCTAACTTATGAAACAACAACTGATATCCCAAGTAACAGAAATCGTTCGAAATGAAAATCAAAGGATACGTTACATTTAAAAGTATAAAAATGAAATCAAATAGGTAAGGTTAAGGGTGCAGATAAACACTATTTTAACAAGAGAAATCATACGATTTCCTACTGGTGAAACTGAAGTATGTACTATTTTAACAGTTAATCTTCCCAGTTAAATAAAGGTCATGACTTCTTGTGCGTGTTGCTTACTTACGCCCTTTAAATAGTAATTTAAAAAAAATAAAACAAATAAAGCAGCTAGAAAATCAGAATAGCTTAAAGAAAGATGAGTGTAACATGTGCTAAGATCCACATGATCACAACTTAGCAAGTAGAGAGATATTGTTGATAGCATGTACCGAGGAACAGTAGCATAATTATAATAATATAAATTTGACAAAGAAGACCACCAGGTAAATTACATAAAAGAATCATTGAAAGAAATTTCAGAGATAATAAAATAAATTGATAAAACCAGGGCCAATTTTTTTTAGTCAGTATCAGTAAAAAATAAATTAACCTGAACGAATGTGATATACATTAATTAATTGAATTATTTATCGCTTTGTAATAAAAATATTTTATGATGTACTTACAGTTTATTCTTCCAGTTTTGACCACTTCAACTTTTGCTCAGCAGAATACTGGTTCGCATCGATGTTCTTGATGTTTATATGTATTAAAAACTTATCATCTGACCCCAGTTGTTATCAACTATTAATTAGAGAATAAAATGAAAGAGATCAATTGGTTCTCATTAGCGTTTTGCAACTGTTTGTTTATATTTGCGGTTTGGGAATTTCGGATTTCGTTCCTATTCTTGCTAATCTTGATTACTAGAAATCAGAACTTGTTGTGATGGCTTATGTGGGTGGCTCATTCGGTAATGTGCATGTTTGGAAGCTTGTGGTTAGTAAATGTTAAATTAGCAAATAAATGTTCACTGACCACAATATTCATATTTATGGCGAGATTTTGTAAAATATTAGTGATACAGATTCTTATTGCACCCGGTCTTGTAATGCACCAATAGTATGTATGGTTGCCAGTAGTTGTAATGAAGATGCTACATTTTCCTGTAGCAATAATGAGATCCTGTTATTTATTATTGAGCCTAGGTAGAGAAAGCTGATGGAATATTCGTAGGTATGATTTTCTAAATTTATCGTCAGATAAAATCGATCAGATTTTGTGCACTCCATATATTTTATTTTCTTTTCCTTAATGCATACTCAGGCCAAGTTTAGAGGCTTCTCGTTTCAGATCTTTAGTTTTTTCTCTCTGCATCCTTTTGTTGCGGTTTATTATGTCAATATCATCTGCAAATGCGCATATTTGAGAAGATCTTGTATTTATAAATTCTAATAATGGCTTCCAAAGGTTAAAAAGTAGGGATAAGGCATCCTCTTATTGCTTTAGCGTTAATTGCTTAAGCAGCTTTTGTCTATCCGCAATATCGATTACATTGGTATTTACCTACTATTTTCTTTGAATACGACTTGGTCGACGGTTTATAATTTCTGATCTTATAGACGACCATTAAAGATGGTATACCCCTATAATTTTCGTAGTGAGTCTTTTGTCTTCTTTCTTGTACATAGAAAGTAAGATTCCTAATTTCCAGTCTTTTGTGATGACTTCTAGTATCCGTATGCAGCATATTAATTTATGGATACACTTCCATAACGCATGTTGACTATTCTTATTAGTTCTATAATTCGCTGTGTGATTTTTTAGTCGCCTTGGCCATAGCTGACACCCTAACCTTAAAAAGGACAAAAATATTAATTAATCGTTTCACTTACTTGTTTAGTCTACTGTGAAACTACCAGCGTAAAAATCAGCTTGATGCCGTAGGCTCTTTCGGATGTGGCGAGACCTTTGACATAATTATGTATGGTACATTATTTCGTCTCCTTGTTCTTTTTTTCTGGGTTTAAAAGCTCCTGAAAATACTTTAAACCTCTCAAAATTTTGATTTATCACTGATGATTGCTCCGTTTTTACCCTTGCAACCTATCTATCCAGAATTGGCTGCTCTTCTTTCAAAATAAGTTCTTCAGATCATAGTTAACCCAGCGAGCGAGGTTAATATCAGTGATATTCTTGAAAACATTCCAGTCAACACCTGCAAGCGAAGGGCACGCCAAAATGTTTGGTTGATAAAAATATTACCAATTTGAGACAAACTTTTATGGGCGGTTATTCTTTTTGTTCGAACCCACCTATTGGAAAAGGTCGTAGACTAATAATTACTCACATTGGATCTGAAACTGCCTTTGTAAATGGTGGTCTATTAGAATTTACTGCAAGAGCCACCAAAGATTATTATGAGTAAATGACTGCAGACGTATTTTAAGAATTAGTAACATACCACAAAATTCTGTCACAGTAATGGATAATGCCAGTTACCATTCTCGTTTAATTGAAAAACTACCAACTTTGGCATGGAAAAAGCATGAGGTACTTAATCGGTTAAAAGAAAATTAAACAAACAATGAAAACGAAGAGGAAAATGAGTCAAGGTATATTCAGAATAATAAGAAAAATACAAAAGAGAAAGATAATTAAGAGAATGACAAGAAACATTGGTCATGGTACATGGAACGCGAGGACGTTGCTGGAAACAGGAAAAATGGAAGAACTAGCGGCAAAGTTAGAACAATATAAGATAGATATTGCAACGAATTCAGGAAACCAGATGGTAGAGCATGGAAAAATCGAAAAGGAAAATTATACAGTATGGTATACATGCGAAGAAAAACATGGATATGGAGGAACGGCTTTTATGGTGATAGGAGAAATGAGACATAAAGTTGTGGAATTTAAACCCATAACTGAAAGAATATCATACATAAGAGTAAACAGCTAAACGAATAAGTTGTCCATAATAAATGTCTATGCACCCACAGAAAACACTGGTGACTTGACAAAACAACAGTTCTATGAAACACTAGAAGAAAAGGCCGAGAAAATCCCGGGAGAAGATAATACTTATAGGAGATTTCAACGCCCAAATAGTCAAAGAAAATTGTTTCAGACAGGTTGCAGGTTAAAACACAATACATGATATAACAAACAACATTGGAGAAAGACTGATGTAATTTAGCAGCGGAATTAAACATAGCACACAAACAACAGCGACATCAGTAGCACGGGATATAAACACAAAGACATACATAAAATAACATGGATGAGACATGGAAGTCTGGAGGAAAATCAAATAGACCATGTATTGAACAAAAAGAAAACATTCGATAAATGACGTTAGATCTCACAGAGAGGCCAACATTGATTCGGACCATATGCTAGTGACTACAAAATGTAAAATAAAAACAACAAAGACTGAATGACGAAAAACACAGAGAAAATGGGACGTAGATAAATTTAAAGAGAAAGAATTAAGAAGAAAATTTGTACAAGAAGTAAATACAGAGATGCAGTTCAAAGAACAGCAAATGGAGGAACAGTGGAAAAAAATCAAACAAGGAATAAACAATTCAGAAGAGAAAGTGGTTGGCAAAATTCAAAATAAAAGAAGAAAATAATATTGGTTTGATGATGAGTGCAAATTAGCAGAGGAAGAAAAGAATAAAACAAGATTGAAGTGGTTAAGCACGAGCAAAGAGAAACAAGAAAAATACGAAGATTAAAGGCAATAGACAAACAATTTATTTAAATCGAAAAAGAAAATCAAAAAGTAGAAGTAATTTTGAACGAGATAGAAACATAAAATAAAAGACATAACTCAAAACCATTGTACCAATACTTAAAACTAGGTAACCGAAACGGCAGCTAATATAGCTATAGAAGCATAAAAATGGCATAAATATTTCGAAGAAATATGTCAAGAAACGGCTAGCGAAGAAGAAAGAGAAACAATAACGAACACGGAGCAAGATGATGAAGAAGAATAATTGACCTATACAGAAGTGAAAGAGAAAATATGCAAACTTAAAAACGGGAAAAGAGTGGGAGAATTCGAATATGTGCAGAACTTATGAAATACGGTGGGGTGGCACTACACAAAAAGATTTACGAACTAATACAGAATAAATGGAGCAAAGAGATATTGAACGAAGAATGGAAGAAGGGAATTATAGTGACAATCCCAAAACAAGGAGACCATATAATATGCAAAAACTACTGAGCAATTAATTTACTGAATGTAACACATAAAGTAATGACTGGTATAATTAGAGGCAGACTAACAATATACACAGAGCAAAGCATAGGAGATTACCAGTACGGCTTCAGAAAAGGAAGATTCACGATAAAAGCTATACATACGATAAAACAAGGGATAGAGAAAACATGCGAGTACGACGGAGAAACACATACTTTTCCTAGACTTTAAACAGGCATTTGACAAACTAAACAGAAAGAAAGAAGAGAAAAAACAGAAACAATAAAAATAAAAAAATGAAATAAGACAAGGAGATGCGCTCAACAGTACTATTTCGTTTATCACTAGACAAGATAATGAAAAAGCTGTCAAACGCAGGAACTATAATGCAGTACAAGACAGGACAATGCAGGACAATAATGCAGTATAAATAATAAGATATGCGGACGATATAACCATAGCAGCAGTAGATAAAAGGGCATACACAGAACAAAGCATAGGAGATTACCAGTACGGTTTCAGAAAAGGAAGATTCACGATAAAAGCTATACATACGATAAAACAAGGGATAGAGAAAACATGCGAGTACGACGGAGAAACAATAAAAATAAAAAATGAAATAAGACAAGGAGATGCGCTCAACAGTACTATTTCGTTTATCACTAGACAAGATAATGAAAAAGCTGTCAAACGCAGGAACTATAATGCAGTACAAGACAGGACAATGCAGGACAATAATGCAGTATAAATAATAAGATATGCGGACGATATAACCATAGCAGCAGTAGATAAAAGGGCATACACAGAACAAAGCATAGGAGATTACCAGTACGGTTTCAGAAAAGGAAGATTCACGATAAAAGCTATACATACGATAAAACAAGGGATAGAGAAAACATGCGAGTACGACGGAGAAACACATACTTTTCCTAGACTTTAAACAGGCATTTGACAAACTAAACAGAAAGAAAGAAGAGAAAAAAACAGAAACAATAAAAATAAAAAATGAAATAAGACAAGGAGATGCGCTCAACAGTACTATTTCGTTTATCACTAGACAAGATAATGAAAAAGCTGTCAAACGCAGGAACTATAATGCAGTACAAGACAGGACAATGCAGGACAATAATGCAGTATAAATAATAAGATATGCGGACGATATAACCATAGCAGCAGTAGATAAAAGGGCATACACAGAACAAAGCATAGGAGATTACCAGTACGGTTTCAGAAAAGGAAGATTCACGATAAAAGCTATACATACGATAAAACAAGGGATAGAGAAACATGCGAGTACGACGGAGAAACACATACTTTTCCTAGACTTTAAACAGGCATTTGACAAACTAAACAGAAAGAAAGAAGAGAAAAAACAGAAACAATAAAAATAAAAAATGAAATAAGACAAGGAGATGCGCTCAACAGTACTATTTCGTTTATCACTAGACAAGATAATGAAAAAGCTGTCAAACGCAGGAACTATAATGCAGTACAAGACAGGACAATGCAGGACAATAATGCAGTATAAATAATAAGATATGCGGACGATATAACCATAGCAGCAGTAGATAAAAGGGCATTAAAGAAAACCTTTAAAGAAATAGAAAATGAAGTCAAACTGAGAGGACTGGAAATAAATGAAAATAA